GGACCTACCCCTTCTCCAGTTGTGGCACCCGCCTCCTCTCCAGTTGTGGCAGTCACTCCTTCTCCATCTTCATTCCCTGTTGTGGCGTCAGCACCTTCCTCCTCTCCAGTTGTGGCGTCAGCACCTTCCTCCTCTCCAGTTGTGGCACCCACCCCTTCTCCATCTCCTATTGTGGGCTCAGGACCTTCCTCCTCTCAAGGTCACTCACCTACTGTAGATGTTGAGTCGAGGTTGAAGAAGATGTTCCTGCTATACATGATCGACCGATGATTGAACCTTATGGTCGAGGGTAATATTTCATTTAAGTTCTCCAATTTATTTATTATAAATAAGTTTTAGTCATTTTCAGCACATATGTAACTTGTATTAATTTTTCTTTGTAATTAGGTTTCTTCCATCTAGAGTTGCATCACAAGCTATAACAAAGAGTATTAAACAGAAATTTATTCAACCTTGGGCCACATGGGGAGTGATACCTGATACTGAGAAGGAGTCATTTTTTCAACGTTTTAAGGTAACTTAATCTTGTCTACATACTTAATTATTAATGTTACTATTAATTTCCATTAATGTATATATTTATAGTTATTCAATATATGTTTTGTAGTCAATTTTCTATAATGTGTATAACAATTTATACTTTTATAGATGAAGGTTCAGTGGAGACCAGAGCATGAACATCAAATAAAGAAGAATTTTCATTCCAAAGCATCTCACAGACTTAGTGAGATGTTTAGGGATGCAAGAATTGCTGGTCAAAGACCAGACTGGATTGGAGATCACGTTTGGACCAGTTTGCTAGCACATTGGAACTCACCAATGTATCGGTCCAAATCTGCACAAGCCCAAAAAAATAGGGCATCAGAAAAGGGTGGGAGCCTTCACACAGGTGGCTCTATCAGCACACATGAGCATGCCATACGTATGGTAAGTCTTTATATCATACATTTACGATTTATTCAATATTTATTGGGTTTTATATCTCAAATTGTTTATGTAATGTAGGCAAAGGAGCTTGGAAGATCAGTTTTTATTGATGAGATCTTCCAACAAACTCATATTAGGAGGAAGACGGGTCATTTTGTTGATGAAAGATCTAGGAAGACACACGTGAGAACCTTCATGTTAAATTTTGTATATTATGTAAATTTAATAATCATGTTAATAATTGATTTGTTTCTACTAATAGGAGGAATTTGAAAGTAGACTTTCACAAGCTAGGTCATCTGCTGGATCTTGTGGTGGCGAACCTGAGTCTACTCCTGCTAATTCTGCACATGATGAAGTTATAAGGTCCCGTTGTTGGGTGGATACAGTTGGAGGTAAGAATAAAGGAAGATTGTATGGGGCTGGACAACTTGCTCATGCCTATCAGGGTGGTTCAGATAGCTTGAAGAATCAAATGCCAGCATCCAGCTCCTCAGTTGACTTAGAGGAGATTAATCAGTTGAGACAACGATTATCTGTACAAGAAGAAGAAATACGTCGAACAAGGGAGCAGAATGAACGACTAGAGCACCAATTCAGAGAGTTTCAATCCCTTGTTGGTCATCTTCTACCCCCGTGCACAATCTGTTGTTCAACGACGTCCACATAGTGAAACACATGATGAACAACAACCCCAACTCCAACTGAATGAAGCACAACAGGATAACCCACCACATGATGAACATCATTCTCCTGATTACTCTAATTATTAAATGTTATACAAATATCTATAGAATAATATTTCAATTCTATTTGTATGTTGATCCTATTTTTAGGATTGTACATTATGTTTCATTATGCATAAATTACAAGCACATTTGAATTTACTTATGATTATCATTAACGTGAGTTAGATTTATGTTTAATTGAATTGTTTAATATATTATTGAATTGTACTTGGGTTGAATATTGTTGAATTGGACTGTTGGATTGAATATTATTTGACGAGGTTATATGGGATGAGAAAAAATAAAGCTGCCTGGAACTAGAGATGGTTTTATCGACGGATTTACTGACGGATTATCCGTCTGGTAAGTTTAGCGCATAATTGGTACTTACCGACGGAATATCAAATCCGTCGGTAAAATTTACCGACAACGACTATTACCGACTGGATTTAGGCTCGTTGATAATCCGTCGGTAATATCTATTTACCGACGGATTTTATTACTTACCGACGGATTTTGTTCAGTCGGAAATTTTGTTTTTTCTTGTAGTGATATAAATATATTATATCCTCATATATAAATATTTTGGTATTAATAACTTATAAATAAAAATATATCCAAATCAATATTTTGAGTTAATATAAAATTATATCTTCTTATATAATTATCTTGATATGATGTAGATAAATATATAGATAAATATAAAACAACTAATAATTTCTTGAATAAAAAAACTTATCGTAACCATATGTTTTTCTGCTGTGAATGGGTTTTGAACTTAATTAATTGATATTACGTGTTTTAAAAAAAAATGTTGATTCATAGTTAATAGTTGTTCAACTTTAAAGATTTGTTGAAAGACGTGCAATCCATCGAATTGAAGAAAAATAATCGAGTTTAGAAATGCTTATCTAAAATGGTTGATAAGGGTAATAAGTGTAAACATGAGCAAGAGATGATTATTTAGGTTTACTAATCCATCCGTGACTAAATATTTTGAATCACATAACATATTTTATCTCATGTTTATATAATGTCGAACATCAGTTTAATATTGTTTTCAAGTTCCTTTTGCCATATCTCAAAATGAATCCCAATACACTAAAGAGAAATATATTGAAATAGAAAATGTCATTAACTTTGCACTTGTATTCTACCTCATCAATTTTTCTCACAATAATGGGAAGGTTGCTCTCTTATTGAAAATTACACACTAATCAAGTGTGAGTCTAATTTTTACATTGAGTAAGAAAGAGAAATTTGAATAACATATAAGAAAGTATGACACATAACTTAATACCATAAGATTTTAGATTAAGAATGATATCAATCCTTATATTCGTTGAATTCATATTTCATTATTGTGTTTCTTCCTTATGAATCTCTTTAAAAAACCTAACCATAAGGACACTCTCATCATTCTTAAATAAAATATTATCACTTACTATAAAAATTTTAACCTTTCATACTAAATTAATCATAATCACTCATTTTTATTCTTTCATGATGAAAAGGGTAGACAACAACATACCCCATTTTAATTGTCTTAATTTTTACCAATTTATTCATCTTTTAATCAAATTGTTCATCTTTTAATCAAATTGTTTACAACTAAGATATTTATAACTATGAATTTTTTATTTTTTTATTGGATATTTTGAATTTAACCCATAATTACAAATATTCATTACCTAGATGCTCATTAGTTTAGAACATATAATACTATATTTCAATAAAATTAGTAATTTGGTTTATTCATGATTTACAAACTGAAAGCCATCCAAATGGTAGCGAAAAAAAATCAAAAACAATTTCGATATTTCAATTTTAGGATTGATTTTTTATTATTATTATTATTCTTATTATTATTATTATTATTATTATTATTATTATTATTATTATTATTATTACTGGTAATGTCTTGAACACCCTTATAATAAATTAGGTGAGAAAAGAAATATCCAAATTATGTGCTTTCAATGCCTTTGATAATGTTAATTATAGCTTTTGACTTTGATAATGAATACATCCTATTATTATGGTTAAAAAATTATTATCCCATTAATACATCATTATATGTATGTTTCTTTATAATTATTACTTTGATTTTTTTTCTACTATATGTAATTTTATAATTTTAAGATAAAACTATTTATCATTTTCATAGTTACACTCTTAAAAATATTTTAAAAATGAAAAGTAAAAACAATATTTGAGATAAAAATAACATAATGATTAACTTGCAATTCCTTTAGGAGCGTATATTAGATTAGAATTTTAAAAATCATAAAAAAAGGTCTATAGTATGTAGTCAAGACATTAAAATAAGATAAGCCTTATAACATTTAATTAGTGTTATTAGAAATTTTTAAAACAAAAAAAGGGTGATTTACACCTAAGCATATTTACATTTATAATAAATACAAATTTCGAACGAACTGTTTTTAATTGATCCGAACAAAAATAAATACAAATTTGTTACATTAATTTAAAAAAATGGTGAATTTTTTTAGAAAAAGGTTTTAATAGATTTTAAGATGAATTATAATTTATAAAATAAAAATGCACAAATACAATTCCCTTCAAACAATCTCACCCTAAACTTAACCTTTAAACAAATACAATTCATAAAAGGCATTTAAAAAGACAATGGAAGCTACAATTACTTAATTATTATCAAATTAAATTGTTTAATTGATTTTACTTTTCTTTATGAAAGTTTAGTCAACTTTTTTTGTTTTATTTTGAATGTTCTTTAAAAATTCAGATAGTTCTTTGTAATATAATAAATCTATAAAATTCTTTTAATTTTTTTTTAATTCGTACTATATAAATCCATTAAAATTCAAACTACAAAATCTTTTAAAGATAGGGAAACTTTTTTATACTTGAAACAGTTTTTTAAAATCATAATCCAGCACATTTCATTAATATAAAAGAAAATACTAAATTACTCTCTTATTTAGATTGCTAAACCAGTAAAGTAACAAATACAAAAAGAAATAAAGAAATAAATCTCACATTGTATCTGATCACAAAAAAATACAATACTGAAAATATATATATATATATATATATATATATATATATATATATATATATATATATATATATATATATATATTGCAAGCATTTATCATTTTTATTGGAAATTTGTAGAAGGAATCGCTAGTACTGCACCCTAAGCAAATGTGTCCTCAAGATTCATTTATTGAACAGGTAATACAGAGGAACAACACAAAATTACAGTTCAGATTATCACAGTTTGTTTCACCTGCTTCAGGGCTCATTCCAGAGTTATACGTGGAGTAATCTAGTACACAGCAGAGAATTGTCCAATATAGTTCACACTGTAGTCCAATCTGAATGATTTTCAGTAGCAAGTCCTACTATCACATGCAAGGTGACAAAAGTTTGAAACAAACTAAATAAACTACAAAATTAACACAACCAAAAGACATAAACAATGTTTGGTACGACAATAATGGAACAGACAGACAATAGAGACTCGCAAGTCCAACCCCTTGTGGTGTGACTTTTCTTTTGAACTATACAAAGCTGTAATCCATGTTTATATTCTCCCCTTGTTAAACCAGGCAAGTAACTTTTTGCCAAAGAGGTTGCTCTGCATCATCAAGGAATTTTGTTTGATCAGTTGCTCCAAGGAACTCCGAACATGACCCTGCAATTCAAACTTCAGAAATTAGGAAAAAGGCAAGCTGCCCAGACTAGATTATGGAAAAATAATGCGCAAACATGAAGATTACAAAATTCCAATTGTTTGAGTTCGCTGACCATAGATGTCGACAGTGCTGATTTGATGACATAATTCCCATATGGATCCACAAGAAGCATTGCAACATTTGGATTGTGGAGCAACTCCAAAGTAATGCATATTGAATGCGGTTCACCCGAGTCTTGAAAGAACTTCTCCACTACATTACTCCCGTATTTGTTGCAGGCAAGATAGAAAAATCTTCCTTCAAGCTGTCTCCATAGAGAGTCTGCAACTCCTGGTATTCCCAGAGACAATAAATGCTGCACAACATAGTTGCTGCCAAACGAGGAAACATAAAAACAAGTGTAAAAGTCAAGCACATATTAAAATTCATTGGCTAGAAAAGATAAAATATAATATAGAAGGTAAAACAAGAGACCCGTAACAGTCTTCCGCTAAGAGTGACGCGTACAACATGACAGCACCTATCAGCCTCCTTTTTATTTCTCCTTGAGCATGGTTAATGCATGGCTGCAGCACACAACACCCTGTCTTATCTGTTGCAATCTCAAAGCACTTGTTTGCCACCACATTCAGAAGATTCTGTGAACAAAAACAACTACAATCATAACTTCATCAAGGCAGGAATAGCAGAGTAATATGCGCCTAGTATCCATAAGGGATAATAAATCTTTTTTAAAAAAACTTTTAAATAAATATGGTAGTGAAGATTATGTGATAGCTACATCTTTTCCATCAGTTTTTTAGGACTTAGCCAAACAGGGGCTGTTCAGAAAAGAAAATTTCTTAAAAATGATTGAAGTTATGTATCATGAAGATTTTTATACAGTCTAATTCGGTAAATATAGACTACATTCCTTTTAAGAAACTTAATAATGAAGAACTACCAAAAGGAAAAAAATCGTAGCAAGCATCATTACAGAAAATATTTCTTGAAAGTGCATATAATCATAACAACAGAAATCAAGAAAACTTTCGGGTTAAATCACATAAAAGTCAAATCCCATCAAGTGAAATCCAAAATGCTCTGGAATAATCAAACAGATTTTCTCCATATTGTTTCTACAGTTGCTTACTTGTAATGGAAATGTGATTTAAAACAAGTACATAAGAAATACCTCATTGTCTTCTGTAGAGAATTGTTTTAGACAATGCAGAATCACCCTATGACCACTCACATCCTTTGCCAATATAGCAGCACCTGGACTAAGAGCTGCTATAATACGATGTCGTTGCTCCTGGGAGTTAACATGCTCCAGTAATTTCTCAACAGCCCTGGTTCTAAAAATAAATAATTAATCAAACCCACGTCAATAAAAACAAAAAATCACTTTATGCATTCGTATATGCTTATATAAAATAAAAAAAAAAAAAAAAAGTAAAAAAACAACAACACACAAATTGCTGTCTTTACACAAGAAACAAGTCATGAAGCTAAAGTAACCAGACAACAATTCTTGAAAAGAAAAGAGCCAACGGCCATACCCATGGGGACTAAGGCAAATTCTGACCAATTGAAAATTACACTGAGTCACTCTTAAAACGATCTGAGTCAGCTGCTCTTCACTACAAATTTCCACCATCCTCTGAACAACATAATTCCCAAAGGGATCAATCATCAAATCAGTCACGTGATTAATCAGCTCCAAGAAGATAATGTCAAACTCTTCTTTAGTCAATGTTCTCATAATCTCTTGCAATGTCCTACACATATGTTGATCCGTAGCCAACATCAGAACACACCCTCGAAAATTATTGAACCATTGGAAACGCCTTTCATCAATTCTAAACCCCGGAATATTATTACGACCGAAAAAACCATTCAAGAAACCAGCCCCAGGGGTCTTCTGTGGCATCATCCCATTGGAATATGATACAGCAGGATAAACTCCACCGAATGTTGGGTTTTCTCTTGGTCTCATCAATGGTTTAGAATGCAGAATCCCATCACCATTATAAGAATAATTGTTGGTAGTGAATGTGGGGTGCCAAATATTGAAACTCTGAGAAGTGGAAACCCCACCACCCCAACCGTTACAAGGGGGAATCTTTGAGGGGTCATTGTTGTCATAAAGACTATCCATGATGAAATCAGAATGTGGGTAGTTGAAGGGAGACGCAGAAACAGAAAGACGAGAAAAAGCATCTTCTAGGGTTTGGGAGGGGTTTTGGGTTTGCGATAAAAATCGAGAGCCGCCCCCAGATTGTTGAGAAGAGGAGGTTTCTGACTGATCATTGTCAAACGCAGAGGACGATCGTTGCGACATCATTGCGTGCCAAGGAATGGAAGAAGGAATAGCAAGGGTTTAAGGGAAGGGGTTTTAGAGAAAGGAATAAAGAATTTTGATTATTTGGGAAAAAAGTGGAAGGAAAAGGGGGATTAGGGTGAGAAAGAGGGAAGAAGAAGAGTGTGGGAGGTGAAGAGGGAGTGTTGTTTAGCTGAGTAAGGAGAGTGTTCCTATGGGTACCATTCTGCATGCAATATATAGTAAAATTACATGCGATAACCCCAAAAGAAACCTCTGCTTCAGCGGCTTTGGATGTTAGCCTCGTGTCCCATTGTTTCTCTTATATATTATCCTCAGATTTATTTTTTATTTTTTTTTTAAGAGAATCCCTTATGGTGTTAGGTGAATCCTACCAAATTATTCTTTAGTTTGAAATTCTGTATTTTCAACCAATAGTACAAATACATGTTAACTTTCTTTTATAAATTACAAATCTTGATGGTTAAAATGTATTTTTATTCTTTCAATTTTTCATGATTAATTTTTAAGTATATATATTTATTTGTATTTCTGTTAAAATTTGATGTATATTCTTATTTTTTTAAATTTAATAAATTAGCTTTACAATAAAAAATGTATAAATTTAATTTTTTATTAATTTATAATAGTAAGTAAAAAAACTGTTATATAATCTTGCTATTTAATCTTGTTAAGGTGAAAATTACAATTAAATGTTAAATTTAGGAATAAAGAAAATAAATAAATTTATAATTCATCAATTTAAAAATATAGAAATCACAGATAAAATTAAAAAAAAATTAAAAAAGATCACAAATATTTTTTTCCTTAATTTTTATCATCCTTACGAAAATAACCTGCAAAATTTAATCTTCCAGTAAATATAATTATTTAAAAAAATCAAACTAATTTAATTTTTTACAACAAATAAAACTTATAGCCTCCTGCAGTAACAGAATTCAATTAATGAAGAAGATTATTTTCAGAACTTTTATTATGCAACACAAATAAATTGGTGATATTTTTATATTCATCACATAAGTAATAATATTAACATAGTAAACAGAAAGAGATTTAATACTGTTTCGTTTAGAAATAATTTTTACAGATTTTTTAGAAATACCAGAAATAAACTTGTGTTTTCTAAAAAAATTAATTTTTTTAGAGGTAAATAATTATGTCAAATCAAAAGATTAAAAATACATTTAAATCAAATTTAATTATGTGTCATATATCATATACATACTTATGTAGGAAAACTCTTGAATAGTGTATTCTTTTCATTTTGGACGAAAATATATGTGAACCGTTTTACGCACAATACTTTTCTCATGGCAAAATAAATTACACAATCTCAGTCCATGTTTAAATACCATCTTCAATTTTATTTTTTTATAAATTAAATACTATTATTTTGTAATATTTTCTATTAATATATTTTTAGTGGAATTATTATAAATAAGATTGTTTCCTTTTTTTTTTTTTAATTTCGGTCAAGCTAAACCCAAATTAAGAATATGGTTAAAATTGACCAAAATATAATAGTTGATCTTTTTTAACCCATGAAAAAAAACTAGTTATTTATTTAGGGTTTGAGATACACCTTTTGAACCAATTGAACAAGGTAGACATTTTGAGTAGCTAAATATTATATGGAATTAACTTCATATACACGTTGTCATTGAGTTGACTCAATTTTTTCTTTTCTTGGCAATGGATTTGGGGTGACAGCACCTGATTAGAGGAATATTAAAAATAATATTTTCTCTATCTAATAAACAACAAAAATAGTACCAAAGTTATTTTTTATTTATTGAAAATATATTTTTATTTCGTGATAAAAAAAATATACTTTGATATTTATTTATTTTTTCTATTATTTAAGTTAGTCTTTACCTTCATTCTCTTTGCCTAATTTTTGTATGAGATAATACTGGTATGAAGTGTCAATCCCTCAATTAAAGACTATTTGTATAAATATTTTTAACACCTTAAATATATTTCTTCTAAGTATACATAAAAGAGAACGAATTTACACTTTGATGTTTATAAAATATTTCTCTGGCTTCATTATGTCAATTTTTAAATTATTTTTTTAGTGTATAAAAAAAATTGATTCATTTAAAAAAATATATTTTTTTTCCAAATTTGAAATACCTATTTTTAGATTTTAACCTTCGCTAGAAGACAATGAACATTCTCGCATCCAACTATTTATATATAATTCTGAGACTATATTTTTAGTCAAATGTAATATTTAAATTTTCTTTATAAAAAACTTCTCACATTCATTATTATAATATGGTTTAGAACTCTACTTATGTACTCTTTTCAGGATAAGGATAAGGTATATATATATATATATATATATCCAGATTTAGTGATTCAAAATTATTATTATTTAATTTTTACGATACCGTCATTAATATTTTACTCCAACTTTGCACTCTTGATTGAATTTGAATCAAAACAGATGACCCACTATTTATGGGAGGTTCACATCACGTTTAGGAAAGGAGGTTAGATTAGGTTTGACGTTAGTTAAAAAAAATTAATTGATTCATATGATTTCGTTAAGGATAGAAAGTGTTTCAATCTTATATTCAATATAATAAAAGTATTAAAATCAATTTTTATATATAAAGTAGTGTGAGTTTTTAAATTATTTTGTCACGATTTTTCTTTAAAAGATATTTGAAGAATTATGAAAAAAATATATTTAAATTATTTTTTATCTTCCCTCCTAGATAATATAAAACTTAAACAGTGTATCATAATAAATATAGTATCATTTTATTTAAATATTATTATAAATTTTTATGATAATTTAATTGTTATCATCATTTTATTAAGTACTATTACAAAATTTAGAGCCACCATTATTTTTACTTTAAACTGTAATTTATATTTTAAAAATTTAATATATAATATTTTTAGGTTTAATTAGTTTTTCTCTCTATTTATTTATAAATTAATTTTCATCCGTTTTATTTTTATTTGCTTTTAGTTAAAAATTATAAGGAGGTGATTTTTTTTCTCTTTTCGTATTCCAATTAATAACGCATATCATTAACTTTTTTATTTTAGGAAAAAAAAAGTGAGAGGGAAAGGAAGAAATAAGATAAAAAGAATTAAATGTGAGCGTATGCAATATAAAGGTCTTAAAAAGAAGTTACGAGATATTAAAATAAAAGTGAGTTTTATTATCTTGCATTATTTTTAAGTAATTATTACTAATTTTTCTTCAATGATCTTATATACTGTCCATTTTTTTTATTTTTTTACAACTTAAAATTTATTTTAATACTTATAACTAAATATTAATATAATGTTGGTGTTTTAAAGAAATGTTGATATTTAAAAATATAACTTTTTAAGAGAGGCCTTATGCGAGACTATTTCAAAACTCACAGTCATTTGATCATGTATGTTTTAATGGAGGTCTCTTATAGAATTATGTCTTAAATTTAATATTATTAAAGCTATTCCATTTTTTTTTTTAATTTTGAAACAAGATTACATTTTGAGATATTTATTCTTCGGTGTTTAACTGAAAGATTCCTTGACTAACATAGGTCAACGAGAATCGTTGTCAAAGGTTTGTTGAATTAATTTTGCCTCTGTAGAAAAAAATATATATTAATAAACTTTTTAACAAAATCGGTTTTATCAACATAGACTAACATGTAATCCCACCTAAATTGGTTATTTTTTTTTAACTAATATTAATTTAGAAGTAATCATAACAATTGAAAAATACCCCTATTACGTCGATAAAAATCTCTAACTAATATATATATATATATATATATATATATATATATATATATATATATATATATATATATATATATATATAAACTGAAAACATTGACCAAAAAGATTCTGATTAACATCGACAAAAAATAATCTCAAGCTACATTCATAAAAAAACAATTATAATTAGTATTAGTTAAAAGATAACTCTGATTGACATTAAAATAACTCTAATTAATATTGAAATGATCTATTTACAAATAAATTACCCAATTCTCCACGTTAATCTTTCTAAAATAAAATCTGGAGGTAGATCCCACCTAAGAAACTAGTCATTTAGTCAAGAAGAATTGAGCGGAAGATAAAAATAAAATGGTTACCTAAAATAATTTTGCCTCAAAATTGAGTGAAAAAAATGGACAGGAAGAAGAGAAATGAGTTATTATTATACATATAATCCAACAAGTAATTCATCGAATTGGTTTATCACTTTTTAGTTTTCAACTAAAAAGTACCTTTTTAACTAGATCCTAATCAGATTAAGTCTCTAATAGTTTTCTAGTGTGTTGCTCAACAACTGAGTGGCACCTTTCCGAAGGATGAGATCATATCTACCCAGAAAACATAAAAAAGATGAAGTGAATGGGCTCCACGTTGCACTATTGAGTAATCCCTGCAACTCATGTCTACTTTTCTACCCTCAGCTGGTAGAATGTACTTCGTGTTCCTTCATGAAAGGAACATGTGCCAGTTCGTCCAAGTTAAATACAAATTGTTTACATCAAAGAATAATGGAGCAATTCACAACTTGTTAGAAAAAGAATGGCAGGTATTGAGAGCGGTAAATCGGTAACTTATCCTGCAAGTTGTAATGATGCTCTCTCCACATCTTCCACACTGAAGGTATATCCATCTTGTTACACATGGAAGGTAAACTCTGTAAGGCTATTGCAAAATTGAAGTGCAGTCAAATCTAGGTGCTTTCCCCTATCTGACCCTGTATTCCCTTTAATCTAGGTCGTAAGGTTAGCGAAACTCTATAAAGTTTATGGTTTAAGATGCAAAACTCATGCAAAATTGTCTAGCAGAAGTTTTCCGTACCATCTCCAGATTTTTCATCAAGTGTGAATTTTGTTGATTTAATTCCCAGATGAAGAAAATCCCTTGGGAAGACGATTAACCCAAGCAGAAGGAAGAATACCACTCTGTGAAACCAAATATACAATGAACGCAATATAGGCTGTGGTGCCGGAGCAGGCTAAAAGACCAAGCAAGATACCATTCACCTCAGCAATGAAGAAATCTAACAAGAGATACCCATTAATTACTATTATCAGTCCAGCAATAGTCCATGCTACTCTCTACAAATATAAAACATGTAAACATTAGAGTGGAAAATAATATACATGATTTTGTTAACTTGAAATTAGTATATTGAATGAATATTTCTACATCAACCCAGTTCCCATAAAGCACCACAAGCATGTGAATCTTGTATAAGAACAAATCCTTGTACATGATAATGTAAATTTTACGATAGTTATGTAAATGGAAACATCAATGTGGAGCAATCATTTTCCTTACTGATATGAGACAATTCCTTAAAACTTTAGGACTTCATTAACTCAAACACGGAGCAGTATAATTTTACTATTTTTTCCCATAAAAGAATGAACTGAAATTCAAACATCTTCACATGATGTACCAGTAAAACTTTCATGACATAAGAAACAAATTAGAAAAGTAAATGAAGTAAACTTCTCCTGTAAATTAAAATCAAATTATTCACTTTAAGGTATATGAGTTGATTTTAATTTATGAGAAAAGTTTGTTTAATTTTTTAACTCCTTATCTTTTCTCTTGTAAGTGTTTGTGGAGAATTTTATCAAAATTGGGCTACTACAAATGGAATTTACTGGATCACTAGTTTCTCAATTTTTAAATCTAAACTCATCCAACCATTCAAAACTCCAAAGTCAGCTCCATATATTAATGTATACATATATGATTCGTCAAAATAAGTGATGCCCTAGTAACAGAGTTTCATGGCTTCATAACAAAATAGTTGGACTGAGAGTACACTTCACAGAAACAGATCTTCCAAATAATTTAAATTCAACTTCGCTGATCATTTCTACTGCAGGAATGCAAATCCGTTCACAAAACACCTACCGACTATAGAATTAGCACATATTTCACATTCACGTTCAAATAAGAATTATCAAAACCAAATGCATCTGAGCAGCAAAACAAGAAAAGGGATAGAAACAAATATAGAGAAACATCAGGCATCCATCAAACATGTTTCACTCTCTTATACATAAATTCAGATCTATTTCTAGTTTTACCCAGCAAACATGTATAGATTTTTATTGTATAACCAACATACATCCTAAATAAATCTAGATTTGATCATAAGATTGGACTCTGACTGTCAAACCAGACAGACAACCATTCTTAACGAGAGAAAAAGAGATTTCTAGTTGCAGACACAAAGCAAAAACATTGGACAACTTTACTTTTGTTCCCTTACTGAAACATAAGTTTGAACCATGAGGGAAGTTGCTTCACAGAGATCTTATAATTAACAATCAACAAAATGAGAAAACAGTGAGATGATTAACTAACCTCAAGAACAGGTCCAACTCTAAAGGTTCCCATGACCTGCTCTTTGGAGACCAACGTGAGGAGGGGAATCAGAGCAAAGGGAATTTGCATGGACTGAAGTACATTGAGCCATTCATTCAAAATATCTAAGGAGGCTTCTGATCTATTAAAAACTATAGCAACAATTATGGTAGGCACAATTGCAAAACTTCGAGTGATCAATGCTCTCAACCATTTCTTTAAACGAAGGTTGAGGAAACCCCCCATTATGAACTGCCCAGCATATGTACCAGTGATGGTGCTGCTCTGCCCAGCTGCCAATAACCCAATTCCCCATATATAAAGAATAGGGAAGACTCCTCCTCCATACTTTTCTTCAAGATACTGCCCTGCATTGACCAGTCCTATGCTTTTTGCCTTTTTTGATCCATAAAATCCCTTAGCGAAAACTGTTGTGACAAATAGATTGATAATGAAGGAGACTGAAAGTGCAGCTGATGACTCAATTGAATAGTAGTTGAGAGCCTCCTGTACCCGACCTTTCTTTTTAGGGTCAACCTTCCTTGATTGCACCAAAGCAGAATGCAGGAATACATTGTGAGGCATAATGACACAGCCCACAACAGCCACAGCCTGACGAATTGTATTTGAGCTTAGTTTCGGAACCAAAATACCTAAAGAAGGAACAAACACAGTTATATTATATTATACCAATGGACTATCAAGGGCAAGATATCTGTTAATTTCTAAAATACCAGTCAGAAGAGATAATATGGGTCATATAGAAGTGTGAGATTTCAACCACAACATCAGATGAAATTTACCTATTAAAAGCTCTTGTCTATTAGGTCTTGCATCAGCAAACATCCAGGCAAAAGAAAGACCCATAACAGAAATGAGAACTGCAAAAGCAGCTTCCAACTTCCTTACTCCATAGTTCTCAAGAAATAGAAAGACAAAGCTGTTTTACAGGCAGAATATACCACAGTTAAAACACGTTCTAACATGCAAAGTAGAAAGCTTCCAAGCAAATAATCAACGGCAACAACACACTACAAACAATGGTACCTGTTTAAATAAACATCTCCATAAACTATAGCTTATGAATGCATCAATTAAAAACAAAATTTTAGAGAAACTAATTTGAAAAAGAAAAATAGAATTCTAAACATGCAACCAACACCTAACAAATACCCACTTAATATCACAAAAAGCACCTCAAAACTTGACTGGTGAAATCATCAAGAATTTGGATAAAAAATAATAATAATAATAGAAAAAAAAACGAGATATAAGGGTAAATGAATCAAACTTCTTCTACCAACTAAAATTAGTTTGTAATGCAAGGTCTCTCAAAAGTTGAGGTAAATGCATTGATTTTAGTTTAAGGGAGAATTTCTTATTTTGTTCTGGAATACAAAAAAGAAACATGGGTTAAATGACTGGAATTAGCAAGAACAAGGAAGGATACCAATCGGAAGCAGTGATTAGAACTCCAGCCCAAAGAGGGAAGAAGCCTCGGCTAAGAATTTGGATGGCGATCGCACTTCCAATGACCTCTTGAATGTCGGCGCCAATCAGGGCCAGCTCGGCCATGAACCAGAGCACGAGGCGGGCCCAATCGGGATACTCGTCCCTGCAGAGCTCGGCGAGGTGGCGGCCGGTGGCGACCCCGACCCTGGCTGACAGAAGCTGGATCAAGAGGCCCATGAAGGTGGCCCACATCAAGAGCCAGAGGAGGGAGTAGCCCGCGATGGCCCCAGCCTGGAGGTCCCCCTCGAGATTCCCCGGATCCAAAAACGCTATGCTCATCAAGAACCCAGGCCCAGTGAAGAGCCACAGCTTCTTCCATGAGAAAGGAGGAACGCTAGCATCGTCCACCGCGTCAAACTCGAATTCCGCCACCACGATCTTCTCCTCCGCTTCGTATGCCACATCTTCTTCCGATGATGATGCTGCTGCTGCTTCCTCTAGAAGCCGGTTCGCTTCCTCGTCTCTCTCCTCCTCCTTCGACTCATCTTCTCGCGACGGAGCACTCATCGGCTACCACTTCTGGTGAAACTTACCGGCGTACACGAGCGGCGGAGGAAGCCAGTTTGCGGTTGCCTGCTACGTGTGCAGACTCAATGCGCCTATTTATACGGATCTATCCACTATCTCTCGTAGCCATGTTGTCGTGTAGCTAGTTACTCTCTACTCCGCTGCTAGATGCAATCGCTCGATTTAACCTAACAGCGTAGCGACACGTCAAAAACCCAGGGTTATTCTCGTCATTTAAGAGAAACTTTGCATCATCTGCTACTGTGGCCGTTAGATTATTTATTCCAGCATCATTCTTTTTCTTGTCATGTGCGCTGTTGTTACCACACTTTATACGGCACTTTAATTCTCCACATACTTCACCTCATGAAACTCGCGTTTAGACATTATTCTCATTAATGGTTATTTACGTTGTTTAATTATAAATTATCATTATTATTGTTAATATGTTTTAAAATAGTTATTTTTATTAATATATAATAAAAATTAATTAATATAAATTGCTTCATTAGCTACATATTTATATTAAAATATGTGTTACTCCTTAATCTAAACTTTGAGTAAAATATGTCACTGTATTTAATTATTTATATTAATTATTAAATGTAATAAGATCTGGACCCTTTGCTTCTAATCCAATCCTTTCCGTCATCTTTAATGGGCGTGTGGCCATCACGTGGAATCAAACTTTTATTTTCTTTGAGGCTAATTTTACTATTTCATCCAATGAAATTTTCTATTTTATCGATCAAAAAATCAATTGGCTCTTCAATATTAATACTTAATGATAAAATATTTTCTATTCAATGTTAAACTTATTTTTAAAATTATAGTTTAAATCAGAAAATGGTTTTACACAAATTAATAATAAAATGTAATTCAGATATATTTTATACAATCAAGTATAAAAATATAATTCTTTTATTCAACTAAGCCGACACTCAAGCTGCAAAAACAACATTCATGACGCAAAACTAATGAATGTTTAATTTAATTTTTATTCTTAGAGTCCTTAAAATTTACTTTTTGTTTTATTTTATTTTATTATTAAATATTAAAAATATTTTTAGAAGTTAATTTAGAAAAATATTTATAAAAATAAGTTAAAGAAAGGAAATTTGTTTGATATCACGAATTTTTAAAATTATTTAAACAAAACAACATGCTAAAAAATAATAATGATTTTGATACTTTTTTATAATAAAAATATATTTTATCAATTTTTAATTTTAAAATTTTAAAAATAAAATTATTTAATAAGACAGTTAAGGAACAAGTTTATTAATTTTTAAAATTAAAAACTTAAAACTGATTTCAAACCCTAAATAAATATGCCTTTAATGTTTTTTTTTAAATCCATTATCCACGTTTTTAATGTCCTCTAGTTTATGAAAATGCTTTCGGTTCAGTCATTACTAATTTAAATTCTTTTAGTACATGTTTGGATGGATTTAGAAAGAATGAAAAGAGAATAAATAAAATAGAAGAAGATTATTTGGATTAAGTGAAAAGAAAAGTGAAAATAGATAAAAAAAAGTAAAATAAATTTATATATTATTAAAAAGTTATTAATTATTTTAATATTATTTATTAATTATTTTAATATATGTATAATATTATTATTATTATTATAATAAAACATATAAAAATTAAATATTTTTATTTATACCTTATTTTTCTTTTAAATTTTAATCACTTTCTTTGATTTTTGTAAAAAAAAATTCTTGATTTTTACCCGTTAATTACATAAATATAATCATTATTGTCCTGATTTTCTTCTTCTTTTCCCAGCCTTGCATTTTTCCATCCATCCTCTTATAACAAAGGCTTACACTTTCTGTATTGAAGCAAAAATTTAATATTTTATCAATTGTAATGGGTTAAATTGCAAGTAATTTTACGTGCAATGAAAATAGAAAATTCACATCAAAAGAATTATTTATCATATCCTTGCAATTTTTATTGAAGCATAGCTACTCAAATTAACTCTTTAAAAAAAGCTTTCTAAAACACTGTTCATCAAATAAATTACAGTGACTATTTTACAATAATCCAAAATAACACATCTAAAGATTTTTTTTTTTAAATAATGTTAAAGATTCCAAATTCACACTCCTATAAAAAAAAAAAAAAAAAGAGTTTAACTTCTAACTCTAACCTAGCACTTTCGTTTCTGGTTTATGTTAAAATTAATATATGAAATAGTATAATATGTATTTAAATCATATTATAGGTTAAACTTTGGTTTTGATAAAGTTCTAACATAAAATTAATTAGTAATATATGAAGTAGTCTTCGATGTATTTAAATCATAAAAAATAATAACCTGCGAGTAGACTCTCCGAACAAGAGGCATCAGATTTTGATAAGAAAGTCAAACACTTTCACCGGCTCCCTTTTCTGATTCTCTGATGTTCCACTTGCTTTTGTTCACTTCCAAGTTCATAAAATCTTCACCACTATGAGTTAAGAGGGCTTGTCAGATTGCAAGAGAGAAAATGACATTTGTCCTCCACTCAGAATCATGTTGGAGTCCTTGGAAGGTGAAAGAAGCAGTGGAGTGAAAAATTGGCATGCATACCATTTGAAGCCACACACAGTGGAGTCTTCGTGCAAGACCCTTTTGTCAAACCATTTTCCACACTTTACCAAAACAATTGTTTCTCTGATTGCTTGAATCAGAAGCACCACGGTAAAGTGTGGATACAATTTTCTACACAAAATTACTTCAATGGCCAGGACTACATCAGAGGGTAGAATATTTATACACAAAGTGAGAGACTTTGCTTTTAACAGAAAATGATGTCTGTGGTAATTGAAAGAAGCTTTTTTTTATGATGGAATAAGCAATAAGATCCGTGATATAGTTAAATTAATGCCTGATACACCTATGGATTGCATAAAATGATTAAAGTTTGTATGTCATACATTTTTTCGCTTATTCTGTAAAATTGACAATAGTTCGCAGGGAATACTGAGCTTAATGCCAGATCGGAACAAATGTATATCTTAGGAACGAGTTAGAGCTCTTTTATTTTCATTATTTTTTTTTTTATAAAGCATGCTTTTAAATACTTTAAGAGAAGACAAATATTTTTTTAATGGTAAAAAAGAAACACAATTTATATTTCCCTTTAATCTATTAAAAATTAAATTATCTTCTATAAGGTCAATTGTTTTTATGAAATCAATCCTTATTTACTTCGTGACCAAACCAAATTAGTCTTAAAACATTGATATATTGTGTTTATGAAAATAAAAAAAAACACCTATTTTAGATTTAATGACTTAATTGTCCCACTATTTATTTTTAGTTTTTTTAATAATTTTATTATTATTACTTTTAGCTTTAATTTTTAAAAGAGAGTTGATATATTTTCTTCCATTAATCGTTAAAATGCAACGCGAAATCAATTTTAAGGTATAAATTATCAATGATATCTCATATTTATACTGTTTTAACTATGTCTCCCTTAATTTACAAAAGATAATAATATATTGACACTTAAAAAAATTATAAATAAAATTATTGATAATGAAAATACAAGTGGAATGAAGTTAAAAAATATATCAATACATACTGAGAAGAAATAAATTATTTTATTTTTTTTAAATCACTACATCTATTGGACGAGTTCCGGGCAACACTACAGATACCATGGTTGAACAAAGAAAACCACTGGTTAATACAAGTGTCAATGGTAAGAACAACTTTGTCTCAGTGTGAACTCATACCAAAAATATCATAAGAATATATATATATATATATATATATATATATATATATATAAAAGTCACTTTTTTTGGTTGCTTATAGTTTAGCCGAAGATGAACTCTGCCCAAACAATGGTGACTCTTTTCCCCTGCAGCTTCATGCAAAAAAAATAGAAAATAACCACTCGATCTCTTCACAAAAATCCACTCCCAAAGTCTAATTTCCTACCACATTTTCCCTACAATCTACATCATCCTCAAATCAAATAACTACAATACACCTGTCTGTAAGCCTAAAGGTGAAATAATCTTCGTACTTTGTGGATAACCCTTCGGCATATAGGACATATTTTGCTCTCCCCATCGACAATCCTGCAAAATGCATTCTAGTGTGAAAATTTGTATAGATTAAAGCCTATGAAAATATTCAGCTGTGTGTGCGTGGGTACCTCTGTGCACAGTCATAGCAAGTGGCACAATGTCCACAAGGAACAAAGAAACTGTTGCGTTGTTCATCATAACAAATGCAACATAATTTTTCATCATATAACTCCTCTGAAGAGCTACTAAATGCTCCTGAATCTTCTTCCTCATCTTTTGCATTTGTTCCATATGATATTTGATTATCCTCCACTCCCATCAAGGGCTCAGTTTCGGTCTGTGTTGCAACTACATTACTTGTTCTGTATGTGACGTCGACTATCACATGATTATGCTGCTCCTCACCTTCATAGACTCCAAGGACTTTCAGAATCAGATAAACAACAATCACAATAACTCCTACACACAAAAATGCGGCATCTTTAGCAGCAAAAAGTATATATAGCTCAACCAAAGCATTAGAAAATAAATTTTAACCATTGTACCTAGAAGTAATATGTAGGAAAACACACGGGCTACTAGAGAAATTTCAACATTCGATACCCCATCTCCCTGTAATCAATCGATGTAACAATGCATTGTTGAATTACTTGGCGAAGATCTCTAAAGGTAAATGAGTCAGACAAGGTTACTTATGCCTTACATTGTTGGTTGCCGTAAGAGTAACATATTGTGTATTAGGGAAGACAAAACTGAGCCTACAAGATCCTTTTGCAGTGGAACACATCTTCTTGGCTTTGGTGGTATCATATACCTTTGCTGAAATATTAACTTCCATAGTCAAGATTATGTTCCTGGCATTCATGTTTAGAACCCCAATGTGGTATCTATCATCTTCCTCAACCAGGTATTCAGCTTCTTTACCTAGCAATGTTCACAAAAATAACAAAACCCTGCCTCTTTCAAAATTTCCATGTACTTAGCTAATCGTAGATAATTGGCGTAACACTAGAGAATAGAATTGGAGATATCGCTGCATAGTTGGTAATGAATTTTCATATTACAATGATTGTTGTAAGCTTTCTGAAAAAATAAAAATAAAAAAATCATTGCTTTAAAATAAAATCATGATAAGTGGGGAGCAACTTATGATAAATAACAAAGTATTAGTGATTGTTCAACTTGTAAGTCAAGTTATGATCAAATAAATCAAATGCACAATCTTTCCTGAGAGTAGAGTAATCTCACATTAATTGATAAGAGGATAGAAATAGTGTATAAAAGTAGAAAAGAATTTTGATTTCATGATCCAAATTCTAGGAATGGAAAAAGTTTCAAAATTGTAGCCTATGGCTAATTACTTATGGCACTAAGGTAGTTTTTCACCTAATTTTTAGCTAAAACGTAGCGTAACTATACAATCAATTACCAGTAACAATCTCTTGAAGAGAAATTGCATTGAGGAAGCTCGTTTTTTGAGTCTGTAGTAGTTCAAACTTCATGTCTCCTGCGAAATAAGAATGATTCTTGAGAAAATCTGAAATCCATATTCATGAAAGAAAAGAGATAGCCATGAGATTTCCCCTGATGTAACCTTTGGCCACCATCCCATGTAGCTGATCCAAACTACTAGTAGTATGTGCTTTCCACCTAATACGGATGGTGGAGCCCTGATTTAACCACAAAGAAATCCCCTGAAGTTGAAAAATCAATTTCTTCAAAGATATTCTCTGGGTGACTGCTTAGAACAAACCAAACCAGACCAGACCAGACCAGACCTTATAACAATGTTACCTTGCTTTTATACGCTTCAACAAGGAAGAAATCCGACACGTTCCAATTAGTGTAGGAACTTAATTCGGGCTTCTCATTGAAGGCGTGAAGAAAGACTTGATTTTTGTCCTTGCTTGACACTTGAAGCTGCTTCACAAAAACAGAACTGGTCCTAATCAAACGGGATGAGGCAGGGCCAAGCAGGATATGAGAATCCCCGTAATACCCATAACGGAGTGCGGCTGAAACTGCAAAATAGAAACATATAGAGAGAGAAAGAAAAGGGCAATGCGTGAGAAAGAGTGAAGGAAGGAGGGAGGGAACCATAAAGAAGATGAAAAATTACATGCCACAAATCCAAATAGTGAGAGGAGGCAGCATCCAAGCATGTTGCCATCGGTGAGGTTGAGATGGTGTAGTGCGCATGGGTGGGTGTGACAAAGCCATTGATTCGATTCAAGATAGCAGCACTGAGAGTAGAAGGTTTCCCTGTTCTTTTATGAAGCTAACGTTAGGTGTGGCGTGAGTGATCGGCGGGTATTTGAATTGTAGATAGTTGAACGTTAGGTGCTCCTTATGATAGTTTCCATCACTTTCCACATCAACTAATTCAACTCTGCATTTCTTTTTCTAATATTCTTCCTCAAGAGTAAACACAATTAAACACTGACTGACAAAAGGTAAAGCAAACAGCTATGATTAAGATATGATTGACAGAATGTAAAAGTTAAAAGCTGAAGAAACAAAAAAGACTTCATTTATGAAAACATGTAAAAAAGTTGAGCAAGACAAGCGCATTTTTACAAAAACAAAAAAAGGAATTGATTTTGTACAGATGACATGACAGCATGGGATCACTCCCTCTGGTGAATGACCCCAAAAAATGGGGCAAGGTGATGGTCAGACATTGTATTTGTGGCGTCTAGAATAGGATGGGTACCCTTGCTGGTCCTAATTGACTTTGTGAGTGTTGCTATGAAAATCACGTTAAAGGTGAAAATTTGTAATAGAAAACATAACAACATGCATGCATTTCTCCTTCTCTGTCAACCTTGGCATAATTTTCATTAGGCAATTTAACTTTGATAGAATCAGTCTTCCTATGTTTAGTAAATCAACTCATAAAACTGAACTGCATATGAAACGAATCAGAGTTTACAATCCAAACATCTTTTTCTTCAATAACTTCAAAGCCAATGGTCTTTTGTACTGGGCAGGCATGATATACGTGAATTGTGCTAAGGAATCGATGGTTTTAAACGACTAGTTTTCACAAATAAAAGTAGTGCTTTGTGTTATCAACATGTGCTTTGTAGTTTTTATGGTTAAAAAGATTAGTGAAAGTTGAATTAAATACATTGATACCTGATACTTTGTCACAAAAGAACTTGTCAGAAAAGAAATTATTATTTTGGATCATTATATATATATATATATATATATATATATATATATATATATATATATTCTTCTCTTCAGAAAACACACGTTGAGTTTGAAAGAATGAGCGTCTAAAAAGCCGAAATCAAACTAGTCAAAGAGTGAACGTGTATGCTTTTGCAATGATTGAAGAAAAGTGGCTCGTCATGCAAATCTACTTGTATTTTATCTAATGTGTTGCTTAAATAGAGAACGTATTTAGATCAAAATATTATATTTGCAATTTTTTTTTTGTTGAATCAATCTTAATGATTCTGAAATAAAATAAAAGAAATTAGAGAAGAAAGGAAATATAGAAAATGATTGAATTATTCATTAATTGAAAGACGAACAAAAAGAAAAAAATTAATTTTTGTTTTCTGTCACAATCTTCATTATTTAATTAATATATATGATTTGCAAGAATGAAGGAATAATTAATATAGTAGAATTGAAATGAGAAATTTTAGATGTATGGTATATGAGGTGAAATATAGAGAGAAAAACTTGGTATACATCCCCACCAAAATTTGAAATGGTTAAAAATAATTATTGAATATAGTGAAAAACTAATTACAAGGTTAATTTCTTTCTATCTAAAATACACATAGGGTAATATATTTATGACTAAGAGTCGTACAAGTAAATATGATAAATTATATATATATATATATATATATATATATATATATATATTGTGACTAATAATATCTATAATGTCTAATACTCTCTCTCAAGTCGATGAATATAAATTATATGTACCAAACTTGTTACAAATATAATCAATTCTAGGTCTTCGTAAAGACTTGATGAAAATATATGTTAATTGTTCACTTAAATTAACAAACGCGATCTTAATGTCTCCAGATACAATATTTTCTCAAATAAAATAACAATCAATTTCAATGTATTTGATCATTTTATGAAAGAAACGATTAGAGTTGATATAAAAGCAATCTGATTGTCACATATAAGTGTCATTTGAGTAATATCTCTAAATTATAATTTTTTAAGTAATTGTTTAAACCAAACAAGTTCATAAGTGGTTGAGGGCATAACTATATATTCTCGCTTCGCTTTAGATTTTGCTACAACACTTTGTTTCTTGTTCTTCCAAAAGATTAAGTTACCTCCAATAGAAACATAGTATCCGGAAGTAGATCTTTTATAAGAAAGAAATTTTGTCCAGCCAGCATCTGAATAACAGACAACTTTAGTCTGCCTATTGTGTTCATATAACAGTATCCTTTAATGTACTTTAATATACGAATGACTGCACTCCAATGATCTGCACATGAAAAATTAAGAAATTGACTCACCACACTAACTGCAAAATAAAATGTCAATGACGTAAGATAGTTTAATTTTTCAACTAATCTTATGTTGTTTAATTTTTCAATTAATCTTATGTGCTTCTCAGGATCTGAGAGAGACTCCCTCTAATTAGGTAGGAGTTTGAAATTGAGATCCATGGGTGTGTCAACAGATCTTAAGTTCATCAACCCAATTTCTTTTAAAATATCTAATGCATACTTTCTCTGAGATATAACAATGTCATAAATGTCATAGTGATCACTTCTTGTAAGAACAATATCATCAATATATATTATTAAATAGATACACCCAATACTTGAGCGACTGTAAAATATTGAATGATTTGTCTCACCGTGAGTCATACCAAACTGCTGAACAACACTGTTAAATTTTTCAAACCAGATCTTAAGAAATTGTTTTAGGTCATATAAAGATTTGTGAAGACGAAATATCAATCCAAAAGATTCCACTTGAACAACAAAGCTTGGAGGTTGTTCCATATAAATTTCTTCCTGCAAATCTCCGTTAAGAAAAATATTTTTGACATCCACTTAGTAAAGAAGTTATTGTTGAATAGCAACTATGACTATGAATAAGTGAATAGAAGTCATCAGTTGTCGGAGTCGGAGGAGACAAATGAGTTGGCACTAGATGTGAGTCATTTGATGGTTGTTGGGATTGTTATCTTTGATTATAAACTTAAAGTAGTGGTGGCGAAGGAGAATCCAAAGGTGGGCTAACAGGAGAATCACACACAATAAGAATATTAACAGTAACAGATGACGACACACATGAAGAAGAAAAACACTTAAACTAAAAGAAAGACTCATTAAATGTGACATCTTTAGAAATAAAATAATGGTTAAAAGAATGATATAAACACTTATATCTTTTTTGTGATTGAGTAAATCTTAAAAAAACACATTTGTGTTATCTAGGAGATAACTTATCAAGACTAGAACTAAAATTATGAACAAAATACGTAGATCCAAAAACACTTTAAGAGATAAGGGATATAAAGGTTCATGAGAAAATAAAAGAGAATGAGGAATTTTGTTATTTAGAATAGAAGATGACATGTGATGATGTGATGGATAAGATAACATGCAGTAAGAACAACATCACCCCAAAAATATTTAGGAACCTCAACATGGACTAAAAGAATACGAATTGTTTCAACAAGATTATGTTTTTGCGCTCAGTCACCCCATTTTGTTGAGGTGTATAAGCACATGGAGTTTGATGAAGAATACCATGAGAAGTTATATGAATCACAAGGGATGATTTAGGATCTTTAAGGTTAGAACCTTGTAAGAAATTTAGGAATTAGAAAGAAGGTGGAAGGAAAGAATCACTCTTTCCAAGGAAGGCAACACACAAAGGATGTGAAAGTACTTTGATACAGCCAAATATTCTTGAATCACTCAAGAACTTAGGATAATCACTCTCACTAAGATAAAAGAGATAAACTCTAATATTTCTAAAAATAAAACTCAACTTGTTATTTCTGATAAAAATGGTTCAACTTATAAAGAAGGTTTGCCATCAGAGTTACAAATATTCATTAAAAGAAGATAAATGCTAATAATGATTTATTAACCTAGGAATTGAAAACTAGTTAATAATTTATTGTAACTGAAATTGTGGCATCCAAAATTCAATCAGCTATGCACCCTCTTGGTCTCCCAAATACTGATAACTAAATTTCCAATTGGGCCCTTATTACAACTTGGAATAAAACTAAACTAAAACACATTAATTGATTAATCCAAAACACAATTTGGTCAACCAATAATACTTGTTGAAGAACTTCATTTGTTTCCCTTGCTCTAGCCCTTATCATAGGTCATGTTCATATCATTGTCTCTCTCTTGAAAATGATTTGTCCTCAAATCGGATTCATCATCTACATTAAAAAGAGATAAGTCTGACAAATTAAATATAGAACAAACATTATACTCACTTTTTATGGCTAAATAGCTCTGTTTCACTTGAAGTGTTTCACTCTTCTTCTTTTTTTTTTCTCTTTTCTTGAAGAAATTTTTCTCTCATTCTCTTTTTATCCTCCTCTGCCATCAATTTAATGTTCAAACCTTTAAACTGGGGCTCTGAATACCAACTGATATGAATCACAAGGGTTAATTTAGGATCTTTAGGGTTAGAATCTTGTAGGAAATTTATGAATTTAGTGATAAGGTGGAAGGAAATAATCACTCTTTCCAAGGAAGGCAACACACAAAGGATGTGAAAGTACTTTGATACAGCCAAATATTCTTGAATCACTCAAGAACTTAGGATAATCACTCTCATTAAGATAAAAGAGATAAACTCTAATATTTCTAAAAATAAAACTCAACTTGTTATTTCTGATAAAAATGGTTCAGCTTATAAAGAAGTTTTGTCATCAGAGTTACAAATATTCATTAAAGGAAAATAAATGCTAATAATGATTTATTAACCTAGGAATTGAAAACTACTTAATAATTTATTGTAACTGAAATTGTGGCATTCAAAAGTTAATCAGCTATGCACCCTCTTGGTCTCCCAAAGACTGATAACTAAATTTCCAATTGAGCCCTTATTACAACTTGGAATAAAACTAAACTAAAACACATTAATTGATGAATCCAAAACGCAATTTGGTCAACCAACAATACTTGTTGAAGAGCTTCATTTGTTTCTCTTACTCTAGTCCTTATCATAGGTCATGTTCACATCAAGAAGTCATAAAATTTTTAAAAGAATGAGAAAGGTATTCACAGTCATTATCACTTCGCAAAATTCGAACAGAAATCCCAAACTAAGTTTTAATTTTATTAAAAGAAGACACAACCATTAAATTGGAATATAGAAAACAACTCAAAACGATTCTTCATTAAAAACAACCAAAGTACTTCTAGAATAATCATCAATAAAGATAACAAAATATTAAAAACCTAAATTAGATTTAACACGATTAGGTCCCCAAAAAAGGGATGAAGCACGTTGTGAGACATTACGAAGAATTGATCTACGACTATGTTTGCCTAATTGACATGACTCACATAATAAAATAGATAAATTTGACAAACTGGGAACAAGTTGCTACAATTTGACAAGATTGGGGTGACCTATAGCTGAGCATGGAAGAGAGATGGAGACTTCATAACTCTACCAACATGTGTAGAATGACGGAGATTATAAAAACCGTGAGACTCACATCTGGTGCAAATAATCTGTCTCGAACTCCGGTCCTTTAAACAAACAAAATCTTTGGTAAAAGAAATAACACAATCAAGAGAACAAGTTAGATAATTAATGAATAATAAGTTAAAGGAAGGCTCAGGGACATAAAAAACATTATCAATGGATAAAGATAGAAAAATTTTAACAATATCAATACCATGAGACAAACCCTATACTTATTAGTCATTGTAATTGAAGGTAAATTATTCGGAGAGGATAAAAAAGAAAATAAAGATTTGTTCTCAATAATATGATTTGTGGTGTCTAAGTCAAGAATCCCAAGTCCAATAGAAGGAGATTGAGTTAGGTTAACAAAAGATGTACCCGTGAGTGCAACGTAAGTAGTAGAACTAGAGTTCTAACGAGTCTCGTATCATTTGAAAAATTCATTGAAAAAAATTCATTGAAAATAATATATATATATATATATATATATATATATATATATATATATATATATGTCTGCGTTATAAGATGACGTCAGAAGATGTTTGTGGGCAACGGAAGAAACTTTGGAGAAAGAAAGAGAAAAAACCTTAAAAACATTAAATAACGTGTGAAGATTTTGATCGCGACATTATCAATGACACGGTGGTGGTTGCGTAGTTGAGATGAGCAGTAATGGTATGGTCACCTGGCCTAAACCGTTACTCAGATAGCGACAATAATTCCAACGATGATGACGACTGTGACAATAATGGTGGTACGTAACGGAGGCGGTCGGTGCAGGGATTAATTTCTTTATGTTTAAAATACATATAATACATATAGATAATATATATGATATAAGATTAATTTCAAACTAGATATAAGATTAATTTCTTTATGTCTAAAATACATATAAATAATATATTTTTATTAAGAGTTATATAAGTAAATAGGGTAAAAAAATATATATATATATATATATATATATATATATATATTTAACTAATAATAATTAAAATATCTAAAATATAATAATATAATAATAATAATAATAATAATAATAATAATAATAATAATAATAATAATAAGTTGTTAACTGAGAGTAATAATACGAACAATGCAACTTCAAAAAATAAAGAAAAAAAAATCCAAATCCTCCGTTGAAAGGTTAATACATATAAGAGCAGTGGCGAATCTTGACCATTGATCTTGGGGGGCCAAATAATATATTATTAATAAATATAAAAGGAAGAAAGAAGATAAAAGGATAAAAGGATAAAATTGTAAATATATATTTAAATATATTAAATGATCGTTAAGTTAGAGAAAGACAAAATTATAAATTATATAAGAGTTATAAAACTGAGGAGGGACTGAGAGGATAAAATTGTAAATATACAAGTAAATATATTAAATGTTAATTAAGTTTAGGGAAATAAAATCATAAATTACATCAAAGTAATAAGATCCGCAACTGTATAAGAGTATGGATAATGTAAGTGGGAAAATGTTAGAAGAGAATCCGAGTCGGTGAGATTGAAAGAAAAAGAAGAAAATTTAAGAGGTGGCAATGGCTGGCTTCTGCTGTCACTAATTTTTTGAATATTTTTTCCATTGCTTACGCGCAATAATCCTCCATCTTCCATCACGCCTTAAACCACCGCAAGCTTGTTCCCTTCACCCTCTTAGCCACCCTCACTTTTGGCACCTATAACTCATAATGCTATCGTAACAACAAAACAAAAGTAGTTGATTTTTGCTTCTCAGCATGAACTAGTAATACAGTTTCGTGTGTGTTGTTTGGGACAAACTCTCACTCTTTTCGTGTCATGAGTTACAAAATGACGTAATAAAATAAAATAGCAACACTGGTCTTGTTGCATTCATTGATTATTTAACACACACCACCAATTCCAAATAGTTCTTGGGAGATACACGTTGCAGAACCAAGGAGAGAACATAAACATGTTCATTCAAGATTAATAAACATTAGTTACGTGCTAAATATGCTCTTCTAAGTTATCTGGATACATATACCACACAAAAGCCAACTCCTACATTTCTTCCTCTTTTTCCCTTGTTTTGTTCTCTTTTCACCGTTTTTTGTTTTTCAGATGTGTTTCACATGGGATAACATGTGGTCCGGTTATTCGATCCTCATTTATTCATTTTTATGAGGGGTTGAGTGTTTCCTATTTCCTATATATTTCTTTGATAGGCTTTCTAATTAAGGTGGTGACAGCAGGGTGAAACATGGGGAGAGTGAAGCTTCAGATCAAGAAGATTGAGAACACAACAAATAGGCAAGTTACTTTCTCGAAGAGGAGGAGTGGACTCATCAAGAAAGCTTACGAACTTTCTGTTCTTTGTGATGTTGATGTGGCTCTCATCATGTTTTCTCCATCTGGAAGAGCCAGTTTCTTCTCTGGCAACAAAAGGTTTTGCTGATTTCTATGCTTGTGTTTTGTGGGTGGGAACTTTATTCTGTGCTGTCAAAATTTCCATGCATTTGTACATTAACTTTATTTGTATATTTTGTAAAATAGTAATTTTAAAATGAGTTAAGTTTATAAGATTAATTAGAGGGTGTGATAAGGTGTCTTTGTAAAATGAAATTTATAATACATTTTAATTTTATATTTTACTTGTCTTCTCGATTAGGTGGATTAAATCTAAGTTGATATTGAAGATAATCCAGTCATTGATTTTTTGTTTCTATTCTATTTTAAAGCTTTGTTTAATTTTAACCGTAACCGACATAGAAAGAAAGTACTTTCTATGTACCGACATAAAAAGTGAATTTGTCCACATATCATGTCGGTTATATAACAACCGACATAAAAAGTTCATAATATTATTACAAAAATGTCACCCCTATATACTATGACGGGTGGATTACAATCGTGATAAAATGTCGTCATAGAATCATATTTTTCCACTAGTGATTGGAAAATCTAATGATGTTTTTTTTTAAAACTATGTTTTAAAGATTTGAAGAAATTCTAGAACGATATGATAATCTTCAGGAGGGTGACACGGAAGGTAAGAACTCCTCATCAAACTTTGAGATAATTCGTGTTAATGCTTCTTCAATAGTTTAGAGTCTAATTAAAAAAAAATTGAGTTTTAAGAGCTTCTTTAGTTTGTAACTAATCTTCTTCGTTTAACTTTTTTTCTTAAATAAGTGTATGCTTAACTTTGTATGCTAGATGATTGTTATTTAGTTTATTTTCTAATGTTGCATCCTTTGATGCATCGGCCATGTGGGCTTAACGCAACTCTTGTTCGTTGCCGTAAACTCTGAAGGATGCATAATCAAGAGGTAAATGAATTTAACTAGTCTTGCATCACATAAAGCTTTGAACTGGACATCGATTTGAGAAGCTTTTGGAATATTATTCTGAAATTGAAATTTGTCATTGCCTTTGTAGCACATTCAAAAGTTATTGCAAGGAATACGCCCTGCTACATCAGCAAATTTCGGGTCTCTTGTCGCTATTTGAATAAAACCATTAACACCATTTCTGAATTCTTCAGTTATAATACCGAATTGATTATTTCTTTGTAACATCCATCTTCGATCTGGTTTCATTAATCTTGAAGCTGGTTTAACAAAACTAAAAAAGTCATGGTAACAAACAGATGAAGGTTAAAGATCTAATTGTTAAAATTAATTCAATTTTAATAATAAATAACTTTTTTATAAGAAATAACTTTTATGTGAGTGTGAGGATGCAGTGGGAAAAAACATAGCAGATCCACCCCACCCTCCAACGTTATTATTTTATCTTAATTTCTGGTTTTCGAGACATTATTTTGTGTTCATTAATAGTTGATCCTAGAACTGTTAATGTTTACTGTTACTGTTTACAACTTTCATCTTTGCCCAATATCCATATCCACACACACTTCAAAGGGTTAAAAGAAAAAACCCACTTCTGAGAACATAGCAGGAACAAGAAGAACAAAGGGTTAAAAGGCATGTGTATATGTTACTGATTCAACAATACGGTGAATGGTTGTTGGGTTGGACCATTCCATTTAAGTGGGTGCTTGGCCTCAGTCATTATGTTACAGATCCAAAAGCCAAAATAGAGCACCCCTTTTTTGTACCAATAGAAGTTCCTCACTGAAGTGGGGTGCTATACTGGTCAAAGATGTTGTAAGATACTCTCATCTTGGTCCTCCTCCCAACTCCCAAGCAATGCAGTATTGGTTGTGTATCTTGGAAATGCTATGAGACCGGTTTCACAAGACAAGATGATGTGGCAAGTCCAATGCTTACTTGCATTTCTGTGGTTTATATACATGATGCAGCATACTCAGACAGAGTAGTAACCTTATTGGAATTGAGAATTGATTCAGCTTTTTTTCTAACTGAAGTAATGGTACAAGATTTAGTACAGGTTTTCTTTTTATTAATGAATGGAAGTCGGTTTTCACTAACCTATCCGGCTAATAGTTTTTCATTCCACTAATTCTGTCACCATTCGCTCCTCCGAAGATTCTGTTATTTACCGAGTCTGAGGTTGGTGAATTTGCATAGTATTGTAACTCACTGATGATGTAATACACTCTCAATTGTGATTATCTGTGAATTTTATTCCCAGTCTTTCGGTGAGTTGTGGTGCTATAAACATTTTTTCAAAAGATGTGTTATTATTTGTGGAACAATGAAAGAGAAAGGGAGAAAGGTATGTGATGTGGCCCAAGGATACAAAGAGAGAAATGTGCATATATAACATAATAATTCCTTGAAAAAATTGAGATGATTGAGCTATCTAAATGGGATCGTAAATAAAATATGGTAATATCTGAATAAATAATTTAGAATTAGGTGTTGATAACGACGGAATCTGGATATTTAGTTTGCCTAAAAGTTATAAAGGTGTTATGTTAGTCCTTTCCTCAGATAAAGTATATGTTTGTAATTTGTTAGTTAGGTCTATTTTTTTGCCTATGTTTATTTGAATGACAATGGGAACTTAACAAGCATTCGAAGTATGAATTTAAATTTAACACTACCTAACAATAATACCAAGTATCCATTTAATTTCACAAAGCATGTTCTGTCACTCTCCTATAGTCAATGAATTTGACTAGTTTTACTAGATGACCACATCATGACCACAACATATACATATTCACCCCATAGTCATATTTTACTGTTTTTTTTTCTGCTTTTTCTTTTCTGTTGTGCATGTCTGACTGATATAAGCTCATTTTCTTTGACTACAGCATGCACAAACAGGGAACAAAGATTTGATGTATTACTTATAAATATGAAAAAACTACAGCAACACTCTTAAACATCATCAAAACTCGATAAAAAATTAAATCATATTTATAATAGACACAAAAGGAACCACACACCTTTCTTTCTACGGCAGGATAGAGGGAAAGAATTTGTTCTAGTGGTTTCAAAACCACAAGGCTAGGGATAGACAGAAGCTCAGATGGAAACTCAGCAACTACAGCTCTTGTGTGCAACAAAGTGAAGGATGAACAAAATCTGCTCTCATGAATCACCACACCAGCATTGGAGCCAGGAAATATCTGAAAAGGAAACTAAATAAAAAAATAGAAAAGGTACTGAAAACACTGTTGAGATTACAACACATGGCAATGATCAAAACATCTTGTGGACTCATGTGTTAGGGACCATCCTTTGATCTTGAGTGGAATTCCAAAATCGTGGGCATTGTAACACTAGGCCCAAAACAAACCACGTAGGAAGAGAGGGACAGAGGACAATCACAAAAATGCAGTTAATCCAAAACTATACTGTGAGCGGCAGAGGCAGCGGTGGCAGCTGCGGCAGAGACAATCACAAAAATGTGTGTCAGGATTCAACCATCTAACAGCAGTTTAGTTGTATGCCTACCTGTAGCACCAACCACGTTGTCATGGTCAGAACCAAACAAGTCGATGACTTATATGTAAATCTTGAAGGAGAATAGAAAACCCAGTTTGCATAGGGATACAATATACACAAATATCAGAAAATAAATGTCATATTTCTGCATCATTAGCAGAGATAAATGACCTAATTAGAAAGAGAATTATAGACACAAACCTCATTTTGTATCCTGTTCTGAAGAGATTCAACCAATTGATTCCTGTACTGGCAGCGGCGCAGTAGGGCAGCGGCAACGGATTGATTCCTGTACTGGCAGCGGCGCAGTAGGGCAGCGGCAATGGCGCGACAACAGGTAGCGGGAGCGACGACAATGAGAGCGGCGGCAGCGGTAGCGAAAACAAATGCACTTTAGATCTTAGTTGAAAATGAAAGAAGGAGATACAATTTAGTTCTTAGTTGAAAATGAAAGATGTGACGTAGTTGGAGCGGGATGGAAATTTTGGAAAAAAGAAATTAACGTAATATTTTTATTAAAAAAATTTAATTTTAATTTTTTTTATAATTATATTAAAGATGTTTATATTTAAAATAATATTTAATTAAATAAATATTTTAATATAATAATATTTTTTATAAAGATTAATTTCTAAAAAAATTATTTATAAAATTTTCTATTAATTTAAATTATTAAATACTTCCTACCAATTTAAATTTATAAAAAATTTGCAGAAAATAATTTTAAATATTTATCAATTTTTTTAGATATTTAAAAAAAATTATAATTATTTTCAAATAATTTTTATATATATATATATATATATAATTAATATATTATAGTAAATTTGGTAAAAATAATTTTTAAATAATTTTATAATTATTTTTTTGCTATAAATTTACTACAATTTAACTATAATTATATGTTATATAATTTAGCTAAAAAATAGCTTCAAAAAATAACATAGTTAATATTTATAGTTAGGGATTAGTGATAAAAAAAATTTCTAGCTAAATTATTTTTCTACTTAGGGAGGGAATAACTACAAAAATATTATTTTTTAGCTATTTTACTACATATTAGCTACAACTTTATTTCTTCACTATTCCATAGCTAATTAGCTATAAATTAGTGAAAAATAAATTTTGTAACAAATTTTTGTAGCTAATTATGAAATTTCTTGTGGTGTTGCTTTGTAAGTTGAAAGATGAAGTTGATAAAATATGTGAAGCCCCTGGGTATTTTCTACTCCATATCTCTTGCTTGTTACGTTTGTTCGTAGATTATTTACTATAAATTTGAATCACAATCTACAATAGTGATTGACTGGGTAGCATCTGATGAATTACTTACAATTTCATCGTGTTGCAATGCAGCCCAGTGACACCATCAGTTTCCCAAATTGAGGTATTTTGTTAACAAATTAACGTTATATATAATCTTTTTCTAACTTCGATTGATGTTATGTGTTTGAATGATAGTTCTATGCGAGCTTCAGGAGATTCGAAGAGAACTTTTTACTTGCGAGTCTCAATTGAAAGAGATGGAAAAACGATTAAGGTAGATTCCTTTGACTTTGTCATTCATTGCTTACAATTTATCAACAATTAAATCAAAACCGAAACCAAATTCTGTATGTTGACGAGGGAATATGTCATGTTCGCCATTGATTCACAATTTTTCTAGGATATTTGAAGGTAATCCTTCGGAGATCACAACGCTGAGAGAGGCTGAATATCGTGAATATGTCCTTCGCGAAACTCTCAAACAAGTGCAATTGCGAAAGGTAAGTCTATTTGCTGATTAAATGAGTTAATCAATTATATATGAATAGTGAAATCTCTTCAATTGAAAGATAACTTACTATTTGGTCTTGCAGTGTGTTTTGGAGGAGAACAATTCTCAGGCCTCTCATTCACCACAGGTACATAAAGATATGATCAGCTTACTTTTTAACAGTATGTGTTCTTAAATAATCTAACTATATATATACTATGAGTAGGTAAATGCTGCAAAAACTGTAAACGTAAATGGTTTTGTCACCAGCGCCTCAAAGAACCCAGTAGAATATTGGTTTCCACAGAAAAATCTAAATGCTCAGACTCTGAACTTTGCCAATGTTTATGAGGCTGCTCCTGTGAGGTAATATTTTATTGGCATTAATCCATTTGTCACACTAAATTTGCATCAAATTAATGTTTATCTCTTTTGTTTTGGAACTCAGGGATCAACAATCACATAGCATTGCTGATATGTTAACAGTGCATTCTGCAAACATGGATGAGGATGGTGAAATGAATCCTGGGAATAGTTTAGAGGTTGGTATTCATAATACAATACTACCTCCTCAGTTTGGACCAGATACTCACATCAATTCGTCCTCTTGGGAGCATCTTCATTCTTTAGGTTCTTACTGGTGTTAGATCATCTTATAGCTTTGATTGTCCTTTATGGCTTTTTATGTATTTGGTTAGTTTCTCTTAAAGATAGTTTTAGAACCTTGCTTTCTATATATTTACTCTTCACACTCTTGTAATTTAAGTTAGCTTAAGCAATGCAAACCCTAGTTGTCATTGTAATATTTTCGATAATTTTTTTTTCATGTTAATATAAATAAATATTATTTGAGTAAGCTATAAATGTACTTAATTTAAGATAAGAAAAAATAAATAAAATTTAAATATTATATAAATAAATGAATAACTTATAAATATACCAAGTTAAAGAAAAAATAGAAATTATAATAAAAGAAAGATATAAGATAGAAAAATAATAATAATAATTGTCATACAACTTTCAGTTATTTAATAATTTCTTTCAGGAGATTTTCTTAATAGATAAGATTTTATATTACCTTAAAAAAATTATTAAAAAATAAGATTTTCTTTTTTTCTACACTTTAAATATTAGAGACCATCACTTTTATATTTTATTCTCGATAAAAATAATAAAGATAACACGTACACGTTTTATCAGAGATTATAGTAAAGTAAATATATAAAATAAATAAAAAGATAATAAAGATTTGATACAATTTTTAGTTCATGAGTTATTTATTTTATTATATCTTTATTTGACAAATAAGATTTTATCTTATCTAAAAAAAATACTTATCCTAAAAAAGTTATTCTATTTTACACTTTAAATAGTGTGGGTAAGGGTCCAATAACACTCTTTTTAGTCTTGTTAATTTTTTACGAATATGAAATAAAATAATAAAATATAATTTCAATAATTTTTTAATTATATGAGACAAATTGTGAAAAAATTAAAACTATTTCATATATATATATATATATATATATATATATATATATATATATATATATATATATATATATATATATATATATATATATATATTGGCTGTCAAAAGGAAGAAAAAACAAACTTTATTGTTTTACATTTTTCAGCTATCACATCAAGATGGTATACTTTACCACAAGATGAAAATGAATATTTAAAGGATTGTCTAGTATATATTAGAAAAATAATTCAAAAATTTAGTATAGATTCATAATAATTTTCGTCAAAATAAAATTAAATGATTAATGTATTATATAAAAACTTGCGTATTATATTTAGTTGAGAATTTTTAGATTTGTTTGGTTCAGTTTTATTTTGTAGTTTTAAAAAAAATTATAAACATTAATTTTTAAAATTTTATTTTGAAAAAAAGTAAACAAAAAACTTGTTTAATAAATTTATTTAAAAAAATTAATGAATAAAAATTATATAAAAATTGGTAAAAAAAAACGAAGTTAAAAATAATTTCATAATTTTATAATAATAAACCGAGTGATTATTAATGAAAAAAAATAATATCAAAAACAGAAAATTTAATAAAAAATATCTTTTATAATTTTGCTTTTTAACCTTTTAAAATTTTTAAAAATAAAATAAATTTTAATAGATATTTTATCAAATTAATTATTAATAAAAGTTTTTTAATTTAAAAAATAAATGAAAGACGATTGTACATAACAAACTCTTTATATTTGTGGTCCTTGTCTTATGAAATAGGCAAAACAGAAGCCATGTTTCAGTTTTGTCTTGTGAAATAGGCAAACATAACAAACATAGAACATATCTCATGAGATACAGTTTTGTAGTCACATATGTTATATTAAATTCTATACTAAATATTACTTTTATTTTTCATTTTTTTATTTTTATGTTTCCATATATAAAATTAAAAAAATATATTTTTTATATTTTTTGAAAATTTTCATTTTGGTCTATTTTAACAAAATTCTTAGTGTTAATTGCTATGTCTATTAATAAAAAAACCACCAAAATGATATTTTTAAGAATACAAAGGAAAAAAAAACATTTTATAATATCATAAAAAAATAAAACTCAATTAAAAGTACACCAACTGACCTTATTAATCTATTTAATATTTAGTTAAAAAATGAATATTTCTAAAATATAAAATAAGAGTCATTTAAAATTATATTAAGTGATAAATTAATCAATCCTATAAACATCCCTAATTTTTTACTTAATAAAACATCAAAATGAACATTTTTAAAAACATAAAATATTATATTGAAATTTTTAAAATTTAATGTAGTCAAATGCAAAAATACCACCACATAATATAATAAAAAAAATTAATATTATTTAATTTTTTAAATTATAAAATAAATCTTTTTAAATTATATCTTATTAAAACTTAATACCTCTAATAAAAAAATAATTGAAAATAGATTACTAATTAAATGAACAAACATTTTAAGAATGGTATCAAATAAGATTGAAGCAGTCAATATTTGTCTGGTCCATAATTCATGAATTCTTCCTTATTTATTTAAATCTGAAAAAATATAATATCACAATTTTATAACAATTAAAAATTTAATTAAACATAACACAATATTTATATATGATTTTTAATAATTAACAACAAAAGTTATTAACAATAATAAATAAGCAACTATCCCTGAAAATGGAAGAGCAAATATTTTAAGTTGATTTGTTATTTTTTATTAAAAAATAAAACTTAAAATGATGATATTATATTAAACATTTTTCATTATTCGTCTAGTCTACCAATCAAATTTGTAAAACATAGTTGGTTATTTTAATACACAAGTATTAAAATATATAATATTTCAAAAAATTTACTCAAACAAAAATTGGTTCTGATTATAATCAATTATAATAATTATGATTAACCAACAAAATAATTTATCTTTTGCAATTATCTCAAACACATTTAATATACTAACAAAAATAAAATGAAGAAAGATGAAAAACAGTTCATTCTCAAAAATTCAAAATATTTTATACATATTACTTGTCCAATATCATAACTAATTGTTTAAAACATAATGTTTTGTGTGCTTTTCTATTTCAGCTGACATCACCATCTGTATCAACTTTCAACCTTCCTTATTAGTAAGAACAACTTCTGATCAACTGCAAATTTAACACAATGAGAAGCATGACCTTTCAGCATCAACTGAAGTCCACCAAATGATGCAAACATCTCCCTGGATCAAGAAAAAGAATTCAGTTGTCATGTAAAGCAAGATTTGATTAAACATCCTAGATTCATAGATGATATTTTTAAAGAGAACAAAATGGAGAAAAATACTGATATAACATGAAAAAAGTGCACATACACTTCACACTGAGATTTTGAACATCCCTCGTTAGAAATGCTGTACAAACTTCCATGCATGATGTATTCAAACTTGTCTTGAATTGACACTGAGCCATCCTGAAGGGAAAGATCAATGCACTGTGAGGGCAATATTCACTACTTTTGTTTTCAAATATAAATAATTGAAACTAATTTAACAGATACATTCACATACTTGTATAGTAATGTAATATAGTTTACAGATTATTACTTGAAACAGGCTGTTAAAACTTCTTTTTGGTGTGACCCTGAGAAATCCTTAATCATCTATAATTTGTTTAAAACTTCTCTTTATTTCTAGAAGCATCTATACAGGCATTAGAAATACTTGTTCTAGATTCAAAATTAATGCACTTGCTGGTAGGTATTTCCGAAGGGGCAAACAGTAGGAAGATTCTCACAAATGGGTCATGAATCAACCATATAAAAAAAAAATGACACAACTCTCAACCCAAAACCTTAAGGCATTAGGTTATGGGTCTTTCTCACTTATAAGTTACTCAACTTTCCTATTTTTACCAAATGTAAGACTTCAAACTTACACTTGAATTCTCAACATCTCCCCCTCAAATGTGATTCCCTTTCATATTGGTATAACTCCACCTCAAGCGGAAGCATTTTTTAACCATGAGTACCTAATGATAACCTTACTTGTATCGCCGTTTAACTTAACCATGATGACCTAATGAAGACTTTCGACACAAGTACCTTTCATCTACTATACTCAATTGAGCCGGTCACCGGACGAACAATCGGTTTTGATACTACTGTTAGGTATTTCCGAAAGGACACGACAAACAACAAGAAATTCTCACAAATGGATCATGAGTCAACCATATAAGAGAATATGACATCACTCTCAACATAAAACCTTAAGTCATTAGGTTATGGGTCTTTTTCACTTATAAGTTACTCAACTTTCCCATTTCTACCAAATGTGGGACTTCAAACTCACACTTGAATTCTCAACATTTGTAGGCAGGTAATCTTATGGTAATATTCCGAGAGACCATTCAACAGTCATTTTGTGGACTTTTCTCCACAGTCAACTACAAAATAGACTAATATTTTCAATGCATTGAAGTCATTTAAATCGGTTCCTTGTCATTTTGAATCTACTTTAATCCGTCCATCTTGTTTAGTTAGCACCATCACAAAGCACATAATATATGTATGTGATTGAGTAACAATAAACAATTTTTGGCTGAATCCACAAATGATAAGACACACAATAAAGATTACATTCAAATTGGATTATGTAAGAGGTTTAAATAAACTGTTAATTCAACAGAACTAGCTCATAGTCTAAAACCACAGTAAAGCATGGAACTGCAAATGAATTAAATTTACCTTAGTATTCAAAACAAGTGAAGGAGACAAAGCCATCAAAAATCTTTCTTTTTCTTTCATAGGATAAATCTCTGTATTTACATCTAGAAGCATGTACATGTCACGCTTCTCACTTCGTGCTACAATCCGAGAAACTGCAAGAAGATAGTCATGAAACTGTAAAAATCATGCCCCATTAATTGAAAGAAATGTAAAAGGAGAAAAGCCGGAAGACGAGTACATATTATTACAAATCTATACCACTAAATGGTATTAAGCATATCAAACCCCAGAAGGATTTAGGCTAATATCTAACAAGACTAACTGGAAACTGAAAATTTAGATAGTAGTTAAAATTAAATTTAGGTTAGTTTATTGAATATTTGTATTTAGTAAAATTATCTATTAAAATAACGTATAATTGTACAGGACAAAAACAGCCAAGAACAAATTATGATTTTATATCAAATTTAGTTTGATTTTATTGATAAAAATGTATTTTGGGGTATTTATAATCTTTCCCTGGGAGGATAGAAACTAGCTTAAATATATTAATAAACATAGTCCCAATATCCACCTAGTGCGACAACTGAAGAATAAAATTATAGCATTATGCCATTAATAAATTCAACTAAGTTGCAGTTCTCTATCATGACTGCCATAACCTGAGTAGCAATGTATCCATAATCAAATTCTCCACTCGTACCCTAGGTTCCTAATCATTTGTCAGCAAGTGAAGTTTACTCTTGGAGCCAAAGCAAATTCTGCTCTCCTTAATTTTCTAAGAAGACATCAGCTCAATATCTGGCTGGTTTATTCATTCATTAAACCTCATACAAAAATAGAACCTAACATTGTATTTATCTATCTGAAATCTCATTGATTTGGGACAATAATAATAATATCCTAGCCAAAACTACAGCAGCACTAAAAGTAAACATAATCAGGCATAGTTTCTAATAGTCAATGATTCGTGTTGAGGTAACTTTCAAGTAAAAAATCATATGGAGCTACTTCACCCACATATTTACAATCACATTATCAACTCACTAAGATAGCTTTGCATATACAAGACACCCATACTACAACACAGTTCGATTAAAAAAAAAAATGAATTGATACAAAGAAATAAAAGGTGCACATACCCTTGTCATACTTTTTACCATCCGGGTCTACATTCTCAATCTTGAAAATATCATCAAATAGAAGTTCACTCATTCTCTCGCCCTTCAAAACCAAATAGGTTCAGTTATTCAAACTCCAGATCAGAGCAGCAGCCTGACACTGAGTACAATGAGATAAACAATAGAATTTACAGGGAGAGTATTATACTATTTATGCCTAACAGAAAATTTAAATGAATGAGCATTAAAGAAGCCACATGTCAGTCACAAACATTTCATACGTGAGCTGCATGAGATGATTAGACTATACAAGAAAAGCAGTTAGAGATTTTAACAAGTACAAATTGACAACATACCAAATATTTAATCTTCCAACTTCCACATTAGTATGATAATTAATTCCTAAATGTAGTGTATCATATTGTTCTCCAGTTTTTTGCTCTCAACAAATTGCATATAATGAAGGGAATCAGTATAGATATAAGCCGTGAAATTAAAAAAAAAAAAAAAGGATTGGGGTTCTTGAATTGTGCTTTTGGAACTCAGATTATGATAATGATTTTTACTTGCTTTGATGCACAGATTGTCAAAAGAGATAACAAACTTTTTATCTTAGGGTCGAGTCTCATTCCATGCATAAGAGCATAGATTCTATTCTACCTAAAATCCAGAAGTGGTTAAAATTCCTAATACTTGGGGATAATCCAAAATTGTTCAAAAATCCTGTTAAAATACTTGTATAGGATATACATATGCATAAAAACCACATCAATATAAATCTTAACAAAACTCAAATGAAAAAAATTATAATCTTAGTCATAAGATCCAAATACACAACTCGTAATAGAATATTGTATTCATAATCATAACAGGAAGTTTATAAGTAATAAGTTGTTGTATACAGGCTGATTAAAAAATTATATCCAACTGTTCATCCTCTGTCATTCAAAAGAATTTGTATACAGACGTTGAGAAAAGCCAAAGAAAATAATCAAACGATAGAACAGAGAGTAACTGAGTGCGTGAGACTCACAAAGAGGAGACTGCTTGAAAGAGGCCTTGTGGGCAGTGCAATGACAGGCGGCGGCTGTTGCAAAGAAGAGGTCAGTGATACAGAGACTTTCAAATGGGATTTTGGAATGAATATGAAGCTTACATAGGTTCACTTCAAATCTTTTATTCTTTAAATTTAAAATTAATTTGGACTTTATTATTTATTTATTTTATTCAATTATTAGAAAAACCGATCAATTCTCTTCAATAATATAAGAACTTTGACTCTTTTTAAATTTTAACATGTAACCAGTTCACATGTTAATTTTATAAAGGTTAAATATGTTTTTAATTTTTTATACTTTATTAAATTTGATTTTTTTATTTTGTAAAATAATTTTTTTGTTTTAAAATGAAAATTTATTTTTTTATTATTTATTTAACAACAAATAATATTATTATATATCTTATATTTAGCTATACTTTTTTTATAATTATTTATAATATACATTTAAGTTTTATAATTTTATAAAATAAAAAATATTAAAGTTAAGAATAAAAATAACTAAATCATGTTTTTTTAATTTTGAAAAATAAAATTAACTAATTTTAAAATATAAGAATTAAAAACAAGTTTTAAATTAATTACTTATATAAAAATATTTTTTTATTTAAAAATATCACTATACATATTGATGGTATTAATATTATAATGAAAATTGAAATAAATATTTTTATTGATAATTATACTATTAATTAATGAAAATATCATATAATTTCGTTTAAATAATTTGAGATAATTAACTGATTTTTTATTAATATATAGTTCAAAATAAATGACACAAAAACTTTATTATTTTATCTTTATACATAAAACTTTTAGATGTTTCTTCTACCTGTACATTCTTGCAGAAATATTATTGAAGAAAAAAATATATTGATAAATGTTTTATAATAAAATATAAAATTATAATAAATTATTACATAAATCACCGTCTGACACAAAGAGATTAATATGAGATTTAAAATATAATTTAACAATTAATAAAGAAATTATTATTTTTTAAATGGAAGGATAAAAACATATTTATTGATAATTGAAATAAACAGCAAACATAGAGAGCATTAATCTAAATCAATCCCAATAACATAAATAGAAACTTGAAACAAAAATCTAAAAGCTCAAAAAACTCTTTTATTTACCTGAATTTATAATCATTTATGCATTTGTTGAACCAATTAAACATTGATTTTTATTGTCTCTTTAAGATTATTTCAAATAAGGTTAAATGATGTCCCTTAATTCAAATCAAGGCATAATAAAACTTTACAATTTTTGCCACTCTGAAATAATTAAGTAATTTAGGTTACCGCCTAGAAAATGAATGAAAAATTAAGTAATTTTAGGTACCTCCATTGAAAAAAAAAAAATTGAGGCGGAAAAGAAACCGCGCTGTGCGCCTTACCAAAAAAATTTATTTTCTCAAACTAAAATTACGAATTTGAACTTCGAACCAAAGCTAAATCCTAAAATTTTTCAGACACACCAAATCATTTTAATTTTCATCTGAGAACCCCGCTCTTTGTCTTGTCTGCCCATTATATATACATAAACATTTCTACCCCTTGTCTTCCTCACTCAACTGCAACTTCTTTCATTTTCATTAATCTGTTCTTTCCCTCTATTCCATATTATCAACTTACAAGGGATTAGATGGAAACTCGTGCAGCTGCTAAGAGAAAGGCAACTGCTGCCACAGTGGTTGTGGTTGAAAAACAACACCCCAAAAGACAGCGTGTTGTGCTGGGTGAACTTTCAAATTTTCCTAGTCTTATTGTCCCCGAGTCTCAAAATCCACGCAAAGAGAAACTGCAATGTCGGAAAAATCCAAATTTAAAGAAACCATCATCCACGAAATCCACCCTTTCTTTCTCCCAGATTGACCAACCTTATGTTGCCGACATCTATGAGTACCTTCATGCAATGGAGGTAATTCTCATTCTTTAATGTCAACAAGGTTTTAATTCTGTTCAAGCTGAAAACTTGGTGTTGTTAGGTATATGTCTCAAATTTAAAATTTGTGTTTTTGCAGATGCAGAGGAAGAGAAGACCAATGGTTGACTATGTTGAGAAGCTTCAGGGAGAAGTTACAGTAACCATGAGGACAATATTGGTGGATTGGTTAGTAGAGGTAGTTGAAGAGTACAAGCTTCACTCGGATACTCTTCATCTCTCTGTTTCATACATAGATAGGTTTTTATCGGTTAATCGTGTCAGTAAATCAAGACTTCAGTTATTGGGTATTTCATCCATGCTCATTGCTGCGTAAGGCTTCGGTACCTTATCTAATTTTACAACGTGTTCTCTTTATTCTGCTTAAACATCACATTTGCATATTTTTTCAATACTCAGCAAATATGAGGAAGTTGAGCCACCCCGTGTTGATGCATTCTGCAATATCACTGATAACACATACGACAAGGCAGAGGTAAACATCCTCAACTAGTGTCTTTTTTTCTTTTATTTACAATTCTAAATCATGTTATGGTTATGTTCTTTACTCCTTACTCTGGTTCCCATGGTTGCTGGTGATGATGTACAGGTTGTAAAGATGGAAGCTGACATACTCAAGTCTCTAAAGTTTGAAATGGGAAATCCTACTGTAAACACCTTTTTAAGGTAAGGAATTTATATTGTAAATGGGAAAATGTATATTTAGCCTCTGTTATCAAATTGAGTGTTGTTATTGTTTTAGGAGGTTTGCTGATGTTGCTTCTGAAAACCAGAAGGTGAGTTAAACAGATCTGCCTGTTCTTCTTATTGTCTTAAAAGCTTTATTATGTTGTTTACTAATCTTTTTTTTTTACTGTTTCAGGCTCCAAATTTATTGGTTGAATTTCTGGGCTGCTATCTTGCTGAGCTAAGTTTGTTGGACTATGATTGCTTGAAATTTTTGCCTTCAATTATGGCAGCGTCGGCTGTATTTCTTGCCAGATTCATTATCTCGCCTGAAATGCATCCTTGGGTAAATGTTTTATGTTATTAGTCTTCTTTAAAAAGAATAAGCTATTAGTTTGGTTTCAAGGCACTCAATGTTGAGAACCTATTGCAGACTTCGTCCTTGTGTGAATGCGCTGGTTACAAAGCAGTTGAATTGAAAGAGTGTGTCCTCATCTTGCATGACTTGTATTTGTCAAGAAAGGCGATGTCCTTCAAAGCTGTTCGGGAGAAATACAAGGTGCTTGTTTCTTCTTCTTTTTCATTTATTTTGTTATAATATACTTCATTTCTGGTTGTGGCAAAATTGAGTGACTTGAAATCTTCTGCTGGAACAGTTCAAGTTCGTGGCAAACATGCCTTCTCCTCCGCATATACCAAGTTATTACTTTGAAACTCAGTGATGCAGCGGCAATTCCTTGATAAACGACCCAATTGTAACATGTAACATTTTTGTGAAGTGTTCTACTCTAATGGAAGTCGAAATCTTTTAAATCTTGGTCGATAAGGTCTGTATCAACAGTGTGGTCTGTTTGATCATTATTTTGATGGACCCTTTGACAATCGATTGACAAGATTGAATCTCAAGGGCACGGGATATCAGATGAGATACCAACGTTCAACTAACAAACAAGATCTGAGATTTTAACTCCATTGTTTTCAACGAGGTCTTGAAGGAATAATTTCATGATCTGGATACTATTGAACATAAAGGGATGTATTATTGTTAAATTTTGGTGTGGGATGAGGTGAAAATCGCTTAGTTCATCCTACAGAGTTTTCATTCGGGTGTGGTAACGAGCATATCAGCTTGTCTCAACGGGAATTGAATACACTGTATATTAGGATAGGGAATTTTAAATTTCCAAAAATTTAATAATTAAAATATTAGCTATGATGTTTGTTATTTTTTTAATTTTCTAATAGTTATTTTAATCATGTTCATAATGGTTTGTTTTAATTGAAATTGATTTAGATTTTTTTATTAATATTAGTTATTCTTGTTATATTGATGGAAATATATTAGTTAAATGATAATCACACTGATATTAACTAAAAATTAAACTTAGTTTTATCTAAAATCTACAGCATCTGTATTACTTTAGTGTACCTGCTCATGCCTTATCTTAACAACTCAAATAGTATAGATATATAAAGATTACATTATAAAAAGTAAATTTATGTTAATTATTTATTAAAATCAGAATCCTTTTTCCATCTCACAAAAAATCTTTATAATTTAATTTACGATAATTTTATAATTTTTTTAAATATATTTTATTAAATAATTAATCAAAAGTCCACTCTTTTATCCAATTGCAAAGTCTAGTTTTAATTATATTCATAACTAAAAGATGGTTATTTACGGAGTAAAAAAATAAAATTATAATAAGAATAGAAATAAAATCAACAAGAAAATCAATTATTTTTTTATGATAATATTTTTTTCGATACATCAATAATTCATTTTTTTTCGTTAACAGTAATCTTTTTAGAATTACATATTTTTATAAAATGTTTTCATTTATTTTATGTGTTTGATCATTCATATAAAACATATCATTTGATATTAATTTTATATGCACCTAAAATATATTTCATATAATTTTTTTCGAGTGATATACGTATTTATCTGTTATTTATTATAGGAGCTTTATGAATATCATCTTATACTTTATATATTTCTAATTAAAATAAGGAATATAAAATTGACTAAAATACCTGTAAGTACAATCTTATATGATTTAACTCCCGCAATTTTTTAAAAAATTTTGTAGATCTCAACATTATTTTATTGTTATTTATTTTGTAATATTTATCATTAATCATATTAGTATAGTGTTAAAAATAAGAATATTAATTTAAATAATAAAATGATGACCAATAGTTTATATTTAATTTTAATATATTGTTAAAGTTAAATTATCATTTTATATGTAAAGAATGATTTGTAACAGTTGAAAATAAACTATCGAATATTACCTTAATTATAGTTTTTTTAAAAGTAGGATACTAAAAATATTTAGTCGAATAAAAAATAGAATAATGTTAAAAAGCACAGTTGATAATATACTAAAATAAATTACTAAAGTAAATTATATGTGATTATCATATTTATATAAAATAACAAATACATTATTTAATTGAATTATACAAATCTAAGTATTTCAAACAAAAAAATTACTAACTAATTATCTTCACTAATATTTTTTATTTTTAACACTAAATGAATTATAATTAGTGATAAAAACTAAAACAAATGATAAAAATGTTAGAGATTAAAAGAAAAAATATTGTAAAAAACTAAAATAAAATAAAATCACATTTCTAAATACTTCAAACATGTTTAGGGCTATAAAGTATTTTTTTTTTAAAGGTTTTAACTAAAAGTGTTGTTGCAAACTAATAAAAAAAAACTCAACTCAAATCAAAACTGATATTTTATTAAATTTTTTTAAATCACACTATTTAATTTGGTTTAGATTTTAAATTAAAATTTAAATATCGCTTATTATATTTAAATAAATTAATAAATCTTTATAGTATTATTAAAAGTTACATTTATAAATTTATTTGTATTTTATTTATAATATATTAATATTAATTAAAAATAAGATATTGTAATAAGATTATATAATTTATTTATAATTAAAGAAAATTATTTTTATAAATTATGACAATATAATTAATGATAATATTTTTATAATATATTTTTTTATTTAATGAATTTTTTAAGAAAATGTTTCAAATTTATAAAAAATAATTAATAATTTAATAACAATAGTAAATATTTCAAATATTTCAGATAAAACTAAAATATGAATATTGATTTTATTTTATTTCAATTTTATATCAAATAAAAATCAAAATAAAATATATTTAATTTTTATTTGATTTATATAAATTTTTAATGAAAAATCAAAACAAATTGAACAATATCTTAATTTAACATATGGTTAATATATTTTCGTATAAGAATGGAGTGTTTTGATTGATGGGAAAGACGCAGAGAGAGAGAGAGAGCACTGTGGAAATTTGATTTCAACCAAAACCTGAAATTTTCAACTCCAAATTTGAAAAAAGAAAAAAAAAAATTGTTTCCACTGTCCATTCTAAATAAGCATGGCAACACACTCTGAATCATCTCCAATAGTCAAAAACTCTTCGACCCAAATCAGCAGCAAGGAAGCAAGGTTATGGAAACTGGACTCTGTTGCCTCAGTGATGATCCAGAGACAACATCCGAAGAAGCAACGGGTTGCATTTACGGAACCTTCCAATTCACCAAACATCATTCTCCCCGAAACTCTGAGTCCTTGCAAAGAGAAAGTACAATCTTGGAAGGATTCCGATATTAAAAAATCCAATTCAACAAGCATAGACTTTTATTCCTCTCAGATTGACAAACCTACTATTTCAGGCAATAATGAGTATCTGTATGACATGGAGGTGGTTATGCTTACTTAAGATTAACAAACTCTTAATTTTGTCAAAACCGATGAGGTTATTATTTTATTTATACTTTCGGGTGTCTATTTTTCATGTTGTTAGTTTCTGGTATGCAGAAAAAGAGGAGACCTGTGGTTGACTACATTGAGAAAGTTCAGAGAACAGTGACCCCTTACATGAGAGCAGATTTGGTCGACTGGTTAGTGGATTTGGCTGTGAGATACGATCTTCTCTCCGATACTCTTCATCTGTGTGTGTCATACATTGATAAGTATCTATCAGTTAAACCTGTGATCCAGTCAAATCTTATGTTGCTAGGTGTTTCGTCCATGTTCATTGCTTCGTAAGCCTTCAATAACCCTTTTTTTTAATCATTTATTTATCAAAGAGTTGAGTAACTCAAGACTGGTAAATTAACAGTATGTTAAGGTTTTGGGTTGAAACTGTGTCGTATTTTCTTATTCTGTTTAATAGTTGACTTCTATATAGAGAATCTCCCTCTTGATATTCTCTCCAAAATATCCCACGGATTGTTTTCCTTAATTTGTTGAAATTTCATTCTCATCGTATATAGGAAGTACGAGGAAATTGATCCACCCAGTTTGAAAGATTTTTGCGACATCACTGATAACATTTGTGATCAGACAGAGGTAAATATGTTATTTCTGTATTTTATTCTCCTACCAAATATGTCTCCTTTTTGTGGTTGGTTATTTCCACTCATTTCGGTTTCCATGTTTGTTGGTGATAACACAGGTTGTAAAGATGGAAGCTAAAATACTCAAGTCCCTAAATTTTGAAATGGGCAACCCTACTGCCATCACTTTTCTGAGGTAAGAACTTTATATTACAAATGTGATATCTAACCTTTCTTGAAAAAAAAATCAATTTGATTAATTAGGTGTAATTATTGTTTCAGGGTTTTTCTTGGTTCTGTTTCTGAGAAGCAAAAAGTAAGTGGATTGCTCTTCTCATTCTTCTTGATTATCTCAAAAACTTTATTTGTGTTGTTTACTATTTATTTAATTTTGTAATTCCCAGACTCCAAATTTGAAGATTGAATTTCTAGCTAGCTATTTTGCTGAGCTAAGTTTGTTGGATTATGATTGTATAAGATTCTTGCCCTCTATTGTGGCTGCATCTGCAATATTTCTTGCCAGATTTATCATCGAGCCTGAAGTGCATCCTTGGGTAAGTTTTATATGTAAGGGATAGTGATAGAATTTAGTTTAAAAAGAAATATTATCTGTGCTTCAAGGCACTCAAAGTTGAGAATCTATTGCAGACTTCTTCGTTGTGTGAATGTTCGGGTTACAAACCAGTTGAGTTGAAAGAGTGTGTCCTCATCTTGCATAACTTGTATTTGTCAAGAAAGGCAGAGTCATTCCAAGCTGTTAAGAAGAAATACAAGCAGCACAAGGTGGTTATTTTTTGAATTTATTTTCTTTTACTATACTTCAATTCTCACCATGACAAATTCAGTGACCATAAATCTTCTACTTGAACAGTTCAAATTCGTGGCAAATCTGCCTTCCCCTCCACACGTACCAAGTTACTACTTTGAAGATCACTCACATATTGATGAGGGAAAACTTAACCCGAAGCCTGATGAGATCAGCAAACCTTCTGCACAATCTACAATGATTCCATGAAATGTATTTGTGTTCTTTAACATTGATCACCATTCTTGTTGGACATAAATATTTTCAAGTCATTATCAATTATGTTTTGAAACAAGCTTAGGAAATATTAAACATTGTAGTTAAATCTGATTTCAATATTGTTTTGCTTTGAATTTAATGTTTGATGGATAACCTTATCCTAATTCAACGTATTTAATGTAAAGAGATGACTGGTTGTTATGTATTGATAATACTGTTTAATGTCATTATTGTTAAATGTTATCTCACCAATAAAATTAACAAATTAGAAATAGTACAGTTGGAAGAAGAACACAAAGTTTTGAAAAATACTATCTATCATGGTAAACAACACAGTAATTTTATCTATTTTAACATTAAATAACAAGTATTAGGAGAAAACTTCGCATTAATTAACAAAAGTATTAAGGATTTATAAAAGCAATACATTAATAACTATTTGCCTACTAAATTTCTACCTATTGAAACAAAATGCGTACTTGTGAGAGAAAAAAGAAAAGAAATCCTCTTAGTTTAAAGTCTATATATATATATATATATATATATATATATATATATATATATATATATATATATATATATATATATATATATATATATATATTTAAGAATAAAAGTTAAAGACTTATTTTTATTTTTTAATTTACTAATTAAATATTATTCTAAAATTATGAAATATTAAAAATTGAGAGAAAAATAAAAAATAAATCATTATTTCTTATTTTTAGTATGAATAATTATATATATATATATATATATATTAAGTATTATTATATTCTTATGTATTTATATTTGTAACAATGTTAATAATAAGTTTACTAATTATTTATTTTAATATATAAAAATTGCATTCAAAACTAATATAAATTTAATATATAAATAAATTTAAATATATTAAAAAAGATTTAAGAGAAACAAAATTATAAATATATAAATAACTTTTTTAAAAATTAACATTAACTAACGTTTTTTTAATCTATGTATCCACCAACTATAAATATATAAATTATTTATCTACAAGAAGATTCGTTTCTATTTAATAAATAGTTTTTTTATAAAATTTTCATTAAAAATTAACGTTAATAAAAGGCACATTTTATATAATTTTATGAGAATAATTATAATAAATTTTATAAATAATATATTTTAAAAGAAAAACTACTTAAATAGAATATTTATCAATTTATTTATTAAGTAGACTTGATTATTATTTATATTAGATTTTATTTTTACAATTTTTATCGTTTATTTCTTATTTTCATTTTATTTTCTATTTTACGTCTATTTTTTCTCTCATATTTATTCATTCAATTAAATTATTATATTAAAATTTAATAAAGATATTTTAAAATTAATATTTTAAAATAAACAATAAAACTAAATAAATATTAATTATTTAAAATTATGATTATAATAAATAATGATGATAATTAGTTAAACTAAGTAATTTTAAAAAAATTATTAAATAAATAATTTAAAAATATTAAATTTTTACTTAATAATTATAAGATAACACTAATATTTTAAATTTATCATACAATATTTTTTAAATATAACATATTAAATTATAAGATTTTTTAATTTTAAAAAAAGTAAAAAAAAAAACACTAAGTAAACATAGAAAAACATAATAAATAGAATAGAGAAAACAATTATATTGTATTCTGATTGAATTTTGTGTATAAATCATAAAATAAATTATATTTAAATATTTTTTATATATTGTTTATAAAATTCATTGAAATACAATTTCATATAAGATTTTCAAAAAAAATTAAAGAAAGAATTTTGGAGAGATATTTATAAAATATTAGCAATAATGATATTAAAATATTTTGAGATGGATTTTATAAAATACTAACGATACTTATATATGGAAATGTTTTTTTAAACAAAATAATAATAAAATATCAAAAAATATATTTCGGTGATGAATAAAAAGATACTACATTTGGAAAAAAGTTATAATAATAAATAATTATTTTTTTATTACATTGTTATTTATTTCTCACTTAGATATTCGACATTTTATTTATTTATTTCACGAATAAAATAAGTTTTTATTATTTTAATATTTTTTTCAGTTTTTAAATTATAATAAGTAAAAATAAAGTTTAATAAGTAAAAATAAAGTTTAAAGTCAAGATTTCCAAAATCGAATTTAAAAATCTAGTAAGATTTTCAATTTGAAATAATAAATCCTTTCAAACTTTTCTTAGTTTCTCATCCACATATTAAACGACAAAAGTAAGTAATTTCGTACTTAAGAAGTTTTGTTTTTTAGAGAAACTATCTCATGCTATTTTCATTTTGAAAACGATGACATAATAAACTTAATATTTTTTATCATTCTTAAGTGATATTAAAATTTTTGTAATATATATATATATATATATATATATATATATATATATACATATTATGAAATAAAAGCTCTTTTATATATAAAAAATTATTAGAATGCTCTTTTTACACAGAAATTTGAATACCTTAACTAAATGTATAGAAAAAATTCATAATTTATGTTGTTTATTCTATTTTTTCTATAAAGTAAAATATTTTACTTATTTAAACTCTAATAACAAAAGACTTTCATTCACTACTATAATGGACTATACAAATTTTCACATGTACGTACTAATATACATATTTTCATATTTTTATTTTGTATATATATATATATATATATATATATATATATAATATTTAACTTTTTGCTACAAATTAAATTTGAATGAATATCTGGAGTAAAATAAATAATATTTTTGTTCACTTAATTTTATTATGGTGGTGAAATTAATGATGAGATATTTGTATTTGACTAATACATTACTTAAAAGTAGCTAAATTAAATTATTAGAATTTAAAATTTCCCTATTACATTTACTTAAGTTTAAAATATATTAAAGTAAAGAAAGATACTTATTATCTATTTTTTTTTAATATTAATATTATTCACATGTTTTTTTTTACTTTTTTGTTATAATAAATAGATAAAGAGTTAATTAAATATTATTTTTGTTTCTATATTACATAAGTTAATTTTATATTTATTTTCTAAAATTCCTTAAAAATATTAATACGACATAAAAGTTAAAACACTATCTTTTTAATGGGATAAATCAATTAGACAATTCTAATTTGACGGAGTGGCGGTGAAAAGAGGCGCGCACTACCCCGCCACATAAAAATCTGATTTTGGAAGCAAAATCAAATCCTGAAATTTTCATACATCTCAAACCATTTTCATCTTTAGTTCAAAAGACCGCTCTTTTTTTTTTTTTTTTTTTCCCTTCTATACTCACAATACAAAACATGATAATACATCTTCTCTCTATTTGCTTCTTTCATCCTTTTATCTTTTCATAATCTGTTACAAATTAACAACACACAAGAGAGAAGATGGAGACTCGGGCTGCTGCAAAGAGAAAGGAAGCCGTCGTGGTGGTTGAAAAACAGCACCCAAAGAAGCATCGGGTTGTATTGGGGGAGCTTTCCAATCTACCAAACCTTATTGCCCCTGAAACTCAAAATCTGCGTAGAGAGAAACTGCAATGTAGGAAGAATCACAATATTAAGAAACTATCTTCCTTGAACAGCACTCTTTCTTCTTCCCAGATTGATCAACCTTATGTCTCGGATATCGATGCGTATCTTCGTGCAATGGAGGTAATTCTGAAGTTTAATTGTGTTCAATGGAGCTCAAGATTGTAGTTTTGTTGATATTGTCTGGTGCTTAAACTTTCTCACCATTTGTCAGATGCAGAGAAGACCAATGGTTAACTACATGAACAAAGTTCAGTCCGTAGTTACTACAAACATGAGAGAAATATTGGTGGATTGGTTAGTGGACGTTGCTGTGGAGTATAAGCTTCTACCCGAAACGCTACATCTTTCCATATCGTATATTGATAGGTTTTTATCAGTTAGCCCTGTTGCCAAATCGAGACTTCAGTTACTCGGTGTTTCATCCATGTTCATTGCTTCGTAAGTTTATGACTTTAGTTTTGCAAAGATTTTCTCTTTAATATGTTATCTAGGTATCACTGATTTATGATGACATTCTTTTAAAATTTGCAGGAAGTATGAGGAAGTTAATCCACCCCGTGTGGAAAAATTCTGCAGCATCACTGATAACACTTATCAAAAGGAAGAGGTAAATAATATTCCTGTCTTTTCCTCCCACCAAAATATCTCATATTTTGAGACTTATTTTTCACTCACTTAAGTTTTCATTGTTATTGGTGATAACATAGGTTGTAAAGATGGAAGCTGAAATACTTGGGTCCCTCAACTTTGAACTGAGCAATCCAACTGCGATCACTTTTCTAAAGTATGAACTCTATACTGCAAACGTGAAAATTTACCATTGTTTGAAATGAAATTATAAGACTAATTAGGAATAATTATTGTTTCAGGAGGTTTTTGGGTGTTGCATCTCAGAACCAGAAAGTAAGTGGAACTGTTATTCTCATTCTTACTTATCTCAAAATCTTTACTCTTTTTTTTTTTTTTTCTAATTTCATTTTATTTCTAATTGTCAGAAACAAAATTTGAAGATTGAGTTTCTGAGCTTCTACCTTGCGGAGCTAAGCTTGTTGGATTATGATTGTATAAGATACTTGCCTTCTATTTTGGCTGCATCGGCTATCTTTCTTGCCAGATTTATTATCTCCCCTGAAGTGCATCCTTGGGTGAGTATTTATCTTATGGATAGTGCTATATGTTTCTTATTAAAAGGGTATATTATTGCTGATTAAGGAACTCAAACTTGAGAATCTATTGCAGACTTCTTCTCTGAGTGAATGGTCTGGCTACAAACCAGTTGAGTTGAAAGCTTGTGTTCTCACTTTGCATGACTTGTATTTTTCAAGAAAGGCAGCGTCCTTGCAATCTGTTAGAGATAAATACAAGCAGCACAAGGTAGTTGTTTTTTCATTTCTTACGTTATAATTTACTTCAATTCTCATTATGACAAATTGAGTGACCAAAAATCATTACTTGAACAGTTCAAGTACGTGGCAAACCTGCCTTCTCCTCCACATGTACCAAGTTTTTACTTTGAAGATTAGTGATGCAGTGACAATTCCTTAATAAATAGTAAATTTGGACATACTTTTTTGAAGTGCATTCTTGATGTACAATCTCTGCAAAAATAAAACGGGATTTGGCAATTAACCTATCTGGAGGTACATTCTTAAGATCTTTTAAACTTGGTTAATTCTTTGGGTAGAGAAGCTGAACACCCTTTTAAGGTTTCCCTCACCTTTAACTAACAACTTCATTGCTTTGAATTGCAGGGATATTAAATTCTATGCTTCAACTGAGTCTGAAGTTGATTACCCAATCGCTGATGTGATAATCTTTTTGTAGTGCCAATGGCCAGGAGTATTGAAGGAGAGAAAGTACTAAATTAAGTGTTGTCGCTTGTGTCAATTATCAGAACTAAATTAGTGTTGTAACTATTTTCAGGGACTAGATATATAGGTTTAGTTCTTATAAATCAGTGATGTATCTGCTAACAAGAATATCTTTGTTTTATTACTTCTAACATCACCTTCCTCTCTATATATAATGAGACTACTAATCTTATAATATAAACATGGTACATTATACTTGTCAATTCATAGATAGTTACCTAAATATATTAAACATACGGTATTAACTCTGATTGAAAATTGTTCATATATTGAAGTTCAAGCTTATTGCTTTAGGAGGAAGATGAATGTATGGATTTAGGAGCAAATATAATGAAATTTCTCTTATATAAGTTGGTGGTACATAGGGTGAATGAATGAATAATTTGACACATTAAATATATTTAAGCTTGTAGTTAAACTATATCTTTTAATGTTGTATAAGAGCATATCTTATTTTATTTTTACAACAGAAGAACACAATTTAATGAAATAAAATCTTAAGTTGTATGTTGTTTCTTCTCACTCTGGATTCTCACCATCATCGCCTTGTAGATATATCACTATTGTTTTTCATTCTAATTCCACTACTTCTCTTATTCAAAAAGCACATCCTTACATGTTTGTTCTCAACTTTTCACTAAAAAATATTCAGCTTTCCACTCCACTTTCAAGCCTCCTATGGTGTTTCATCATTGATTCGAAGGTAAACACTTGTTTAGTACATATAGTCCGAATCACCCCTTCTCGATAAAACATATTTGGGATGTTCTTATTACATAGCATCGAACAAATCGTCTTCATCATTGTTTTTTTTTTTTAAAATAAAATAAAATTAGCAACATTATTATATTGCTATAAGCAATGATAAACCACCTCTTCGTCTCATTTGATTTGAACTCTTTTGAATTATATTTTAAGAAATATTTAATAAACATTACTGGTCTTCTTTGTTATAAAAATTTAAAAGAATCAAATAATTCTTATTAGAATCCCAATTCTAAAGTCCCCAAAGAAATTTGAATTTATTTAAAAAAAATATGAAATATCCCTAAAGAGAGGTAGGAAACTTTGAAGGAGAAAACTCCAACAATTTATCAGACCAACATCATTATTTAGAAACAAGATTTCGAGAAACAATAAATACTTGAAAAAAATGATGAAGAGTTCTTAAAAATAAGAGATGTGTCTCGAGAATAAAACTGAAAAGCTCTTAAAAACTAAAAACAAAGCTCTCAAAAAAAATTATAAAGAGCTCGATAGTCATAGTTATCAAATAGAGAATCTTTAGGTTGAGTTGAGTCCAGAATTAAAAGAGTTTAAATTTATCATGAATTGACATGTGTTAAAAGAAAATAATACAAAGAAGAACAAGAGATAATGCTTTGAAAATAAACAAAAGACAAATGAAAGAGATCGAAACAAATTTAACATGTTAAGAACTAAATGGAAGACTGTTAGTACATAAGAGAAGAAGTCTCATGAGAAGAAATATCATGAGAAAAAAAAGCTTAGTTTGTTTATAAATGATTGTAAAAGAAATTTTTTATAATGATACAATAAAATTAAATGAAGAGTTGATCACATACAAGTAAGAAAACAAGAATTAAAAGAAAGAATATCAAATTCAAATAACATATATTAAAACAAGAATGAATATTGAAAATATTACTTTATTAATTTTTATTTAAATTAGATATTAAAATAAGAATGAATGTTAAAAATATTATTTTATTATTTATTTAAATTAAATTTATTATTTTTAATTTAAATTAGATATTAAGATATTTTTATTATTGTTTAGAATAAGAGAAAAAGATAATAAATTATTATTTTTTATTGTATATATAGAATATACAATTACATGAAGATATACCTATATAAAATATATTTCATATATTAAAAAATATACATACATAAAAGCTCTAAAAATTCTCATTTTTGAATTTAAATATAAAAAAATTAACTAATTTTGTATTGATTAAATATATAATTATGTCATTTTATATTTTGTAAATCAAGTAATATATTATTTAAATTCCTTTCAGGTGTATTTTTATTGAAGATGCAATCTAGATTTAAAATAAGAGTATTTTTAAATAATAACACTAAAATAGTTAAAAATTAACTTATATTTGTATCCGTTAAACATTTAATTAAAAAAAAATTGACTTTTTATAACACGTGATGAGAACACCATAAGTTATAAAACCAAGCATTTTTTTTTTCTTTTATCCTGGAAAACTAACTCACCTTTTCTTTTCTTGTTCCAAGGAGATTCATAAAAAAATGCCAAATCCACAATTATTTTGTTGAAGTATGTTTGAATTTTCCTCCTTTAGATGTCAAATTCTCAACGTCAATTCTTCATTCAACGTTGCGTCTTTGAAACTTTCATTCATGGATTATCAATAAGATTTATAGCTCACGAATAATGATCAAGAGACTTATTTCAATGTTTAAAACCTCACATAGTTTAGAAATTCAATCTAAAGATGACATTTTTAAAAGACTTTTAGAACTAAATCTAAACTCTAAAATAGATAATATCCTAAATATTATAATTAATCAAATATTTTCACTTACTATCTCGAGGGACCATTTGATATTTCTTAGAACACAACGTTTTCCATTAACATGCTCCAATGATATCAAAACTTGCACAAAACCACCTAATGTGGTCGTTTTCTATGTTACAAGATTTCAGAGACTTGCTATGATGTTTCAAGCCTATGAGAGGCCTTCCTACCAAACTATTGGAATATAAAACGAGTGAGAACATAATGCCCAAGGAATTTGAATGAATGATATACTTTTATTAACAACTTTGCCTTAAAATAGCCATTGAATACATCACAAAAGAGTTAAAAAAAAATGTCCGCCTAACCAAATAAATTATTATGGTACTAAAAAAAAAAATCATTAAAACAAATATTAATAATATCCCTAAAGAATGGGACTTTTTCAATAAACCAGAAAGTTATTCTTAAAAAAAAAAAAACTCAGGAAAGAACTATGTAATTTTCACCTCATCCCACATCATAACTCCCTTAGTACATGCTTTTGCAAGACTGTCAAAATTGTCCAGCAGTATCCATCAACATTGAGTCCTGTGCTGCCTTCAAGGCCTAAGCTTTACTATCTAAGGTGTTGTTTATTGAGTCCTCCATCTTTAAAAGTCTTCTCCATGATCGTTCAACAGAAAAGGCAATTGAACATTGTTATCGTACGCGATCCTGCTGCTCTTGCAATTCAAAGACACAAACCTATGCATCAAATTTCTAAGCCAGCCATGTGCAAACAACGGTCAAACCTACCACACTGTTGACATGTGTTTTATCAAGCATGTTTTATGAGACAGCAACTGAGTCTGACTCATCAAGAAATTCACTGCATCAGTAGTCTCCAAAGTAACAATTCGGTACGCAAGGAGGGGAAGGGAGGTTTGCCACACATTTGAACTGTTTCAATAGAAGGTTTCGGGTCACTCAATTTGTCATAATGAGAATATAGATATATAATAACCAAAGAAATGCAAAAAAATTCACCTTTGGCTGCTTGTACTTATCCCGAACAACTTTGAAGAATGCTGCCTTTCTTAACAAATACAGGTCATGCAAGATAAGGACACATTCTTTCAATTCAGCTGGTTTGTAACCCGAACATTCACACAAAGAAGAAGTCTGCAATAGGTTCTAAACTTTGAGTGCCTTGAATAACAGCTAACAATAGCTTACTCTTACACAGATTAAAACATAACACTATTTATATAAGATAAAATACTAACCCATGGATGCACTTCAGGCGAGATAATAAATCTGGCAAGAAATACAACTGACGCTGCCACAATAGAAGGCAAAAACCTCAAACAATCATAGTCCAGCAAGCTTAGCTCAGCAAGATAGCAGCCCAGAAATTCAATCTGTGAATTTGGCGTCTGAAATAACAAATAAAAGATAAACGATTAGTAAACAACATGACAAAGCTTTTAAGATAATGAATAAGAATAATTGAAACACTTTAACTTACCTTTCGGTTATCCGAAGCCACATCAGCAAACCTCCTGAAAAAATAACAATAACAACGTTTAATTAATTTCATTTCAAACAGAGGTTAAATATTCATATTCACAATATTAAGTCCTTACCCAAGAAAGGTGTTTACAGTAGGATTTCCCATTTCAAACTTTAGGGACTTGAGTATGTCAGCTTCCATCTTAACAACCTATATATGTCATCAGTAAACACCATGAAAACTAATGTGAGACAAATAACACACAAGAAAGCAATTTGTTACCGCCAAAAATAAAACAGCTTTTCTATCTTTACCTCTGCCTTGTCATACGTGTTATCAGTTATGCTACAAAACTCGTCCACACCAGGTGGATCCATTTCCTCATATTTGCTGCATATTAAGAAGTATGCAGTTGTAATTTTTAACCAGATTAAAGAGAACAAAGACCGCAATTTTTTTAAAATAAAATAAGGGTACCGATGTCTTACGAAGCAATGAGCATGGAGGAAACACCCAGCAACTGAAGTCTCAATTTACTCACAGGATTAACAGACAGAAATCTATCAATGTATGAAACAGAGAGATGAAGAGTGTCCGGGAGAAGCTTGTACTCCTCAGCTACTTCTACTAACCAATCCACCAATATTGCTCTCATGGTTGGTGTAACTACCTTCTGAACTTTTTCAATGTAGTCAACTATTGGTCTCCTCTTTTTCTGCATCTGAGAAACAAAATCAAATTTAAAATTGAGATACCCCATAATCTCAAGAACAAAATTAAGAGTTTGTTATTGTTAACAGATCAAAATTACCTCCATTTCACGAAGATACTCATAGAGATCGGAGACGTAAGATTCATCAATGTGGGGGGAAGAAAGGAGGTTGCTTGAGGCAGATAGCTTCGCATTGGAATTCTTCCCACAATGCAATTTCTCTTTGGGTGGATTTTGAGTTCCAGGGACAACAAGATTCGGTAAATTGGGGAGCTCAGCCAACGCAACCCTATGTCTTTTTGGGTGTAGTTTTTCGACCACAACTAGGGCGTTTGCCTTTCTCTTGGAGGCAGCACGAGTCTCCATCTTGTTCCTTGTACGTTGTTAATTTGGAAGAGAGGGAGAGAACAGATAGATGGAAGAAGATGGAATTGGAAGACTGGGCGAGGAAGAGAGACATTTATGTATAATGAGTAGATCAGACAAAGAGCGGTCTTGAAAATAAATTAGCGTGCTTGAAATTTTCAAAATTTGGTGTTCCTGAAAATTTCAGGATTTGCTTTTGGTTCCAAATTCAGATGCGAAATGAATTTAGGGTTTGTGTAGGAATAAAGAAATTTTTCATATGGCGGGGAGAGCGCGCTTCCTTCCGCCCTCCTTTTTTTCTTCATATATAATATATATATATCACTGAAATAATTTAATATTTTTTTATTGAAAAATGCGGTGTAATATAATGTAGAGCGTGACAAATATTTTATACTGATTTAATTTTTTATATATATTTCATATGAACATAATAAATTCATAACTTAAAATAAACAAAATATTCATCAATTACTTTCATAAATTAAAAATAATTTATTATTTTTGTTAATTTTTTATAAAAAAATTTGTTACTCTTAATTTTTGCGATCTTTTTTTTATAAAAATTATATCCTAATATTTTATTTTAGTTATTTTACTTTAAATTCTTATAATATATAGAAAAATTACTTTTAGTCCACATCAATAATTTTTTAAAGGAATATTTCAAAATGAATAAAGTATTTTAGAGATTAACACGATAAATAAATATATTTTAATTTTTAAAAAATACAAAGAAAAAAGTCAAACCAAATATTTTTAGAGAATAAAACCAAAATACGACTATATTTTATTAATAAAAACATACTAAAATCTAGAAAAATATGTATATATATATATATATATATATATATATATATATATATGTACTTGTACTTCAAGTTTTTAATTTAATTGCTTCAAATATAATTGCTTTACGCTATTTTATCTTTTTGTCCAATTTTCATTTCTGAATTTTTATATGTTTTCTGTTCCATCATTTAATTATTGATTAGTTCATTGTTAATAGGATATTTTCGATTCCTGTTATCAAACTTCTTAAACCTTGCAATACTTGACACTTGATCAAACCTTACTATTTTAGTTTAGAAATCGCATTGGAAATCATAAGTGCCAGTAACTACTTACTCTACTTCAATAATGAATTCAAATCCTGCACCATTTTAACAAATTTGAAATAAAGTACCCACCCGGTAAAATAAGCTGAACACCAAGTAAAACCGGGTAGAGTAGAAGTAGGGTAGTGTATGTACAAAGAAGGTGTAACAACTAGAACAGGAATGAATATTAGTGTACTAGTAGTATGTACCCCTATACTTTACATTCGGAAATCCAAAACACAGACTATATTGTTTGAAAAACAGGCAGCAATTTTATCACCATCTTTGCTCCAATTAACTTCAAATATCCCCCCTTTTCCTGTGTATGTTTTTACAATCTTGCCTTCCTTCACGGACCATATATGCACGTATCTATCCATCGAGCCACTGGCAAGATACACCCCATTAGGGCTGAATGCAACGGAATATACAGGATCCCTGAGTGTTGCAACAGAAAACAATGTATTACTTAAAATGCTAAAAATATAATAAGCTGGAACATTGACGATTTCTATATTTTAGGTAACAGAAAATCATTGATTTATCTGTTTTTTAGTGCATCTGTTTTTAACTATTGGAATCCAGTTATTTTGATACTTTTTCGGTTACCATTCATGATTACCCGCCAACAGAAATGTATACGTAGACTTCCTTGAACTGAGATCCAGTTCATCGTTTCTCATTGAATCGATACCCTTTCGTTTCTCTCTCCGGCTTGATATAGTATCAGAAGATTTTGTTTTATCCTTCCTTCTGCTACCATCATTTTGCTTAATTTTTTCTCTACCTGCATCAGTGGCTGCACAATCTTTTCATGGAACTGATTTTTCTTGTTTCTCTACAAATTAGATGAGAACTACAACTATACGCACAAAAGCCATGTGCATGGTACTGATTGCCGAAAATAAGCTCAGTTCTTTGGATGGATCCATTTCTTCACCAGTTAAGTGATGTTCAGTATATGGCATGGAAGGGAAACAATAACGTAGTTGGTTCTTGGTTTCTGAACTCCATCTCCACAGAGATCACATTGAAGAACGTTTTCATCGGGTCTTTAAATATACTCAACTAGTTAGAGTTTGTTATCCAGTTAGTTGAAGTTTGTCGGTCCTTCTAACTGTGTTTCTGATAGTTATTTTTCCCTTAATTCACTGTGTATATATATCTATATACACACCATTCACATTCACATTCTATTACTCCAAGTGGAGTTTTTATCTTCTCATGCTCAGTTTCTTATGGTATCACGGACTCACCATTTTCTTAGAAGCTTGTATAGTCTTCCTCCTTCTTCCTCATAAAAAATGAGTGGAGAAATAGAACATATGTCTAATGATCATAGTTTCTTGTATTCTCACCAATCTAGCAACGACTCACCTGTTCTTGATTCTAGTGATTATCAGATCGATGGTAATTGCTCAGTCCCAAACCTAAAGGTTGAATTCATTGATGGAAGCGCTTTGTCACCACCCGAGATCAGACAAATTGTACCCTACATGACATCTATGCAACATGCCTATACCTTAATATTTCCTATTTGTTAGCAAACGCCTATAATCGTCTCCAATTTTTCAGTTTTGTGTCATTACCTATTAATAGTATATCATATATGAGCATGGATAAAAATGTATCCATTCTTATATATCCATATGTGCATGAGTGTCTAGGTGTGTTTTGCTTGTGAAGCATGTGTATTTAGTTTATTCACCTGTGTCCATTTAAGCTGTAGAGTACACTCCCTAGTTCCACATCCCATAGCTTTATTGTTGAGTCGAAAGAGGCACTGCTTGAGAGAGAACAAAAAGCGAAAGTATTAGGGGAATACAAGATAAGGAGATTTTTTTTTTTGGTTTATTTCAAATTTATCCAAGATTGATTATTTTAATGGTTTTGTTTATGTGTGCCTCCATGGACACAGTTAGAGGACAAGTAACATTTATTATGCGCCTTAAGTACTTGCAGATAGAAAAAAGTTGAGAGTTTTTTTAGATTTTTAAGATAATAAATGCTTGCACTTTTCATCTAATAGTATATTTTTTCTTCACCTCCACTCTCAGACGCAAGTTAACAAAACCAATGTTTCCATACAAAAGGTATTCACAAAGATACATTTTAAATCTTACTACTATTGCAGATCATTCCATGGTAGTCAAAGCATACTTACCTTGCTAGCACTAACTGCTGATTGGGACAGTTGGTACCAGGGCCTGTAGGGCTCCATCTGATTGTATATATCCCCTAAATGATCATTGCTTTAGTAGAAAGAGAATAAAGAGGATAAGAAAGAAAGAGAAAAAAAAAAAAAAACACAGAAACATCTCTCCAAACCTTGACGTGTTCCTTTAAATCATGCAAAAAGTTATCCTGCTTTAGACTCCATATCTGCATCATCGTTTCATAAAACAGTGAATTGGACGCTGACAAGTACTTAAATATCTAATGATAGTGAAATTTACACTTCCAGAAACAGTTTCCTATCCATGATTTTTGTCCTAAAATGTTAATAAAAAAGAGACATTTCCTAGAGATGTTTGTTATATATTTGTATGAAAACCTAAATTTAATAAATATTTTCTCAGTTCCACCCCCAATTTTTTTCTTCACAACCCTTATCCATATTATCGATACATTATTACCACTATAATAAAATCTTTTAAAAGAAAATGTATGTCTGCACACCACTAATGTATCTGTTTTATGTAACTACTAAATGAACCAAAGTGATAGTTTTCAGTTTATTACTTTTGCAGTGTGATCATCGGAGCAGGAAGCCAGCAAAGAACCTGTTGGATCCCATTTAATGGCATTAACTTCATCCTGAAACAATAGCATTACAGAATGTTTGAGCAAGAATTTAAACCATAACTGAATATGCTCATAACTTATTACAAATGTGCATATTCTATTTTGCTTTGAAAAATCACTGTTCCCATTCCATTTTAAATTTAGTATATTAAAATAAATCCATCGGTGGGCAGGTTGACTAGGAAGACATACCTGATGTCCTGAGAAAGTTTTGATAGGTCTATTCTCTCCAATTTTGCAAACATGTATCATTTTATCAGTGGAGCATGTAGCAAATGTAACATTGTTTCGCCAATCAACATCAAGAGTTGGACCTGAAACAATTTGCTAATCATTGAGATTACAAGGAAAGTCGTACAAAAATTCAAAAGTTTTATTCACCTCAAGACAAGGAACAAAAAACTTACCATTGTGAAATTCAAATAGTTGTTTCCATTCCCCAGTCTTTATATTCCACACAATGGCAGTCTTATCCACACTTCCACTAAGAAGATAATCCCCCTTCTTGTTCCACTTCAGAGAAAATATTGGACCTTTGTGCTTGTTTAGTGTACTATTCAACTCCCCTAATGAACCTCAAAAGCAAGAGGTCAGTTAACAGCAAAGAATACAAGGCCCAGGGTAACAGATAGTGCACATATCATGGCAAGAAATGCATATTCATAAAATAAAATATCTAACAGCTCACCATCACTACTCCATATTCTTGCTTGGCCATCATAGGAACCGGTTGCCAACAGTGTTCCATCCCACTTTGTAATAAAAAACGTAGCAAAAGATATTAGCTGAGGAATAAAATTGAAACACGAGTGGAAGACAAAATTCATAGTATTCAAGTAATGGGGTATTGCAGGACCCAAGCAAGTAAAGTTAATCATACAAAGATTCATGGTAAGAATGCAACCATGATAATGCTACAAAGACTTACATTCCAATCAAGTGTTGTCACATCCTTGCTTTTTTCATTTGAGTTTTCTTTAAAGTGTTGCAGCACAACAACATTCCCTGGTTCATTTTGTACACTACAGTCACAAGGTCCATCAGCAATTTTCCAAATTCGAGCGGTTGAGTCTCCAGATCTGAAATGGTTAATCATACAAACATTGACATATTGGCAAATTTTTAACACAAATTGGAAAGATAGCAATTCATGCTGTTTGCTAAGTGTTAACCCTGCATAAGTACCATCAGAAACTGAGCCACTTCATCATTTAGATGATTTTAATACACAAAGAATATTTACTTCACTATTAATTTATGATAGAAAACAGCTTGTATGGTCGCAATAGGCCAAATTTCACTGTCATACTTATGTTTCCTGAGCAGATCTTAGCTATAGAGTTATTGAGCATAAATAAGATATCCTATTTTTATGCTAATAGAAGAGAAGAATGAAATATTCAAATTCAATACTGGATGGATCAAAGTTTTAAAATTTGAAGAATTGAGAATTTTAATCAATTTGAAGAAATAAGAATTTCAATCAATTTGAAATACAAGCCCTCCTCGTCCAAAACATAAAAATCAAGAGAATGCTTGTCGTAACAAGCCTACTGTGTCTAACTGTCAATTGTTTTAAAAGTATTTCCTCCAACTTATAAACAATTAGAAATTAAATTTTAAATTCTTTGATGGCTAGATAGTATTACAATGTATCCTATTATGACGGTTATCATGTAGCACTTATAAAACACTTTCAACTTTGAAAATAACCAGCAATTCATGAATAGAAGAAGAGCTATTATATTTTAAATAGAATGGATTAACAGGGACAAGATACTTTTGAGCAAAAATGTGTTTTCTTTACTAAGTGGTTTGTACTCACCCAGAGGCAAGAAGTGGAGCTGATGGATTCCATGCACAGGCAAAAACCTGACAGGAAATAAATTACTTACAATGGCAAAGGAAAACCTATACGGAAGATAAGAAAACAGATAGTCCAAACCTCTGATGTATGGCCTTTCAAAACTTTTACATCATCACATGGAGTATCATCAATCGATAACATCATGTGGCTTTGTGAAACCTCCATCGGCTCAGGCCCTATGCCATAAATGCTTTACTTTTTCCCTCGTCTGATTTGCTATATAGATAAAGATTGATAGCTAATGGGAATAAAAAAACTAAATAAAACATTATGCATCAGTACTTACCTCCACGTGCTGTATTATCTAGATTTTCAACAGTAATCTTATATTCATGTTTCTCTGTATGGTTTTGATCGGTATGTTGTGTTTCTTTACATTCATCCTTTGGTTGCTCCTTCTCTTTCTCTGACCTTTTTTTTTCCAGTCTCTGATAATTTTCCTTTTCTTTCCTCTCCTTCTCTCTTTCCTGAACATGTTCCTCCCGTGCGTTGTCATGGCTCGAGTTATTCATTATTTTATTCGATTCAGATTTACGTTGACGTAGACTTTCCTTTTTGGCTTTAACCATATTATGCAGTTCATTGGGCTCCTTTGTGATAAGGTCCAGAGGTTGTAGAAACGAAAAATCCTCATCCATGTCAGCATCACTCTGGAGACCTAACACAGACACCAATGAGCTTAAAGTTCTCGAGCAATACATTTATTTTGTGCATGTCAGCAATAATGACTTGAACATCTAATAACATAATCCGAACGAACAAAATATTAAAATGCTTACACCACTCAGGTTGGCTTCCAGCTCAAGATATTGAATTCCTTTCTGGATGAAAGTAACAAGAGCACCCGGTGGAGCCACATTATCATCATTTTTGCATTTATCAATTCCTGCTTCATGCCCGAATGCAAATGCAGAATGAGTAAAACCTGAAACAAAGCATGCATCAGAAAATATGAGAAGAAGTTCAACATATGGGGGGAAAAACACGTTATCTTCACTGTATTTTCTTCGTTAACAAAAATTATATGAAATGTAACTATGAAATCACGGCCATTAAGGAGCTGACACGAAATTAAAATAATAATTTCCCTTGTATCGCAAACAGAACCGAATCTACCAACTTTCTAAAAACCATGGTTTCGAATAATAAATAATATCAAATGAGAATTTTAACAAGTTCTCCTCATTTCTACTAGCGACAAAAATGATGATAAGAGTCTTCGGTTCACAAAAATGAACCAAAAAAACAAAAAGAAAATGGAAGTTACTCCTAACTAACTGTCCGTAATAGATGTTGATATTGATGAGTTTGTAATGTGCGAGAAATAAAGCGAGAAAGTGGAAGAAGAAAAAAACCGAAATAGATTAGGAAAAGGACGAGCCTGATTCATGAAGGTAACGGAAGACTAAGTAGTTCAATTCAGTGGAAGTGATTGAGATCATTGCGATTCAGGATCAGTTTGTTTGAGGGAATAGCTTGAGTGGCTCAAGTCTTAACTGCAGAGAAAATGCTCATAGGAGAGGTGAGGTGGTGGTGGTGGTGGTGGTTAGTTGGGGTTTGGGCGTGATACCGGGTCGCAGTCAGGTTTGGGCTTGTACTTCATACCACTAAAGTTTGGGCTTCTTTTTCTTGATTTCCATCATAGTCTTCTTTTTGTATATATTTTTTAACTTTTCAATTTTATCTTTCTAAAAGGCATGTGTGAATTGTTGTGAAACCGGAACCATTATCTAGTAATAATATCATATTAATATTTAAATGAAAAATGTATTCAATTGGATCAATCTACTTATGAAAATCTGAATCAGTCCTATCATTTTGACGAATCCAACAACCTGTTAATAAGATCGTATTAAGATTCAAATCAAAATGCACTTAATATAGTGTGATTTGGGCAAATCAAATGATCGATTAAGGTTATTGATCGTGATAAGTTGACTTTGTATGGATTATTGATTTATTTAATATACTCACTTGTTTATTGAATAGTGTTGTGGTTAAAAAACTTTATTTTGGTATTAGTTACATAATCATAATGATATTTTGAAATTTGAATTGTGAAATTACATTATCTTATACTTTAATACGCTGTGGATTGAATGATTTAAGAGGAACAGAAATGAGTCAGAAGAGATAGTATGATTCTTATTTGTTTGGTTGAAAGAAGGGGAAGTTGTTGAAGTTTTTTCAAAAATAAATTCATTTGGAGTTTCGTAAATTATAAATTGTATTTTATGGTATCAATAAGTATTAATAGTTTTATGATAATCTATGCTCCATGTATTTTATTGAAGAAAAATAATGTTTTAAAAGAATAAAATTTGTGTTAAAAGACAAAGAAGTGAAAATCAAACATTTAATTAATATATTTTAGCTGGTATCAATAAGTGGAGAGAAATTTTAATATTTATAATTTATTTAAATTACAACTCAAACAACATAATATAAAGAACATGAAATTGCATAAATAAAACATTATATATATATATATATATATATATATATATATATATATTCTATCTCTCTATTTTATTTTCTTAACATTTTCCTACCGTTATATGAATAAACAGTGTATTAGAAAATATATAACACATTTAATATTTATAATAGAAGATAAAATAGGAAGATTTGAAGTTATTCAGTTTAAAAAAAAATTCCCCGAATTAAACAGATCTTAAAAACATTTAATTGAGTAAGGGAAGAGCAAGCACTTAAATTTTAAATTGTATTATCGGGAGTAGATATATTTAACGCATAATTAATTTACTCAAAATTTTAAACACAATTAGTTATTTATAATATTCGAAAATTAAAAGTAATTATGTTATGATCACTCATTTAGTTTCTTAGTTGTGCAAACTTCACTACAAATTATTTAGGTTATTTTTAAAGATGTTATTTTGATATTTTTCATTCATTATATATATAATTTATTAATTTTAAAATTTCCATTACATTAAGAAATCCAATAAATTAGAAATAACATATATGAAAATTAGTTTTATAAGAATTAAAATCAAATTATAAAAAATGAGATGAGTCGTTTTATGACTAATTATTTATAATGAATCATGTACTCAACAGCAAAATACGTTTTTTGGTATACATAAAAAAAACTACGAAGACTAATAAACTAAAAATAACACGTTTAAAGTTTTAAAAACATTTTTAAGTAAGAATTAAAATTAAATTATGAAAACGAAATGATTAATTTTATCATTAATTATTATGTTTAATAAAAGGCTATGTACTTAACAGCAAAAATATATTTTTGGTGTACATAACAAAAATGCATTTACAATAAAAAAAAAAAGAGAGTAGAATGCACCACCGCGTTAAAAACAATTAATTTAAATTTAAATGTGAAGGGTAAGGTTTTGTTAACTTAAAACCACAATTAATTTGTGATGATTTTTTTAACTTGGTGAATTAATAAGTCCTTTCCCTTTAGTGGCACCAGAAAGGCAATAGTCCCACCACTACTCCTTTCCTCACTATTTTGTCAGACAGGCCTTGCCTCCAATCCAATCCCACTGTTTCCCCACTCCTCTCAAAATGTCCGACACGGAAAACGCAACTGCGCCGCCATCGGAGCACGACTCAGTCCCGTCGACACAGCTGCCCGCCCAAGACCAACACCTCGCCGCCGCCAAGCTCGGCCCCGCCGGCGTCTCCTTCACCATATGGCCTCCCACTCAGCGCACGCGCGACGCCGTCATCAACCGCCTAATGGAAACCCTATCCTCCCCCTCCGTCCTCTCCAAACGCTACGGGACAATGCCCCCAGACGAGGCCTCCGCCGCTGCGCGCCAGATCGAGGATGAGGCCTTCGCCGTCGCCGCCGGATCCTCCTCCTCCGATAACGACGGGATCGAGATCCTCCAGGTTTACTCCAAGGAGATCAGCAAACGGATGCTCGAAACCGTTAAGTCCAAAGGCACCGCCGGCTCCACCGTCGATAACGGCGTCGGTCAGACTCCTACCTCCGATGTTGCTCCTACCCCCGCCGAAGAGGGCGATCCTGCCGCTGCTGCCGAGTCGGAAACCTGATCATTTTTTGAGGGTTTATATGTTAATGTTATATACTATGATGATGTTCTATCTGTGAAACTAAGTTTGTTTCTCGTGTCACCAATTTTCATCATATATTATTATTCCCTTGAACATCTTAGTTGTTTCTTTGTTTCCTCGAAACATTACTGTTTGTCTCTCTGTCTTCGGTGCATAATTATTGTTTGTTGCTAATTCTCATGTTTGTCTGTCTTCTATTGTTTTGGTACACTTGCAAGCCATGAAACCGTTTATTTATGTTAAAACTTGGTTAGTTAACAGTTGCAGCATTTTCTTTTGTTGTGCATATTATTTTGTTTCTTAGCTTGCTTAGTGTTGTCTTATTTACACTAGTAGTGATTTAGAATTAGATATACAACGAGATAATGTAGTTTGTAAACGAGTATCTAACTATAACATGTGAATAATGAGTAATCAATGCTGATATTTTATCTATATTCTTGTGTGATAGGTTACATCAAAGCATGCGTGATGTAGACCTGGGGTTTAAAGTAAAATGTGGTATTATTGGAAAGGGAATGGGGTTGCGTGGGCTTGGTGATGAGAGTAGTCAACCTCCTTTGATCAAAATCTGAAAACAGTTAAGGATTTCTATCTAGTCCCAGAATGGAAGGGCGTGTTCTTCAGCCATTCTATAGGAATGATTAAGTTTAACTCATATATAGTAATGCTTCACTACTTTGATGAAACATACATAAAAAACACCAAGTTAGTCACCTTCTGTGTACAAACATGAGACATTGTTTAAAGAGATTGAGTCTAGTACAATTCAGGCCAACGTAAACTTAGTGGAGACTATTTCACAGGTTAATATTATTTTTAGTCCAGATCCCTAGACACTAAATGCATTTAATCATGTGATACATGAACATACCAGTATTTCTCATTATGCATCAATCCACGGTTATATTTATGTTATCTTTTTTTCGGGTGGTATGACCGTATGGTCTTGTTGATTTCTAATTTTATGTCCCACTTGTCAATTTAAAATTATCATTAGTTTCTCAGAAGCAAGTTCTCCGTTGTTTTTATTAGTTGAAGCGTCAACTTTCTACTCTTTTTATCGCCAATTCTTAGAAACAAGTTCTCCTTTGTTTGTATATTGAAGTTGTCTACCTTATGACATTGCAATCGTGAATTTGATGATGAACCTATTAGTAATATATTTCCATTTGTGCTCAATGATCAGCGCAATTTGCTGGGACATAGTACTATTCTGTGTTTTCAGATTACACCTTACCTTGGTTAGTATTTCAATAGGAGTTTTGTATGTTATCGTGCACCAGTAACTTAGGATGGTCCGAACTAGAGAATGCATCTCATATTTTAATAATCTTTTATCGGGTTGTAGATAGAGTCGATCGTTTGTATTAGCTATGATGTGTGCTTCAATGACTATTTGTTGTGTATTAAAGTTGTCTATGCCATATGAAGTTGCAATTATGATTCATGAATTTGATAATGATCCTATTCAGCTAATATATTTCCATTTGTGCTTAATGATCATCGCAATATACTGGGACAACGTAGTACTACTATTCTGTGTATTCAGATTATGCTTTACCTAGGGAGGTCTGAACTAGAGAAGGCATCTCATATTTTAATAATCTTGTATGGTGTTGTATAGAGAGTCTATCATCTGTATTATCTATGATGTGTGCTGATTGTTGACACATAATTGCTTACTCGTACTAGTTATTGCATACTGAACTTATTCTTTCAGTAGGACTATAAACCTACATTGTGGGATGACGGAACAGCACACTGACTTGCAAGCAAGTTATGCAAGGCATTCATTATACCCTGCTCTGTTTTTATATTCAGAACATCATAGCGTAGGCATCCTTGTTTAATGTCCTTTGTAACACGACTGTGTATAATGGAGTCTTAGGATTGTTATGAGCCAAAAGAGAAATAAATCCATCATTTTTGGAGCATAATGTTCTATTCTATTGGCTTGTCTTGTACACAAATTTTGTAACAATTCTTTGATGAATAGGGTTTTATGGTGGAGGAAGGGTTGGTTTGTCATGGTCTTTTTCTGACCCACCAATCTTGCTGAATCGCAGCGCTCATGTCAGATAAGTAAATGTAAAGTTTGAAGTAGGAACTCTCTTAATATTGGTCAGGTCCACAACCACGCACCAACAGCTCACCATAATGCAAAAGTTTTTCTTTTTCGTAGCAAAATCTCTCTCCTATCATATGGTAATAAAGGGAATTTTCGTTGAGTATTTGATGTCTACGGGAGAAAATGACCAAAAACGACTTTGTTCCCCTTCTTGAGATCTCCATTAAAGCTCTCAAGATGGTGATGGGAGAAGTCTTGTGCTATTTCTCCCGCATAAAGGGTTCAAAACCTTGCTGCGATGACCCACGACGCAAAAAGCGAAAGGGACTCCTATGTCTATTAATCAGGTTCACCATTTCTGGTAAATTCCACCACCATAGGTGGTACGATTTGAACTGAGGAAGGCGAAAGATAAAAGCTTCCTTGAACATGAGCCTCCACTGCATGTCCTCGTTTCCAAGTATAAGGAAAGCTTTGGAATTCTGCGTCAATCAACATGCAACTATCAACAGCAAAACGGAAGCTATTCATACTTCTAGTGCAATAATGGGTTAAGGCCTTGTTACAATCACGAGGATTTAAAAATGGAACTGACATCACCCAGAAGTGCCAAGGGGCGTTAATATTAGCAGCAAGAATCACCAGCTTCTCCCACAACGATTCCCTTATTTGGAAATGAAGGCTAGCATAGATGACAGTAAGAAGCCAGGTTTCATTATACCCATTATGCACTCAAATATGTGTCCCTGCGCATATCGAATGAAGACATTATCGAAGCCACGACGAATGAGTCTCCAAGAGACATGAGACAGATAATGTACTCTTGTTAAACATCTTTCATAAGGCTGGGGTATGCGTATTAGCGGTTCCTCTGCAATTCCGACAAACCAGATTCATTGAGACGTTCTATCTGGGTGAGTCAGTGAGGACTCAAAATCAGCATAACCACATGGTTTGGCCATTGTCGTCCGCACGTGTCGAAATCCTGAACCTCCTTGGTCATTCTTGAGGTGAAGGTGCTGAACCAAAAGTCAATTAATGCAAGTTTGGAAACGGACAGAATGTTAAGAGAAAGTGGTTCTTTCTTCTACAACGATATGGGCTCGTCGGCCAAGCTTTTTGTACGTCCTGTCTCCTTGTGATGGGTGTGTGAATCCTACATATTTGGACTTCCAACACTTTCACTACCCAACAACATTTCTTACTCCTTCACGACTCTAACGTCCCATGCTACTACTCTTTTCTCCTTTTAGACCAAAATAATTCAACAAAATATTTTGTTTAAAATTTGAATTTATTGTTTAAGATTTTAAGTTTAAAGTTTAGAGATTTAAATTTAAAATAGTTTTTAATCTCTCAAATTTAGATGACAAAAACTAAATTTTAATAATTAAAAGTATAATTAAACCGTTTTAATATTGTTGCTGCTCATTTAGTAAATTCGGGAATCGTAAATCCGAATTCATACCTTATATATATCTTTTTAAATATGTTTTGAGTTCTGGATTTCACCATCCAATTTTTTTATTTGAAATATATTTTTAATAAAAAAGTAAGCTGTGAATTAGGGTTTAGATTCTCGATTTCACTTAAATTTTGTTGGGTTAGGCAGGGATGATAATATTAAAATAGGTTTATTAATGTAAAAAGTCACCGTCCACAATAGCCAAACGTTCAGTTGACGTGCTTATTATTTGAATTTGAATTTGCTAGTTTGATACATTGCAAGTCCCCTAGCGTCTGCTATGTTTATTTGTAAACGTTGTAAAATTTTGGATGTACAATTTGCCTGATATAACTTTTCCTTTCAAAAAAATTACAATGGAAAACTCCCCAGCTAATCAATTGATTTCATCGTATTGATTGGTAAGAGAGTATTCACAGTACCATCGCAAATCAAAACCCTCCGTTTTCATAGCTTTACTGTACCTGTTCTCCTCCCTAAATATTGAGTTGATATTAAAATGGAAGTCTGTGTGAATGATGCATGGATTTTGTTTATACAGCGAAGCAAAGTCAAGTTTTGAGGCAGTGGCTTTGATTCAAACATGATCTTATCTTTGACTTGAATTCTGGAGATTTGGCTAGGTCTGTAACCTCCAGAGTCGACACACTATTCACATTGTCCAGTGAAAACAGTGTAACTCAATTAACTTGATTCATATTTGTTAGACCAGGTTAGTCTTTTTCTGTTTTCTGTCTCTATTTTTTATTTTAGTTTTCATCACATTCAATCTCAATACAAATCAATGCTTAGTAGTATAAGTGTGTGGGAATTAGGTTTCACTTAACTTACCAAGTCTTATAATTGGAAAAAAGCTTTGACCTTACAAATGACTTCATCTACTAAATTCAGATTAGTCAGAAAATCAACATTGACTTGCAATTAATACCAATGATTAGACCAAGCAAAACTATCAATAGTTGAAGCTGGATATCGGGTCCTCAGTTAGTCTTATTACCTGTGAAAAAAGCCATGCCCCTAATTGCTGCTGACAAATACTAATTAAGGGTATTTGGGAAACAGTTTGCTTAAACGTAATCCAATTTTTTTTTTCTTTTCAATCCAACAATGCTGTTGTTATTCCTTTCTGATTTAAAAAATGCAAACGAACGTTTAGTATCTCTCAAACCACAATTCAAACATTGAGATTATATAACATTTATCTTCCCTCCTGTTCACAGTTTATGAGTTGATGAAGAGTAAACGTGAAGTTATAATTTTTCTACATTGATTTGAGTCGTTAATCTAAAGAATATAAGTATTTTTTTTATTCTAATTAATAACTCGAACACTACAGATGCGTTTTGCATATACAGTCATTAAAAACATCAAACATGTATTCTGTTACGCCTTGTTTTTACAATGAGCAAATACTCTACAAAGTACAGACTACATAAACGTATCAGATCAGTGTCTGTGGGTGAAGTTTTTCTTCTAAAAAAACATAACACTAACATGGGAAAAAAACAATATAAAATCAAATCGAAAGAACAAAGAATTGTAATGGCTGAATTTAGTGTAGTTAGTTAATGTCCAGGTCCTTTTTTGCTGGGTCCAGAAGCTAGTCTAAAAGCCAAGCTTCGTTTGGAAACACGAGTGATTGAATTGTTGGAAGAAACAGCAAAGAGCCTCCATAGAGAAGAACCTGATCCTTTCAACTCTGCACAATCATCAGCTACTTCTGGTAACACCTTGGATCGAAGAACTCGACTTTGCACCGAACAGAGCTGTGATGACAATACAAGCATTATGGTAACCAACGCAATGCAAATGCTCTTCTTCATCAGCATCTTGTTCACAAAACCACCCTTTGACAAATAATAATATTCCTTATTTTCAAGGGCCTCTTGCTATGTTTGTTGGTATTTCCAGCTATTGTATATGTTTTGGTCTAAACCAAGAGCCATACTCGGTTTATATACAAAAAGTTGTGGTGAGGACGGTGAAGCGCTTTCCACGTGGGCTTGAAGGGTTGCATTCTGATTTTGACTTTTGAGTAATCATGCTGTGCTATTTCTTTCCGGTGACATCATTTGAAAAATGTGGTGGTGCCCGTGTGGGAATTATGGTTTCTCACTTGCGTATCCTTGCTTTGAATTTCTTCAACTATTTCCAAAATTTGACCTTGTAAGAAATACCAACATTAAATTTTCACCAATAATTACTCAAAAGCGAGTGAGGTACATGTTACTATGCTCGTTCATGTCGCAGCTCGAGAAGGATAGTAATAATAACAAAAAACATTGACAACGAAAGAATGCAAAATAAGAGAAAGTAGGTTAACTTGTAAAGAAAGTCTCTTGGTCTACGTGGGTATGCATTTGCATGTTCTTGTTCAACCCATTACTTTCACACGGGGTTTGACTCATGGTTGGGTTGGCAATCTGTTACGCGGTGCATGCTGAGTTCATATTTCAATTTTTAAACGTTTATGTACCTTTTTTTGCAAACCACACACAGCAGTAACAACTAAAAATGTCTCCTTTGAAATTTATTGTCCACCTGTCAATTAGGGAAAAAGAGTGTTGCTTTGGTTAAACTTTTCTGAGTTCAAGACGGTGGTGGTAGTATATGGGACAGTATGTGGCCCCTACTATCAAAACCATGCCCTCACAAAGGCCATATTCCTTGTTATAAGTTTAGGGTTAGTCTAACACAATCGTGATTAATTAGTAACAGTGTATAATTTTTTAAATCATGGACAATGCATCAAATATACAAGTTTTCTAAATCAGTTACTGTGTGAGAAGTTTAAGTTCAAATTTGGTTGCTTTTTTTTTTGTTATAAAAAAAATTGATCAATGTAGAAAATCATGTTGGGATTCTTATCTTCTTTTTTCCGCCCCATTCCTGGACCCCATCTAATGCTGCATTTTCGGCTTCTTCTTCCTCTCCATCTCATAGCTACATTCTGTTTCTTGTTGCTTTGTAATCACCTTTTTACTTAGAAACAAAATTTCTCGGTACCGCAAAATTTGAAAAAACAAGAGATGACAAAGTAGTTGGTTGAACAATTCACCTTCGTTTCAATTGAGGGTTGTTATGTTTATTTACATATAAATTAATTTTATTTATATAAATTTATATTTATTTTTAAAATAATTATGTCATATTAAATTATATTTTTATTTTTATTAATATTTATAATAAATATATTTTAGTCATTCATGATTTTATTTTATTATTTTTTTTAATCAATCAAAACAATCTTATCTTTTACCATCTTTTCACTCAATTTTTTCTCACTTTCCACTTTCTTTTCTTTTATCCAAACAATTTCATATTTTATTCTCTTTCTCTTTTCCTCATTTTTTACTCTCTCAAATCATCCCTTCAATCCAAACACAAGTATTTTTAATCATCGTATCTTGCTTGGATGATTATTTTTTATTTTGAAAAAATAATAATAAAATGAAACAAACTTTTTCACCTGTTAAAATTAGTTTATATACGAGAATATAAAATAATTTAATTAATTTATATATTTTTTAAAGTTGTTATAGAAAGTGTTGTTAAAGTATAACCTTAGAAACTTGTGAGAAAAGTGAATTTGGTTTAAATTTAAAAAATTATTTGTATACTATTCATCGAATTCCAATTTGAAAAAAGCCGTGTCCTTGACATAATTTTGCCATACGCAGTTGCATGATTGCAAATGATAGAAAATTTAAACCCAACCCTTCCCCTCCCCTATTTCCTTAGTTTACAAAAGTGAGATTTAGAATCCGAAAAGGTCTTCAATTTGTTTAATTAATTATGCAATCATTTAACAAATGTACATATATGCTGCGCCCAATTTTATTCTCGTGAGATCATAATTAGATCGTTGTTAGGACTAATCATCTAACTAACTCCATTCTTAATTAGCGCTTAATTATTAGTATGACTTTTAAAGGGGCCCAAAACATTGTTCAGTACTATATACCTTCACGTCACAAAAAGGTAATGATGGATTAACTGGCCAAGGAGTCGCTGGAGATTTTTCATCCAACACACTGTGGTATCGATGCTTTTTAACAACGCTACTCAATTTAATTTGGGCTCACCAAGTTTAATATATAAAAAAATGTGATTTTCTCTATATATTATCTAGTTTTATCTATATAAATTCTAATAATTCTAACTAATAACTATAAATCAATTTTAAATAAATTACAATCTTAAGTGAGTTTTATTTTAAATATTTTAGGTTTTTAAGATAAAAATTTTAATTTTAATCAAGTTATTTTACATAATTTTGTTTGATTAGGATACATGCATGGAAAAATTCTTATAAGAATAAAAATAATATTTATCTGTATAAGGTAAAACTAATTAATCCTTATAATTATAATTTTATAAATAAATTGAAATAAATAAATTAACTTAATTTTACTTATTTATCTCATTAAACAAGAATTCTAAACAATGTAGTCACTTTCCAAATCATAATTCTACACGTGAACGATGGAATATCTTGCATCATAGTAAAACAACTTGTTGTTTTGTGTAATGTCAACACAAGATATGGTTCTCAATCCGTTGACCTTACGATTCTTATCCATCAAATAATCTGTTAAACATTTTATTTCAATGCATGCAATCTCGTGAGCTTCTACTCACGGACTAACAAACCACAAAAAAAGTTGAAACACGCATTATACAAATTCATTTCAATTCTTATATTTTATAAAACTTAACAAATTAATCTTTAAATTAATATATGTATATATATATATATATATATATATATATGAACAAAGGTATTTTTGATTAATACTTTTGTTCTAAATGTTTATTCTAATTTGTGTGAAGATAAATAAGTACATATTTTAACTATAATATAAATAATACTTATCTTACAATATTCAAAATGAACTTTTGAATTTTAAAAAATTGATAATTTAAAAAATAATATAGGGTGCATTTATTACATTAAATTGAAAGAATCAGATGTACAATTTTCTTTGGTTCAAATATGTTGCTTTAAACATCACAAGTTATTTTAGTTTGGATCCCGGCCCAAAGGGCTTGAATCTTGAACAGCCCAGGCCCTAATAATTCATCGCATACATTTTTAAGTGTTCAAACTTTGCTTAAGCGGGTTAGGTTTGTTGCACTACGGTCCGCCTTAAATTGATGAGTTAAATTACTATTTATAATTTGTTAAATATTAATTTATTTTGCCTAATTTCTTAACTCAATAGAAAAATATTCATTTTTTTAATATATAGTGAAATAAAAATAATTATAACTTCAAATATTATAAATTTTTATATTATTACATAAAATGTATAAATATATACTTTAAATCATAAATATTAATAAATTAAATTTAAAATTATTAATTATGATTAAATAATTTGATATAAAAATATAATAAGTTTATTATTTTATTTAATAAAAATATTAATTAATGGGTAAAAAAATATAAACAATTTAATAATTAAGTAAATAATTTAAAACTTACAAAAAAAATGACAGATCATCCCATCAATTGGTCCCGTATTTTTAACTAATCAAATATTAGAAGGATCAAAATATAGCAGACTGACTTATTAATTATTCCTGAGAACTATTAGAAACATTAAAATATATTTAAATAAACAATAATTACAGCAATAATTATGAAAAAAAGTTGTTTTGTTGGGATAATAATTATTATAACACCACTTTTTATGACTATTTATTGATTTGTGTGTGGGGCAATATATTAAAATAGTTGGGCCATGTTATACGAAATGAAGCGCATATTGTACTATACATCCCCAAGTCAAAAAAACGTTAACAGTTCGGGGCACTGCGTCTTAATTAAAACGGACCTACAAAACGACTTATCTATATTTTTCTTGTTTTAACTTTATATATGGTGCGCCCGAGGGGTAGGTGCTTAAAAAATAAAAATGAAAGATCGATTTTAGTATTCAGATGAATGATACTTTTCTTTTCTTTTTTTATCTTCGTCTAAATATTTGATTTTTTTTTTATTCATTTCAAACCACAAAATTTAATTACAATGTAAATTATTCGTTGGAAATTACAAATATGATTTACGTATTTAAAAACTTGTATTTATTAACGTCGAAAAACGTGTCCTGCTTTCTGACTAAGGTTGTTATTCAATTTCCTGATTTTATCGTAACAAATATGAGTTAAATATAGAAAAGAAAAGAGAAGACTCATGCATGACATAAGTGTCCTAACTATTTAAAGATTTAAATTAAAAGAGTGAAGATGAAGTAGCAATGAACGCGGATGAGTAAATGCCAAAGAAGTCATTTTCAAAAGCGATTCTCTAAATATTGGCTCAAAGTTTTGTAGGGATTAGAGAACCATTGATAAACCCTTGCATAAGGGATTCCACATTCCTACCAACGTGGAGTTCGTCCTAACCACTTAATTTTCATTCCCTCTTTTCTTTGTTGTGCCCAAAATAAGTTGAAAGTGAAAGAAGTTCAAGCACGCACTAGTGCAGAATATGGCTTTTACGTCACCCAATTGTCGTCGCATGCACGTATATTCGACGTAAATAAAACGCGGTGGCAATTTTGTAAATATGGGACAAAAAATTTACGTCGCACACCCCAATAGGAGACGTAAAAAGTCATCTTTTACGTCGCACCTGGGAGGCGCGACGTAAAAGATGGCCTTTTACGTCGCGTACGGGGGACGCGACGTAAAAGCCTTAGCTTTACGTCGCGCCCACTGTACGCGGCGTAAAGGCCATCTTTACGTCGCGCCTCCCGAGTGTGACGTAAAGATGACTTTACGTCGACTACTACATTACGCGACGTAAAAAGTCTATTTTATTAGCCCACTTCCTCGTCTCGCGCAACCGGGGTTTTTGAGAACGACGACGAGAACAACGACAACGGCTACCTGCTGCACACCATTTGCGAGCGGTTTACAGTGAAAAACATCTACATTGTCGTGTCATTTGACGAACTTCATCTTTCTCCCAGATTGGATTCGAGTTTGAAATCGGTTTTCGTCTACACTCGAGGTTAGTGTTCATTGTCATTGCTATATGTTTACATTGAATCGAGTGATTGTTTTTGGGGATCTCAATCACGTTATAGTATGAATGTCTCCACTTGGATTGTTATTGGAATGCGGTTATTTGTTTATTTGTTTGAGTGCATTCGGTTTACACACTCCATTGTTGTTGGAACGTGCTTTGTTGTTTGTATATTAATTTTTTTTTACATATAATTTTTAAATCTTTAGGAGTGACGAAACTTTATAACATAATATGAATCGAAGTTGGATGAATGCACGTCGTATTAGTGAAGAGTACGAAAAGGGAGTTGAGGAATTTCGAAATTTGCTAGTGAAAATGGAAAAGCTATGAAAGGGACATATTATTGTCCATGTGTTCGTTGTTTGAATCAAATTCGTCATAAACTTGAGGATATACGTGATCACTTGTTTGTTTATGGTATTATTAAGAGTTATACAATATGGACATGGCATGGAGAAATATTAGACATCCCAGCTGTGTCAACTACGGACAATTTTGATGAAGGGATGGATGATAATAGAGGATATGATACGTGATATTGGTGAAGAACATTTTATGAAAGCACATCTATATGATTCTTTGAAATCTGATTTTGCGCAACAATTGTACATAGGATGTAGTTTTACAAGATTATCGGCAACTTTAAAATTGTTTACTTTAAAAGCAAGAAATGGATGGACTGATAAAAGTTTCACAGAATTATTGGAGTTGTTGAAGGAGATGCTTCTGAAGATAATACATTACCTATTCGTAACTATGAGGCAAAGAAGATATTATGTCCAATGGGTTTAGAGTACAAGAAAATACATGCATGTCCTAATGATTGTATATTGTACGGAAATGATTTTGCTAAATTAAAGATGTGTCAGACATGTGGTTTGTCGAGGTTCAAAACCAAAGTTGAGGAAAGTAGTGGTGAGGAAGAACTAGATGGTCCCCCTGCTAAGGTGTTATGGTATTTGCCAATTATACCTAGGTTTAAAAGATTATTTGCCATAAAAGAAGATGCAAGAAACTTGACATGGCATGCAAATGGTAGAAAATGTGACAATCTTCTTCGACATCCAGTGATTCTCCACAATGGAAAAGGATTGATGAAACCTTTCCAGAATTTGGTGCAGAGCCAAGAAACTTGAGAATTGGATTAGCTACAGATGGGATGAATCCTTATGGAAATTTAAGTAGTAAACATAGTTCATGGCCGATTATGTTGATCATTTACAATTTGCCTCCTTGGTTATGCATGAAGAGAAAATATATGATGTTATCTATGATGATTTCAGGACCTCGACAACCAGGAAATGACATAGATGTATATCTTAGTCCTTTAATTGATGATTTGAAGATGTTGTGGGAAACAGGAGTGGATGTATTTGATTCATATCACGAAGTGAATTTCAGGTTGCGTGCAATGTTATTTTGTACTATAAATGATTTTCCAGCATATGGTAATTTGAGCGGTTATAGTGTGAAAGGTCATTTAGCGTGTCCTATATGTCAAGAAGACACAAGTTATATCCAATATGCGACGTAAATTTACGTCGTATATACCAATATGCGACGTAAATTTACGTCGTATATACTGTATGCGACGTAAATTTTCTGTTTTTTTTTTAAAATTGAAAAGGTTTTTACGTCTGTTTATTGTATATGCCACGCAAAATTACGTCGTATCTTCATAACTGACGTAAATCTACGTCGGGTAAAAGGGTCCGACGTAAATTTACGTCTCCCGCTTTTACGTCGGACTTAAATACGACGTAAAAAGCCCTAAATACCTGACGTAAAAGCCCCTTTTTGCACTAGTGACGTCAAAATTGCCCCAGTTCCACCAATGGGATAAAAATGGTTAGACTCAGATCTTTTTCAACATAAAATACCACTTTAGATTCATGAGTTTTGGTTTACCCCATTAATTAAATTACCAAAGTCTCAATTTTTAAGCTGAAATTGCGCTTTTATTTAATTTTAATCTCTATAATTAAAATAATTACTAATCTCAATGGTTTCTCTTTAACTTCATCTAAAAACGGATTGGATTCAGCATATTTTGAACAAAGTAAAAATTTGAATCCAACTTAATTCTTGAGGGATTGCTGGTCACGATAAAAATCGTTTTTTTTTTTCTTTTTACTAGATGCATGCTTAAATGGTTCTAGCAGGTTAAAACCCGCGTCTAAACTTTTCCAGTTGTACACGTTATCACCAATGACATACATTTGGTCAAATCAATCTTAATTGTTTGAAAATAATAATCAATATTCATACTACTAAAATAATCATTTAATTATTAATTTCTTTCGACAAATTTTATGTTATAAGTAAACATTTTTTCCTAAAAGTTTGATAACAATAATGGCAAAAGTTTATAACACAATAGTAACTTTGTGTCTTGAAATAAATGTGCCATTCCCTAATCTACTCTACACAAATAAGGTTTTGAGTCAATAAATCAAAATTTTCCTATAGGGAATTGATTGCTTATAATAATTAGTATTTTCTTAAAGAAAAAAAAAATCAATTATTGCAGTTGTAACATGTTGTCTTCATCTACTGGTGTTGTGAGTTTGAGACAACTGTTGTTTTGAATACACTATAATTTTACCAATAATTAATCTTCTTAGAGGATCCTAATGATACTTTAACCAAATCACTTCTCAATAATGTTTTTCTATCTATAACATTTTTTATTATATTGACACTTAAATTTATTCTTCATAGTATTATTTGCAATTTTATTGGAGTAAAAACAAATTATAATATAGCTACATTATAATCATATATAAAACATGACTAATGAAATCAACTACTCACTACCTGAACTAACCCTAAACACAATTGCTACAAAATCTGAAGAAATTTCATTAATTTTGAATTGTGTGTGAGACTCTAAACCATTTAAAAAATGTATTTAAAATCCAGTAAGAGAGTCCGATTAATTATGTGAGAAGTGACAAACATGTTAACCCCTAAACATCCTAACACAAACAGATTCATCAATGTTGTAGAAGGGAATAGAAGAATCATGAAGAGGTTGAATTTAATGTAATGAAATGGAAGGCAAAGTGCGTGTAATGAGAAGGGAAAGGGCATTATTGGGGGACATTTTTTAAGAAGACGTGTGTGCTGGTTGGTGATGAAGCAAAGAGGAGGAAAAGAAAAGAACATTGTTTATTGTGAATGGGGTCTTAAATGAGAAAAGAGAAGGTTACAGCGGTTCAGTGGATTTTAATTAATGAGGTAAACGAAGGGAAAAGATGAGGAGATATGATAGTAGTTCATAGAGCATCATAGTTCATTCACAGTTCATACCCACCCACCACCCACCACTTTCTTTTTCTTTATTTTGATTTCATTAATTCATTGATTCCCCCGGTAAGAAGGCGAATAGCAACATAAAGACAAGGCCAGAAGGATGAGGACAAAATCGTCCATCACATAAAAGAATCAAAATGCATTCATTTCTCTCTTTGTCGTCTTCGAAAACCATCAAAAGCAGGTGCACCCCCCTAACCTTAACCTTTACTTCACCTGCCCCATTACCCCATCCCTCATCCCCTCATCCTTTCCCACTAAAACCCAACTCTCTCAATTCCGTTACCGTTATCTTCTCAACCCTCTCTCTCTCTCTACCCAACCCAACCCTTTTATTTATTTATTCACCCTTTATTTCACCCCTTTCCTCTTCCTCCATCAAGCACCTAACTTTCTGGCACCGCCCCAGGCAAAAGACAAAAGGGTGTCTCTGTTTCTGTTTGTCGACGATGAAGCGTCCGTGTCCGTCGGCGAGCGGCGAGCGGGAGGAGAGGGAGATGAAGAAGGCGAAGGCGGTGGAGGAGGTGGAGCACGTGGAGGGGCTGGGGCGTTTCGACGACAATCTTCTGTTCGAGGTGCTGAAGCACGTGGACGCGCGTACGCTGGCGATGGCGGGGTGTGTGAACAAGCAGTGGCACAAGACGGCGCAGGACGAGAGGCTGTGGGAACTGATCTGCACGAAGCAGTGGGCAAACACTGGGTGTGGAGAGCAACAGCTACGATCGGTGGTCCTCGCCCTCGGTGGCTTCCGTCGCCTCCACGCGCTCTATCTCTTCCCTCTCTCCAAGCCTCAGACATCGTCCTCCTCTTCCTCGTCGTCCTCGTCCTCGCCCTGGGGCCCCACCATCCCCCAGGTGATTCGATCGAAGCCCCTACGTTTGGGGAAAGACGAGGTTCACCTCTCTCTTTCGCTTCTCTCTATTCGCTACTACGAGAAGATGAATTTCAATAACCGAACCAGATGATTCCTCATTATTCCATTACCCATAATCCATAATCCATTCGATGTGTTGCCTTTTCCAAACCTAATTTCGGCTTTCGACCCCTTTTTTTATTATCATTTTGTGCGATTTTTAGATTTCAGTTGCCAGATCTGCTTTTAATTCAGGCAATTAGTCTAAGCTGGATGTGATTTGTAACCTGTATGTATGTACTTTGATTTGATAAATAATATAATATATATATATATATGATATATATGAATATTGGGATGTTGTTATGAATATGATGATGTTTGTAATTTCTTGTTTTGGGGGTGGGGAGAAAAGGTTGGGGTTTGGATCTGAGAGGAAAAAGGGGATTTGGGATTGTACGGAATAAGAAATTGGGTGTGGTGGGGAAATTGCCGAAAGGAGTGGAAGGAGTGATTGGCGGTCCTGGGAGTGTTTTTTCCGAATGCGCACAAGGAGACAGAGGCTGAGGTCTTATTGTTCTGTAATAAATGTCTGCTACTGCCTATGTTTTCTGGCTCGTACTTCGGCCCAATGGGTAAATGACACACGAATGAGTTTGCACTTCTATTGCCTCTGCAAAAGCCAAATTTTTTTCTTGAGGGACGATATTTGTCGCTACGGGGAACCATATTATTTGTTTCCGGTACTGTACATTTTTTTTATGCTTTAGTAATATTCTAGTCTTCCATCACTCAACTAAAAACACACTCTCTCTTGGACCGATATCTTGTTTTTTCCTCCACTTTTTCTACTTCAACTCTTTCCATTCTCACAACCTAGCAACCCCATTCATATTACTCTCTTAGCTTGGCAACAGAAGGATCCCGTGTCTTATACACAGCTTCTTAACAACTGTGACGCAGTACGAATGACCCTAAGGTGTTGCCTGTGTTTGGTTCTCATGAAAAAACTCTACCACATGATTGTGAAAGCAAAATTTGTTTGATGTGCTTGGGTCAAACATGTTTAGATTCTGTTGTAGCCGAAAACCAAAGCAGGCATTTAGCATCTGGAAGTGGAAGTTAACGAGTGTTCGCAATTGGATTTCAGACGAAAAAACTGTATTGGACATTACTAACACTTTCAATAACTATACCAACGCAACATTCTTACTAAACATTATACATTCCTTAAAACTATCCCAACTTATATGATGATGCTCAAAACTAATTTTGTGGTCCTATTCTACAGTACAAACACTCTTTAAACTTACATCAACTCAAAACTCTGAAACAAATCTTATAAACGTCAAATGTTTTTCTTTTTTATTTGTCTATTAAAAGTTAAAAACAACTCCAATAAATTGTCAAACAACCCTTGTAAATGGGCAGTTCTGTACTGTATTTAATATATTTTTTAAATATAGTATGTTTTAATATAAAATATTAATAAAGACAATGTTTTGAAACATAGTAGGTGACATTCTCAATACTATGATTAGAATAACATGTTACCAACAAGCACTTTCCATGGAGGAATATTTTCCTTAAGAAACATATCTATCAATTTTTATTTTTTTTATGGTGATTAATTTTCTGACGGATGAAATAAGAGTTAACTTCATATCATTATTAAGTTATTAACCATTAGTACCATATAATACTTTTTTGAAAGAGATATTTTTATATAACATGTTTAAATATAAAAACTGTTTATATGAGTGATTATATTAACAATTAAGTATTAATATAATGCTTTAATCTACTCCATGTATATATTAATTATTTTCTTCAAACACTACTAGACAATTAAGCAAATTATAGGCTCGAAGCATATGGTCCTGGAGGCCCATTTAGTTTTGCAAAATAATATCTACCCAGTTCTCTCAAGTTCGCATCAAACTACAATCAACACAAATAGAAAAGTAGTATATACATTCAAACTTATTGGTCAAACTTCCTGTTTAAATTATCTAAATATAAAATAATATTTAATAAAAAATAAAGTTAGTTTATATTTTTCATTCTTTCATTATGTATTTGTTTATTACGTATAATTTGTAATTAAAAATAATAATTTTTATATATTATATTTTATGAAATATATACAGATGAAATAAAATATTTTTCAAATAGTTAATTTTATTTTCCACCCATTTATAATAGAATGGAATATACTAATATTTTTAAAATAAAATGTTAAAGCTAGTAAGGATAGACACCAGATTGAAATTTTATTTTTGGCATTGCTAAGATTTTAAGTTCATTTACTTCTGTATTTAATGTTCTTTTTTTATTTGAATTATTATGATAATAATAATTTTGAAAAATACATAACGCATGCCTTTTAAAGCTATATTATACTTATATAATATTTATCACATCTTTATACAAAAAAATATCGTAATTTATAATTATGAAATTATATAATTTATTTATAAATATAAAAATAATCATAAAATATAACATTCATATTCAATTTATTTATTGGATAATATTTTAATATTAAATTATATTAATAATTAATAATAATAATAAGTTTATATAAAAATTCACATAATTAATCAAAGTCATCTACTAAATATTAATTGTATCTAATTCAAATTTTATATTAAAATAAATTAAATTAAACTTAACCCAATTTAATTTTAATGTTCTGTTCGGATATTTTATTTGATAAAAATTTAAACCAGACAAAACTGTAAACTATATGGTATTCCATCCTGTCTTTATCACAAGACACTTAGGACAAGACCATGGATAAAAATAAATCAAGGAATTAATCTATTTTATTAATTTTCTAATGTGTTTATTTTTATTCTTATTAAGCACCTTTAAATTTATCAGTAACAACACAAAATCATATTTTTAATAAAGACATATAGGGAGAAGTAAAAGTTATGTTTGTTAATTGAAAATGTAAAGTATTTTATATTGATTTTTTTTTCAAAATAATGTCTTATTATTATTATCATCAATAAGATCTCACTTCAAATTTTTTTTTTCAAAGTATTTATTCATTCTAATCGAAGAGTTAAAAAAGAATATAGAAGAATAAAACTTACATATAATACATATGTTACTGTTCTCCTATTATATTTCTACTTCATCTTCTCATATGCAATACAATTAATAAGATGCAAATTATCAAAGTAAAGCTTCAAAATTAGTTGAACAACACCAAACGTTTTATAATACTACAGTTATGTCCTAATATAAACCGTCAAAAGACAAAAAATAAAATAAAATTAGGGTTATAATTTTTTTTTAAAACCAAATTAAGTAATATAGAAAATAGGCCTGAAATATTTAGGTTTTATTACTAATTGTATGTGTATATTGTTAACAACCGAAATTAAAATGATTTATTAAAAAAATTAGAAATGATGACTAAAAATTAATTGGTAGCAACCAAACACAAAATATCTGTGGGTTAAATAAATGAGAGAATGAATGCATTTAAATGAAGTTGTGATTAAGTTTAGGTTAACAGCGGTAAAACATTGATTTTATTTGCATTCAGATAAAGTGCCCGTAGTTGACCGAATAGAGAAGAAAACAGAGAGGAGACATCTTGGTCGGGTTTGGGTTTAAGGAGGGGAAAGAGAGAAAGAGAGAAAGAGAGAAAGAAATTGATTAATTTTTCTTTGGGAAGGGAAGGAGAAAGATAGAAAATCAGTGAATCTGATCGCAAGAGGAAGTAATGAAAATGGGGATTTCCAAGACAAGCACTGAGGTTACCGACAATTCCAATAGCAATAGCAATAGCAGCAGCAGCACTCAGACTGAAACTGACAACCATATCTCCATTCCTGCTCCCTACGCCGAAGGAGAGAAGCTCATAGCCACCCACTCCAATCATCTTTACGAAGCCAAGGTTTCCCTTTTTTATTCTGTTTTTTCTTTTCTTGCTTCTGTACCCCAAAATCCGAAGTTATCATTCTTGAAACCGAAATGTTTGTCTTGTTTAAAAGGTTAGGCAAGTTGAGTACCACAACACTGAAGGCTGGCAGTTCCTCGTTCATTATCACGTAACCATCTTAACGTTTATCTCCTTTTACTGTTCCCTCAACATTTTCTTCAATCTTATCTGTTCTCTTAAATTGTTTTTTTGTTCTTCCTTTTCATTTTCAGGGTTGGAAGAAAAGGTCAGCTTGTATATTATATATATAAATGGTTGTCTTGTTCAACGTTCTGTTCAGAACTTCTGGCTTAGTTTTCAAGTGTTTGTTTTTTGCTGCAGTTGGGATGAATGGGTTGGCATGGATCGTCTGATGAAACGCACTGAGGAAAATATGCACAAAAAACATGCCCTTGATGAGAATCTTGGCAATGATAAGAATGCGAAAGTCTCACGTGGTCCTCTGGCTAAATCCAAGATTACTAACGGTCAGACATTCGTTTCTGCACTTTTATGGCTTCAATCCCAATGACTTGCTATCTTTCTTGTCTGTAGTGGAGATTCTGAGTGTCTGAACGCCAAATTAGTTAGAAGCTTAGCATTAGAATTAGATTATGCATGTGCTGTTCTCAACTGGACAGTGTAGAGGTTGATGTTGTCGGACTTGGCATTAGGGAATCCTACCAAAAGGTTCATCATAGTTTTCTTGGTGTGCATTATGAGATGCAGATGACTCTGTTTTGTGTATGCCGGGGGAGAAATTATGTGATTTTGGAACACCACTTGTTCATGGTCCCAACTAATGTTTGTATATATTCAAATTTTATATTTTATCACAAAGAATTAATAACACTTTATTATGTCATGTAAGGATTAACGAGAACTTCAGTATTCTAGAACCACATAAAATTTCTCTAACTGGGATGAGGGTGTTGTTGAGGATTTTTTTTTTCTTTTTGAAGTTTATGCATTTTTTTAATGATTAGAAGGGATGTGCTTCTTGAATGATGCTCATTAATCAATATGCATCGTAAGAATCAATTTGTTGAAGATCTTCACCATGTTCAGGAACTGGGTGCCTCTTGTATTTGGCCCTGTGGGGAATTGGGGATTAATTGAAATTATTTGATGGTTATATGATTAGTTGTGGGGGGGGGGGTTGTCTTCAAACTTGTTACTTTCTTTTTTTCAATCTATATATAATTACACACACCCATATATATTATGTGCTTTATCTCCAAATTAACTTCAATAGTACTCTAGTTCAGTGATTGATCCAAAACAAATTCTACAATGACGAAACATATTATTTCTCTTTCAATTGTTTTTTTTTGTCATTATATGTTCAAAAAAGAGAGTTTCTTAAGTAGGAGTAAGAGTATACATTGGAATTTTAGCTAGAGACTAGCGGAATATGACTTGGAAGTAAAATTGGAATATGTCACACCACAAGTTTCTAAGTTTAAATTTTTATGATAAATACTACAAAAAGGATGGAGAAATGAATAAAAGATGTCACACAGTATACAAGTGGGATGATTAAAATTTAGAAATACATCGTGGGTTATTTGTGCTTGCGAGGTACCTGCCAAGTTCAAAGGAATCTTTGTTATATTGCTATACAATTGACTGTATTTTATGGTAGTGAATGTTGGCCCTTAAAAGAACAACAAGAGAAACATGTGGGAGTGGAAGAAATCAGAATATTAAAATGGATTTAGAGCCACAAAAGACAAAACAGGATATAAAATGATTGTATACAAGAAGAGATTGGTGTAGCACTAATTGAGGAAAATATGATAGAAAATTGGCTAGGGTAATTTGGACACATACAGACAAGTTCACGAGAGATACTGGGGAAAAATGTAGATTGTTTGGTTTGTAATCCTGTGAAGAGGAAAGAGATACCATGGACATGGAAGAAGTCTTCGAGTGGAATCTCATGGTAATTAGTATATCTGAAACTTCGGTCTTTAATGATTTGAATGACATCATATGATTCATTTAGTCAACATCATGTTAGTGAGATAAGGCTTCGTTGTTGTTGTTTTTGTATTAGTCAGTATTCCCAATAATGGTGAGTTAGTGTAAATTGGTCAATTGTGCTTGGTTGGAGGCCCACACTTAACGTAGATCTGGCCATGTACAATACCTTGTGTCCGTGCTTAAGTTATTCTCTTTAGTTAAAAGTTGGCTGTCATTACGTCAAGAAGATATATGATCTAATGCTCAATACATTCCTTGTTTTAATTTTGTTAATCTTGTAGCTTAGTCTGTAAATTAAAAGGACTTTCTGGTTTATGACCTCATGCAAAAAACCAACTTTTACTTAGTTTGTGTTCCTACTATCTCTGAGATGCTTTGGTAAAAAATGAAATGCAGTTTCAAGAGGCAGGAAACGACGGAATGAATCTGTCATCAAGGTAACTCTCCCATTGAAAAATTTCAATTTATACAAGGCACTTCTCATATGTCCACTCTTGAAAGTTCACGTAATGTTTCTACATCAATTTAAACTGTTAGTCAAGGTGGGCAATTCATGTGTAAATATTACCAACTTTTTTTACTCTTGTGTTGTCCCGTGGGAGTTGAGGGGATAGCTCTTCACAATTCTATTTTTGCCTAAAAAATATCAATTTAGTTTATTTTATTGTTTGATTATTTGTAGCCAAAACCTGATGTTGATCCTGACAAGCTTGTTAGCATTCAAATCCCTCCAACACTGAAGAAACAATTAGTTGATGATTGTGAGTTTATTACCCATCTTGGCAAGGTAGCGATATCTTCTTGAATATATCAATATAATTTATGACGATTGCTCATTTTCTCTGGGAGCAAGTTGATATGCATATGTAGTTAGTCAATAGTTACGGAACACAGTTTTACTTTCGAGAAGTCATTTTCAAATTGTTGAATTTATGTTTTTTCCTATGCAGCTCGTTAAACTTCCTCGTTCTCCTAATGTGAAAGACATATTGAAAAATTATTTTGATTACAGATTGAAGAAATGTGGCTCGTAAGTTTATGCTGACACACCCCTCCATTTTTAAGCTTAATGTTGAAATATTTTTTCTATATTGGGAAGTAAAGTGTGCGTCAAATTATTTCAAACAGTTAAGCTTTTGAACGGAAACCTGGAGCCAGCAATTATTTTAACTGAAGTTGCTATTATTTAGAATAAACCCCTGCCTCATAATCTTTTCACTAATCAATGACACTTTTTTTTAAGTATGGTTGTGGAATATAATTTTGTTTTTTGGCCCGGTCAATGCATAGTCAAAGAGAAAGTTTCAGTTTGATTAGTCTGTCGGCAATCTGCTTCTTAAGTTCTGTAATTATTTAGCTTCTTGAACTTCATTACTTTTCCAGCTCTCTGTTTTTGGTACAGCTACAGTATTTATATTTTTACTCATGGTTCTTATCGCTAATGTTTGAAATAGAATGGCTGATTCAGTTGAAGAAATTATGAAAGGATTGTGTCGTTACTTTGATAAAGCACTGCCAGTGATACTCTTGTACAAGACCGAGCGCCAACAGTACCAAGAAGCTTGTCCAGCCAATGTCTTTCCTTCTGCTATATATGGTGCTGAGCATTTGTTACGCCTCTTTGGTATGCTCGATTATCTGCCACCAGACGAACTTACTGTATGACGGGTTTCAAGTTTAGTTTATGGTTGCATCAAGTTGTAATGGAAATACAGATGATGGTGTGGTTATTCTGCCCTGAGTGGACAGCAAAATGCTGGCCGTTTTGGTTACACGAGTTTATTTCTATGTGCTTATGTTTCTGTCAAATCTGCAATTTGTAGATCTTTACTTTTATCATGTCTTTCAATACTTAAAGATTCTAATTATTTTTGTCTTTTTTTTTGTCTGGATTTGAATTTTGAAGTTAAGTTGCCTGAGTTATTGTTCCATGCTAGCATTGAAGAGGAGACATTGATAGAGCTTCAGGCACAGTTACTTGACTTTCTCAGGTTTCAATAGTTTTATGTTAAAATTAGTCTTTGTGATGAATTTAAATGGGAAAATAAGTCTACTGATAGTTGACATTTTACTAACAACTTTTAACGCATAACTATCCACTTTATGTTGCAGGTTCTTGCAAAAAAACCAGGGTACATTTTTCCTTTCTACTTATCATGTTGCTGAAGATATTAAGAACAGCTCCGACGAATAAGGTGACTAGGCTTGTGGACACAAATGATTTTGCTTTGTACATAGTTTCACAGAGGTGCTGGTGGTATAGCATGCTAGTCACGATTGCATTTTACCTTTTTTTTGTATAAATATGATGTGAAACCAGATTTGGTAAGTCTAGACCTAGTTTTGGGAACTCGCGTGTTCAGAGGGTACGGAAAGTGTACCAATTATGGAAGGAAAATGCAAACTGACCCTTAATTCTAAACACCAGTTGATTTTCTGAATTTTGTTTCAAATTTTTATTTTTCCAAATGATGCCTGTGGTTCACAGTTCAATCAAGGGTCTGAAAAACACATTCTACCTTCCTAGCTTCCTTCTGCAGCCCCAACATGATGAACTTTATGCTGACGAATTAGGTTATTGTGAGTAGGTGGGTGGTTATAAAATGAATCAGACTCCAATGTTTAACTTGGCAAAGAATTTTGTAATTATGAGGATGAAATTGGATGATCATATGAGGTTGTGTTCGTATATAGATAGTGGTTTGTTATGATTAAAAAAGGAAAGTATAATTTCCTTAACTCAGCTTAGTTGATTAAATTACAGGTCAGAAGTTTTGAATGATTGAGTTTAATTTTCTGCATTGTATTCTGCTTATCCTGCTTTCTTATTCTCAAATAGAAAAACTCCTATTATGGGTTTTCATTCAGAACAAATTAGGAGTAATTTCATTATGTAATTGGAAAAGTATTGTCCTCTTGTGAAATAGGAAAGGTGAGCAAGTGTTACAAACAAAGTTGTAATTCCATATCTTCTAATGATCTCAAATAAAATGAGAAAGTTGTTTAAATCAAACATTTCTGTTGACAACAGGGATACCAGACTAAAATAATAGGGGAGCAACCACTGAAATTGAAAATAATCTAATAATAGATAAAAAAAATCATAGTTTTTATATATAACTAAAACATCAATTATATTAATAATTTATTAAAATATGAAAATACGTATTTACTCAGTTTTTTTTAAATGATGATATTATAAATGTTAATGATTAGTGTTCTATAAGAATTTTTTTTCTGAACAAGTTTTAATAACTATGTTTCCAAAAATATACTAAATAAGAATATATTATTTATTTTTCATATTATATCTATAACAATAGATAAAGATAATTAACCTATCAAATAAGTCATCTAGAAAACATTTTTTTTAATTTATTATGATCATTATCATTAAGTCACAATGACAATAAAAATAACTATATTATAATAACTATATTATAGTTCTCTCTATTTTTATAATAACAAGTCGTTACCATCATCATTATTATAAGTATTATTATTGATATTAAAATAATAATAATGATAATATTCAAATAATATTATAAATATATATATATATATATATATATATATATATATTTTTTTTTTTTTAAGTTTACAATTACATGATATTTTAGTTTGAATTATTAAGTATTTTAATTTTAATTATATATTATTTTCATCTTATTGAGTGTTCTCACATAAATACGTGTTTCCATTAAAGTCAATTATTTTGAGTTATTCCATGATAATCCAAAAATTAAATTAGAGGCTTTTATTGAACGAAGCAAATACATTTTTCTTTGTAATTTTAAAATTGTTTGATATTTTATATTAAATAAAATTATTTTAATTTGATTACACTTTGTCAAATATAAATGATAATAATATATAGTTCTAAAGGGTTGTTTGATCTAAAATTTGCTATGTTTTAGCATAGAGATGATATTCAAATATTTAATGGTTAAATTAATGATCAGAAGAATTTCACTTTCATGACATCTGGTTATGGCACTGTGATCCAAAGAAGATTAATGCTCGAAACATTCATGTTTATTGTCGCAGAAATGGTCAGTTACGTGACAAGCCAAAGCAAGACCGTGTAGCATTCATTCATGGTATTCTGACTGAACCAAGCCACCAGAGGGTTTCGTGAAGAGATAGGAAGGGGTGCAGGAGGGGTTGTATTCAAAGTTGAAAGTTGAAGTTTATAGCTATGAATTGTTGTTTTGGAAATGGTCTGGAAAGAGTGCAGCAAAGGATGTTGATGGAACTGATAATGGAGTGGAGAAGCATCATTTCAGCATAGTCCCGTGGCTTAAAGAGAAACAGAAAAATGGATGTGGTTGGAGGGTAAGATGCAAGCTTCGGTTAGAGTGGTTCTCTACTGTGTTAAAAGTCCCACATTGACTGGTAAAACCATAACACAATGCATCAAACCAGAAGACTCTCGTCATAATTAGAAGGGTTGTTGTTGACGTGATTAATATATATAATATTTTTTATAAAAAAATTATATTAATTTTTTTTTTAATAAAATTATTCGACAAAAAATCTAATATTTTTTTCATTTAATAATTATAATTAAAATCTAATTATTTAAAAATAACATACTACTTTTTATTCTCACTCGTCGAATCGATTTTAAAAACCGTCATAAATATACACCAAAAAGAACGTAGGTTCAATATAAACAAATTAAAACAATGAGAACCAAACAAATTAGTATTTACAAAATTAACTTGTAGTAATTTAAAAAAATACAGAATCTGATCAAATAGATGAAGATTCACCCACCCACCACATGATTAAAGCATATCTGCTGTAAAATAAAAATAATTAACTTATAACAAAACAATATTCGAATTGAAAAAATGGTAGTCTACGACTATATTTTATATTTTTTAATACAAAAAATAACTTATAATACATTATTCTGTGCTAGTTCTCGTGTCATGTGATTAATTCTGAATTCAAATTTGCCTAGTACTTTTTATTCAATAATAAAGAATTCATTTAAAAATTGTAAGAAATAAAGAATAGTCGTGTTTGTTATATTTAAATATAATAACCGTAGTCGCTTTGCTTCCAAGAAGAAGAAACAAGAGGAAGGAGCCTGTAACTATCGTGGCATACATGGTACAAGAAGATATAAAAACCATAACAAAGACAAGAAACATGGCAACTTGTCATAAAACTCCAAGCAAGAAAAAAAAAAATAATGGAAGAATGTGGTTGCATGCCAACCAAAGCCAAAAAATCTTGATCAATGATCAACCCCACTAATTGAAGCATAAAATAAAGTGTCATTTACCAAGTTGCTTCAGGCCATAGGGCATGCCAACTCACATCACAGGTGCCTTAAATTGACCCAAATCTGGCAGTGGATGGTTTTAGTCCAGTGCTCGCGGTTTGTCGTTGGAACTCAGATTTTCACGAATAATAGTCAGAACTCATCTTTTGACGGATAATACTGGCAACTCATTAAACATTGAGTTGAAGTATAATAAAAGTGAGATAAGAAAATCATTTGTATACTCTGTGACAATACCTATAAAGGGACGTAAAATAAAATTCAAATGAGAAAAAATCAATTATTTGAGTCACCTAGTTCAAGCATCTCTATAGACCTAAATTGAACATATTCCCTATTTTTTTACCCTTTTTAACCAAAGAAGTTGATTAATAATGTTATAAAGACTTTCTATTTTTTAACAAGAGCACAAGTTATTGTAAAACTTCAAGAAAAAAAAACCGAAATTGCGAAGACATTCTGTGTACGAAATTAGGTAGAAAAAACTGAAAACAATTTGAGAACAAATAGATAATGAAATAGGAAATTGCTATTATTGCTGCTTTAAATTGACCCAAATTTGTCACGTGGATGGCTTTAGCTCAGTGGTCATGGTTTCATGACCCATCACACTCAGTTTTGTCAGGGAACTCAGAAGAGCTTAATGATAGGAACTCAAATTTGACAGATAATGCTTTACTCACGTAATCCTTGTCTTACTTAATCAAATTATGTTATGAGAAGAAAGAGGAAAAGGAAAGAAAATGACAGATAGTGAATCCCAAACTCAGATATACACGCACAAAGTGGAGTTTACACTTAAACTCCTGTAAAAAAAATATTATACCAAGTGATTCTGAGACATATGTGATGGACTGAGAGAAACAGATTGAAGTATAAAAAAGTGAGTTAAGGAAATTATTTGCCAAAAGATATTACGCTAAGACGAAAAGTATAAAAGGATGATGTAAGAAAATCAAGAGTGGAATATCATTTTTTTTTCTTATCAGATAAGCAGATTTACGGATTTAGTACTGGTTTTTGTTTATTTTATTAGTTTACTCTTCACTGTTTTCATCTTCATTTCATGTAATCTCTCTATTTTCTTCCGTATTAAAAATGTTGACCTTCGTTAAACAAATAAATATTCTTTCACTTGTCGCAAAAAAATCATTCAGACTATGACTAGTATAATTTAAGAAAAAAAAATTAGTTACAACCAATCTTAAATATTTTTTTAATGAGTTGTTTTATTTTAGATTTAGAATTATTGATCAATCTTGTTATTATATCCATTATCCTCATTTTGGATATCATAAAATTACTGTTTTAAGTTATAAATGCTAAGGTTAAATAACTTTACGAGTTTGATCTATAATGTCTGTGGTGAGATTAATTATTTGAAAATTATAAACAAAGTAGTTTTAGTGTGAGAGTTATTTTGATTCAAAGATAAAAATCTTCCAAGTTCAAATAAAAGGATAAAAAAAAATAGTTTTAATATATATTTTTTAATGAAAAATGGAGAAGAAAAAAAACTACGTTATTGACTTTTTAATCCCTATAAAATAAGTGAATTTATATTTTAGTCTTTTATAAATAATTTTTTTTGTTTTTATTCTCTTTAAAATTAAAAACCATTACTTTTGATCTTAGTATTACATATGACATGCTACTATTTATATATTGAATAAGAGGTAAATGATTATTTCAAGTAAACAAATATTAACACTTTATTATATATATTATTAGTATGATTCACCTCACATTAGATATATCCGTTTAAAAAAATAATAATAAACATTATTTAAATATTATGAACTAAAAAAAGTTATTTAAAATAGTGAAGAAATGAAAATCAAAGAAAAATATTTTATTAAGACTAAAATCAAAATTCACACATTTATAGGATTAAAGTGATTTCAAAATTTATAAAAAAAATGTAAAGAAAAACTACAAAGGCCAAAATCAAAACTCTTTAATTTTATATACATTAAAAACATATATAGGTTACATACTCAGTAGGTTAAACATGATGATTGAAAAGACGAAATATAACTAAAGAGGGAGGAGTTTATGTTGATGGGACTGAAGCATCTCTGCAACCTGGCTCATGGATGGTCTTTCATTCATGTCATCTTTCACACACTGCAAAGCCACCTTAACCAAAGCCTCTACCTGTGAAACGTCGTAGTTTCCTTCCAAGCTGGGATCAATGATCTCCTCAATCCAAAACTCACGCGTGGTTGCATGCTTTATCTTGTCCCTTATCCACGTCACCAGCCGATGCTGCTCTATGCCCCTGCTGTTCTCAAGACTCTGGATTTCCATAGGGCTTCTTCCACTCACCATTTCCAACACCACGATCCCGTAGCTGTAAACATCCACCTTAGCAGTAATGCGAAGATTGTAAACCCACTCTGGAGCCATGTACCCTCGAGTCCCTCTTATTCGTGAAAAACTAGAATTTCCACGCTCGTCTCTGTTTAAAAGTTTTGACAACCCAAAATCTGCTACCTTTGGATGGAAATCTGAGTCAAGGAGAATGTTTTGAGGCTTCACATCGCAATGCAAAATCCACTCCAAACACTCTTCGTGTAAGTAAGCCAAACCTTTCGCTGTGCCCACAGCAACGTTGAACCTTTTCTTCCAATCAAGGGCATTAGTAAAGAGATTGTCCGCTAAAGATCCATGTTCCATGTACTCATAAACCAAAAGCCTGTGCTTCCCTTCAACGCAATACCCCCACATGTCGATCAAATTCATGTGGTTCAGCATGCCAATTGTGCTCATTTCAGCCAAAAATTCAGCTTCTACTTGAGTAGCTTCGTTTAAGCGTTTAATAGCCGCAACACGGTTATCATGTAATGTCCCTTTGTAAACAACCCCTCCTGCTCCTTGCCCAACCTCTTCTTTGAACCCTTTTGTTGCGGTTTTTAGCTCTGCGTAGGTGAACCTTTGAAACACTGTCGCGGAAAGAAGGTGTCGTTGTTGATCCAGCGTGTCAGCAGGGTGCTTGCTAGTTCTGAACAAGAAGAACCACACGAGGAAAATGGCGGAAAACTCAAACAGCCCGAACCCGCAAGCGAACCAAACCAAGAAACTCAGAGTGGAGTTTTTTCCTGGCGCTTGATAAAATCTCTTCAACGGGTGAGACAAACCAACGGGGCAATTCATCAGGGAATGCTTAAGAGTCTTCGTGGATGAGCTCAAAATTGCATTCGGCAACTTTAGATAAATCTCTCCATCGAAATTAGGAGTATCCCGTCCATTGAATGCCATCGTTTTCAGGAAACAATTATAGGTAGAAACCTCGTTGAACTTGAATTGGACACCTACACATTTATCACAAAGCGCCAGACATAGATTCTGGCATTCCTTTAAGCTCGAAACGCGTGTCACGTTCCAGTCATAGCCATACCATTCCGAGGTTCGAAGATGGAGAAAACCCAAAGACTCAGCACTGTTGCAAGAAAAATCAGAAGAAGGAAACTCAGGCTCACACCCCAGAGTCCAGTCATTAGGATCCTTTACCTTAAACCCTTTCAAGCAAAAGCAACTCCTGCCAATAACAGGATCATGATTGCACATGCTGTTAGGTCCACAAATGCCATGAACGGTACATGGTTGGGAAAGGAGTTGCCACGTCACCTCCCACGTCTTACTCTCCTCGATGAAGCTATACAAACGCAAGTTACCGTCAGAATCCATCTTCAGTCTTCTGTACACTTTTTTGGGATAATCGGTGGAGCGGAATTGAAACCCATCAGAGGAAGTGAAGAGTCCGAAGGAATCCAACAAAGCGGTTTTGGTTACATTGTAGGTGGATCTGCCTATGTCAATTGGAAGCTGCCACGGGGCTGGCCAGTACACGCTGGAAAACGTGGTACCTTTGTAGAGTAAGCGAAGAACGTTGTCGTTGTCGAAGTAAAGTTTGTAGAATCCGGAGGAATGGTTCGTTGCACTTCTAGAAGAAACGAGGCTCACTTGCTCCGTGAGTGGTTGCGTTGGAAGAAGTGTGTCCGTTGGGGATTCGAAGCTTTGCCAAATGATGGTGCCTTGGGAAGTGAGGAGAACGAGGTTTCCGTTGTTTCTTAGCTTTAGATGAAGTTCGGAGGGGAAGGAAGTGGCGGTTGACCACATAACGGTTCCTCCGGCATCCGTCAAAACGAGGTTGCCGTCTTTCCAGAGTGAGAGGAAGGAGCCTTTGCCGTTTACGGGTTCGTCACGGTTGGCCATCCATAAAACGGTGGGTCGTTTGGAGCGCGTGAAGCAAACGGAGAAGCAGAAGGCGTTCTCACCAACTTGGAAGAAGCTAGCTGAAAAATCGCCATTGGATGAAACGAGGATGTCACTTTGTTTCTCTACTGAAAGTGACGAACCTTCTGAAAGTGTATCTGTCGCTGCAAATGAAGTTGAGATGAAGAGAAGAAGGAGAAAGATTGTGATATGCATTGCCCTACACTGCATGAATGAATATGTGGAGGAGATTCTAAACCTGTTACGTATTTAAATACAATTCTACAATTTTTGTTCCTTTTTTTGTTTTTGACTTTGTCAAAATACTAATTCACACAGCACATCATCGCAATATCCAATTGTGTGTGTGTTTTAAATTATTATTCTTTTTTCAAATTCCAAAGGCACCTTCACTTGGGCAAAGCTTCGAATACACGTAGACCCCTACCTAATAGATTTCGTTGTTGTGAATAAAAAAGTTTAACTAGTAAAATATGTTATATTTTTAATTAAAGTAATGTGTAATATTATGACTTTTAAGGATTAACATCAATGTGATTTGTAATTATATATCCCTAAATAATGTTAAATTTAATAAACGAATAAAATGTACGTTTTCCAACCACACCTAAAATAGGTTGCTACCAATACATCTTAATGAGATCATTATGTAGTTTTAAGTTTTAATAACAATTTAGAGTAATCCAGTAAATTTAAACTATACTGTATTTCAGTGTGATTATATAATTATTATAAAATTTTTCTATAATGAATAATATTTATTTGAATTTATACGTAGATTCTTACTTTTTTTAAACTTTTTTTAATCCACCCAAACCCTTTCCGTCTGATCTAAGCGTGGTCCTATTTGTATCCATGTCTGTCTTTTTTTTTTTTAAGTTATGTTTTTTTTTTAATTTATGATTTTTTTTTAAAGTTTTAAGATCAAACTATATCTTAAAACAATAAAAGTTAGGTAAGTTTTACTTTTAAGCTTAATATTTCAAAGATTATAGGTATGGTTCAAAAGTTAAAAAAGAAAAAAAAATTATCTTGAAATAAAATTTTAATCTTGTACTGTAATTTTACATTTTATCAGTTTATTTTGTAGAAAATCGAGGGTTTTTTTCTCGAATTTAGTAATATGAAATATTGCATTTCACTTACATTTCCAGTTTCTAATTTGTATGTTACATTCTTTCTTTGTAAATCTATATAATCAATATTGTAGGCCATATTTGTTGGTATTTCTAATAACTCTTGAAGTGTTATTTTAAAATGAAAAGCCAATTTCAATAATTGAAAATCATGAAAAATAAACACGAATGATTAAAATGAGAGAAATACATGCAATAATTAGTATAAAATATAAAAAAGTGGAATTATATCTTAATTTTGGTGTGGTATACGTGTTTATTTGAAGTTGAACTCCATGATTGTTAGTCAAAAATTTTCTAGAATTTCAACTATGTACGTTTGAAAAGAATTTTCACCCAAACCATTACCAAACGTATCAGCTATATCTTTCTTTGAAAAGCTAAATTAATGGCGGAATATGTGGCAAGTGGTAAGGTTAAATGTTTATGAAATGGCATGTTGAAATTTAAAATTGATTATATGTAAACCAGTAAAGGACCAGTGTTATCCATGCAAGCATGGCCACCCGAATAATTACGCAGCAACTACCAACTTGCTCAAATTAATATATTTATCTTAAACAAAACACATGTTAAAATATTTACAGTTTTGGACCTACTTTTTAATTATTAATCATCACTGTCCAACCGAGAAAGAACGTTGGATACACGACGTCAAGACAAGCACTAGAGAATATTTTCCTAAGTGGGAAAATGGTCCACACTCTCATTAGTTGAAAATCAAAATGCTGAATAGACTTGGAAGTTGACTTCAACGTAGAAATACGTAGAGCCTAACTTCCACTCTAGAACGCCTTCAATTTAAAATGTTTCGAGAGTAACTGACATTTAATCTTCCCCTTTTTTTAATAATAATATATGCGCATTTTTATTAAATAATTTCAAATTTATATATTTCCCCATATTTTGACCTGTTTCATATTACAAGGTTCTAAGTTGGTTTTCATTATACACATTTTTTTTTAAATACAATGTCTAAAGTAAGTTCTTGATGAAAAGTAAGGTTATATTTAAACAATAAGAAACAAACATTTTGATATGCTAAAATTATAAATAAATTATATAAGTAATTTTATATATGCTTATTAATTTTTAGATAAATTAATAAATATATTATTGAATAGATTCTGTATTAAAACCTATTATTATTATTAAAATACATTATTGTCATTTTGTGTCATCGATAATGGTATGATAATGAAAAACTAGTAAAGGAAAAATTTGAACTCATCAATTTTGTAAAAAACTCAAAACTTTAAGCATAAAAAATATTCTCATCCAATTGGCCCATATTTTTATTAAATAATTTAGTTTCTATTTTTAATTAAAAATACTAAATATAACCATAAAAAAACTTAATTAAATATATTTTACTCATTATAACTTCAATATTTATATTGATGTTACTTTTCAATTTCGACCTTGTTTTAGATTTATTTTTATTTTTAAAATTTATTATTTTTAATTAAAAATACTAAATTTAACCATAAAAACTTAATTAAAATAGTTTACTCATTATAACTTCATTATTTATATTCATATGACTTTTGAAATATCACCTTGATTTATATTTATTTTTAATTTTTTTAATTTATTTACTCAAACACGCGTACATCATCTTCCGCCCAAAATACTTAAACCACCAGCCCATAAAGTGCAATGGGCAAAGCCCAACCAAACAACGGAAAACGAAGCTTCCATTATGAATTTCATAAAATGAAAGAGTTAATCTGATTTTTTCTAAAAAATAATTGTAATAATGTTTTTAAGGCTATTACTAGTTATATTATCTCCACTTTCAGAATAGTTACAACTAATTTGTTATTTTAGCGATTTTTTTTAATCAAATACATATTTCTTATTAATATAAATAATAAATAAATGTTTTTATCATCGTTGAAAAAACGTTGAACTGTATTCTGAATTGGAACGGAGTAAGTAAATAAGAGTATTGTAAAATAAATTAAAATAAAGATGTTTATAAAAAAATATAAAAACTGTTTATTATTTTGAAAAGTAATATAAAATTTTTAAAAATGAAAAAAAAAATGTTGTTTAATAACTATTTACGGAAACCATTTAAAATAGTGCTTTTATCGTTTTTATTATTTTGTTGAAATAATTTTCATATTTCTATGCTAACATTTCTTTTACGTTTTTTAAAAGTAAACATGATCGTGATTAAGGTCAGGAAGACAAAACGGGTCAGGTCTAACAAGTCGACCCGTCATAATATGACGGGATGGGTTGGTGTTTTCGATCAGTCAATTTGTTTTGACTGGTTCTGCCAAGCTCGTCAACCCATCAAACCAACCCGTGGGAATACTGGCGGGTCAACTTACGGCCCACCTAATTAATAAAAAAATAAATTTTTATTATAATAAAGTTAATTATAAAGATAATATATAAAGTTAAAACTAAAATAAAAAAATAAAAAAATTTAACTCTCACATAAAATATTCTCTTTCTTGAAACATAATATTCTCTTCGTTTTCCTTAGAAAATATTATTCTTACTGAAATACATGATAATGATTAAGATCAAGGACAAAACGGGTCAGGTCTAGCAAGCCGACCCATCATAATATGACGGGATGGGTTGGTGTTTTCAGTCCGTCAATTTGTTTTGGCTGGCTCTGCCAAGCTCGTCGACCCATCGAACCAACCCGTGGGAATACGAGCGGGTCAACCTACGGCCCACCTAATTAATAAAAAAATAATTTTTTTTGTAATAAAGTTAATTATAAAAATAATATATAAAGTTAAAAATTAAAAAAAATAATTAAAAAAATTTAACTCTCACATAAAATATTCTCTTTATCGAAACATAATATTCTCTTCGTTTTCCTCGGAAAATATTATTCTTATCGAAATACATGATAATGATTAAGATCGAGGACAAAACGGGTCGAGTCTAGCAAGTCGACCCATCATAATATGACGGGATGAGTTGGTGTTTTCGATCCGTCAATCTGTTTTGGCTGGCTTTGCCAAGCTCGTCGACCCATCGAACAAACCCGTGGGAATACGGGCAGGTCAACCTACGACCCACCTAATTAATAAAAAAATAAATTTTTATTGTAATAAAGTTAATTATAAAAATAATATATAAAGTTAAAAATTTTAAAAAAATAATTAAAAAAATTTCGCTCTCACATAAAAGATTCTCTTTATTGAAACATAATATTCTCTTCGTTTTCCTCAAAAAATATTATCATTATCGAAATACATGATCATGATTAAGATCGAGGACAAAACGGGTCAGTCTAACAAGCCAACTTGTCATAATATGACAGGATGAGTTGGTGTTTTCGGTTCGTCAATCTGTTTTGGCTAGCTTCGCTAAGTCCGTCGACTCAACCCGTGGGAATACGGCAGGTCAACCTACTGACCTATCTAATTAATAAAAAAATAAATATTTATTGTAATAAAGTTAATTATAAAGATAATATATAAAATTAAATTTTTTTAAAAAATAATTAAAAAAATTTCACTATCACATAAAATATTCTCTTTATTGAAAGATAATATTCTCTTCTGTTTTCCACAAAAAATTTTAATATTATATATATATATATTATTTATTGTTATGTAAATTTTATTATCGATCTAAATTATAAATTTTTAAAATAATATATTGATTTATATTATTAAATTAAAATAATATATATATATATATATATATATATATATATTTTTTTAAAAATTATAAATAAATAAATAATATTCTTATTATTAACTTTATGAAAAATGTTGACTTTATAACCCTATTTCACTTTTAGGGGAAAGAAAGTGGTATCACCCGTTTCATTATAATTATAATACCACGTGAAATACTAATAACAGTTACTCTAAATTAATTAAAAGATTATAAAGAATAAAATAAATAAGAAATATCAAATTTGATTTAAAAAATTTAAACTTTTTATTACTCAGTAAAAAAAATAATTTAAACTAATAAAAAAAAACTATCCTGATTTCACTTAGTGAATATAATTTTTTTGGCACATTTCCCTATCCACCCTTCTCAGAAATGAGTTTCTAATGGCATTGGTTTGCATACACACCGTTTCGTTCCAGTCCAGACATGTAATTCCTCACTTCAACTCGTATCATATCTTGCATCACCTTCAACAACTCTTCGCTGAAGAAGAGCTCCGACTTAAGCCTCATCTCTTCCGTCCGCTCGCAACTAGGCCCCTCATTCGGACTAGGACCAGACGCAGGTCCATTGTTATCCCCATCGCACGAATTGGATCCAGGTAGAGACAGGCTCAGTGAGGTCGCCAGATGAGTTGCGCAAGAAGATGCACTTTCCGTAAGTAGGGTTGAGGGCACGAGGTTCACACTTACCCTCCGCAGAAGAGGTTGGTAAATAGGGATCGGATAAGTAGCGGGTAAACCCGACTCGCTCAAATCGGATCCGGGTGGGCTACTCGAACCGGTGGCATGTCTTTTCAGGGGCTGAGGGTGGGAGGGAGGGTCGGAGCATTTTCTCTTTAGGGTGGAATTCCAATGGTTCTTGATGGCGTTGTCGGTCCGGCCGTTGAGCAAGCGAGCGATGGTGGCCCACTTGTTCCCTAACCTGGCGTGCGCCTTTAGTATCGTTTCGTCTTCCTCCGCCGTGAAAGGGCGGTGCTCCACCTCGGGCGACAGCTGATTGCACCACCGCAACCGGCACGATTTCCCAGACCGTCCCGGAATGGATTTGCTTATGATGGACCAGTTTCTAGGCCCGTGAATCTGAACCAACCTCCGCAAGGCTTCGTCCTCTTCGGGACTCCATGGCCCTATTATCCGATCCATGTCCTTCGCGGAAGCCATGGAATTAATAATTTTTCAACCCTAACTTACTATGTTACTATAATAACAAATAAATACAAAAACTATGGGAAGAGGTCTCTGAAGGGTTTGAGAGATGGGAATATATATAGTGAGTTAACGCAGGAGTGATAAGGATGAGTTGTGGAGATAACCGGTTACAGCAGTTAGGGGTGGTGTGATTAACCTGACGAGGTAGTTACTAGCATTACAGCTGTCAAACTGACACCTGTCCAATGAGAAATTGTGGTTGTTACACGTATGTATTTGTATCTCACTCACGCTTTAGGCGCGCCCATTATGGCTGCAGTTGAGTCCCCCAACTAATTTACAAATCAACCCATTCTCATCTCCTCAATATAGTTTGTGTCAGCCCTAATTTCTGATGTGTTTGGGACCAAATCCTCGCCAACCCAACTAACGGATAACTTCCTCTTCTTCCTAACTGTTAGCGGTTTTCAAAGGTTTCACGTTTTTTTATAAACATAAAAAGTATATGAAAAGGTTAGTTAGTTAGGTACAAAATAATAAATATAACTTTATTTATTCATATTAACTATTATTTTTAACTAATTATTATAACTAATGGATATATATATATATATATATATATATATATATATATATATATGGAACCATATTAATAAGTTAAAATTTAATATTTATATAAATTTTAATTTTATATATTGTTAAATGAAATACATCTACTATGTTAAAAACAGTTGTTTTTACAAAGGTTAATTAATGAGTTTAGTTATTGAGAATGTGTGAATCTTTATTTTAAATGGAGTGCTGAGTGATAAAACTTTATGATTATAAATTCTATTTGTATTAAATGATTAATAATTTTATTTCATAGAAGAAAAATAGTTTAGTTAAAAAATACATTAAAATAATTATGAAAATGAATTTTTTTATATAATAATAAATACAAAAAGAATAAAAAACATACACGTACTGAGAATAAGTTTTATTCAATTGATAGATCTCAACCGTTTGACATTATCGGAACCATAGAAAGAACGTAAAACGGAATTACCCCATATCAAACTGTCTAAATCTTATGTAACAGTCAAATATAAAACGGAACTACCCTATTCTTTTTTAGTTGATTGTTCAAACTTTGATGAGAAAAACATTTTTTTTTTATATTTTTATTTGGACGTGTAACAGATTTCGAAAGAATTTCAGAAACTGACACAGATAGAGTTAAAATAATTAACAGTATTTTTTTTTTGTTAAAATTTTTCGTATGAATTTATCTAGGCTTGTAATTTCATCTATATGTTTAATAGATCCGTAATTTTGATTTATAATATTTTTTATACAATTTTAGTTCTTTACATCTAATCATGCACCATTTTTTTCTCTAACTTCTGCTATGGAATTTAGTTCCTTCATTTTAATAATCGGTAATTTTATTCAACATTCAATCTAGTTATTCTAATTTTTTTATTTGGAAATTAGATTAAAACTGAAACTTGAACAAATATATATTTTATTTTACATATTTTCTAAAATAATCTTATTTAATTACATTATTTTAAAAAAATTATATATTATAAAAAATAAAATTATAATAAATAAAAAGGATCACTTTTGACATTTTTATCAAATAAAATAACATTGTCCCTTATAATTATACTTTTATTTACTAATAATTTATGATATTTAACAGACTCAAGCCCAATCTAAATCCGGGTCAGGTAATTGACATATGTTTTTTTTTTCAATGTGTATGACCAATACATTTGCATCGTAGAGTAATTAATTTACAGCTTCTTCTTTAATAAAAAAAATAATATGGTTAAATCCACATGTGACTTTAATAGAATATAACAAAAGACCTATGAAATTTATTCATCCCATTTTACTCCTGTTAGTGGGAAATCGGTAAAGGGATCGAAAAACAAGTGGGAGCAAATCGAGAGCCCTTTTTGATTGAGTTAAAGACTGATAAATCGAAAGATAGCTGGAAAATGCGTTCGACGACCACGTGACAATATAAGCGAGAATTTGAATCGAGAATTGAAGGATGAATGTTTAATACCCGTTAGTGAATGAAATTGAGAAATGAGAATTATGTAATGTTAAGATTAAGAGAAATCAAAGGCAAGTCAAATGTTCTCGAAATTCCGAAATTAACATCGGAGAAAGGTTAACCCATGTATCGAAATCTCGGTTAAGTTATAAAGAAAGAAACAATTAATGTGTACAATCAAACATGGCAAACAATGACAAAGGTCCAAGGTCAAAGAAGCAGTTACCTCATGTATGGGAACGTGAAAGCAGTTTTTAAACCATGGCAGAGGTCGAAGATCATGGGAACGTGGGTGCAGTTTTGACACCGAAGAAGAAACTGCAACAGGCACGTAGGACGTGGTAGCAGTTTTCATTAACTGCTCCTAAGAGGTTACTTGCTTAAATGATGCTCTATAAATAGGGTGAAGAATGAAAGGAAAAAGGGGGGAGCAGAAATTGGCAGAAAACAGAATCATTAGTGAGAAGTCTACCGGAGAAACGACGAACATCATGAAGCTTCTGACAATCTGGATTTCCACGCTCATTGAGTACCTTTACCGTTTTCTGTATTTTCCTTGGTAATTTACTTTGATGCAATTTATCTTTAGCAATTTTATGTTTCTGTGCTTTCGATTTTTGGTCATTTCAATTCAATGAAAGTTAAGTTTCCGCGTTTAAGTTTTCTTGTCATTTAACATTAATGCAATTTCGATTTCCAAGTTATTTATACTTTCTGCACATTTGATTTACTGTTATTTATACTTCCTGTTATTTACATTTCTGCTGTTTCGATTCCCTGTCTTTTACATTTAAAGCAAATTTAAGATTTCCGTATGTTACGTTTCTTTGCAATCTAATGTTCAGCACTGCTTTTCGATTCCACGAACTTTCTGCTTTCTTTACTTCGAGCACTTTAAATATAAAACACCAAAAATAGTATCTTTGAAATCGGGCAAAATTCGATCTTCATACGCATCTCGATTGAAAATTAATTTGCTAGCCTAAGTAAAAAGAACTTACGTGGTAGAATTTTGATTAGGATCAAAATATCTTAAGTCAAAAACGAATCGAAATTCCACCAGAAACAAATTGGCGCGCCAGGTAGGGGTAGCCTTGTGTTGAAAACACAAAATTGGTTAGTTCGAGAGTGTATGAGACTAAGGAGTGGGCGAGTTATAAGTATGAGTCAAAATTCATCAAATAACCAGAGTAACAGTGAGGGTTTGAATGGTGTACATTCACCAAATAATGGGGGGCAAAGTCATAATGAGAATATACCTGTAACATCGACAACTACGAGTATGTCGATACCTGTGGGTAACGAACTAAATTCAGGTACCTTAACAAACACCCAAGTAGGATCTAATGCGGTGATACCGAATAATATGAAAACTATAGGAAACCCCACAACAACATATGTAGGGTCATATATGAGTGTAAGACCGCTTGGGTTTTCGCTTAATAATACGAGCGGGGCTGGAACTTCTTCAACACAGCAGAATTCGAGATATAACTTAGGAATGCCTCAAACACTGGGCATGCCCCAAAATTTTGGAGTCCCTCCGAATTTAGGGACATCTCAAAACTTAGCAATCCCGCAGAATTCAGGAAGTGGACAGAATTTAGGCACACAACAAACGCTTCCAAATCTAGATCATAGAGGAAATTTGGAACATGGAAGATATATATTCGATAGATGTTATCATCGATCCAATTTTGAGACTATCGAAAACACTGGCACTGGGATATCCAGTAGTAACTCATTAGGGATACTTAGACAACAAATGGATGAGAGCAATTTTGCGATGGTAAATATGTTGTCTCAACAGTTGACTACAGTCCTAAACCCATTAGTTCAAAACACTACTGCTAGTTTTGAGATATTAGCAGACCAAATGTCACGAATCGGGGATGCATTGGCTGTACCTCGACGAACAAGGGTAGAAAATCATGCTAACCAGAATGCTAATATCAATCCCCCGTATCTATTAAGGAGAAATCGAAACAATGATCAACATCAGCATACGGGGAATGAATACCAACAGATGAGAAATGATATTTGTGGGAATCTGAATGAAAGATTTCAAAATATGTACAATCAGAATAACATGCAGTATAATCACATGTTAGGACAGAGGATGAATTTCCAAGGGATGGAGTTTAGACCACCCAATTAAACATACTTTGTGTCTCACTTTCCAAATGCGATTCTTAAGACGGAATTACCTCGAGGATACAAAGTACCTAAATTCACCAAATTTGCTGGAGAAATTGGTGAATCAACTATCGAGCATGTAGCTCGATATCAGATCGAATGTGGGGACCTAGCGATGAGCGAGGAATTAAAAATGAAATATTTCCCTAGTTCTTTGACTAAGAATGCGTTTACTTGGTTTACTTCGTTGCCACCCAATTCGATATATAATTGGCTGCAACTGGAAAGAAATTTTCATGAACAATTCTTTAGAGGAGAAACTCAAGTAAGTCTCATCGATTTGATGAATATAAAAAGATACAATCATGAAAGCATAGATGATTATTTGAATCGATTTAGACTAATGAAGTCGAGATGTTTCACTCAAATTCCTGAATATGAATTAGTTAGAATGACCTCTGCGGGTTTAGAATTCTCGATTAGAAAAAAAGTTAGTTAATTTACCATTAAATGACATGACTCAATTAGCTGATAAAGTAAGAAGAGTAGAACAAATTGAGTATGAAAAACAAAGGTACAAAAAATATGAGAAACCCATGAAAAAAGAAAGAGTAGCATATATAAATGATGTATATGAGACAAATCCCATGATAGAAAATAATATTGAAGAAACTGTCGAAGAGAAAGTAAATATAGCAGAGCTCAAAGTAGATGCTCCATATATCTGTTAATTGCTACAAAAGAATGAAGTAAAAGATAAAATGACAAATCGAACGTATACTTTCGATGTGACAAAGGCAGATAAAATCTTTGATATTTTACTAAA